GAGAAAGCACCTACTTAGCCCCCCATTGGGGGGGTCTTAAAAGTAAGACTTGCCCTGGCTTACCGCATTTTCTTTACAATCTTTTCTAACGCCGCTGGCATGCGGCAAAGTTCTATGAGTTAAATTTTGCGGTTGTTGGCGGTTGTTTGTGTTGATTGTTGTTCTTGCCTTGTGCAACACAGGCAAGCACATCATTTAAGGGCAGATGATCAGGCCTAGACACACACACACACACACAGTTAAATGTTTTTGTATCTGTGTGTGTATATGGTAGATATATGTATATATTTTACGCAACCTTTTGTCGTTGTATGCATGGAAAGTTTGCTCAGGCCCGTGGCATATGATTTCGTCAACCTTTTTCTTTTTTACACAGACTGCAAACTTTTTTTTATTGTATTTACTGTCTAGATTGGGAGGGTGTCACACAATTTGACAGTGGCGTTGGTTTATTGAAAATGTGATGAAAACTGTTGCCTAGTTAAGTGGGCAGCTGCATAAGCAAGCTGGCAAAGCGGAATGTTGATCATTTCGTAGACGTTTTAGAATATGGAAATATCTAGAGCGTCTGTAATTGTTCTTTTATGCTTTTTTATTTTTGTTTTTTTTATTTGTATTTTTTTGTTGATGTGGTTTGTGCTGTTGTTCTGTTTGCGCAGTCGACGGTAAAAGTTTTAGCACCCAGGCCACCCACACAGACAAGCTGCTCGCGCACTCAAACCCAACCAACCGTCCCACACGCCCTAACGTCGACCCAAAATCCCAAAACGAACAAGCGACACGCGCCCTGGCCCAACTTGCCACGGCACACAAGCACACACACACACACACAGTGAGCATGTCGACGACAGGCGTCGCTGCCAGGCCAACATTAGCATTGAAGTGTGCAAACGACGCCACCCACAGACACACAAATAAACTCACATACACACACACACACACAGCAACACACACAGTCATACAGAGAGAAGGGCAGTCAGCCGTCGCCGCCATGCCACACCATGCCACGCCATGCGGCAGTTGGAGCACTCTCGCAAATTTCAATTTTTTTCACACCAATGGCTCTTGGCTTGCCCTCTGCCTTTGCCACATTGCGGTTGAGTGTCCACCCGGCAAATGTGTCTTGTCTGACTTCGCCTTGGCTATTCAGGCACTAATATAGATATTGAAAACAGAAATGCAGCTTTTTGATCGGTATCACTAAGCACAAAGCATATATTATCGACAAACCATGAATTGTCTGCTTTCATTTCTCTTTTTCTTTGTGCGGTCAGAGTGTGCCCAGACTACTTGTGCATTTACAGTTACGATTACTCGCTATTTTTCTACTATGACTTATTTTGTCTATGTAGGAAATAAATTAAAAATAAAATGTAATATTTAAATGTTAAATAAACAAAAACAGTAATAACCAAATATATTAATCTAAACTTTTTTGTTTTAGATAGAACTTTTCAAACTGGTTTCCTTTGTCGGTGGTACAAGCCGCCATGCTGCCTGTTTTCGAAGCACGCGCCAGGACCCAACCGCACACACAAGTACACGTATACATACACACACACTTCCATATATACGTAACGAGTCAAAAAGCACACACACACACACACACATACAGGCACATGCAAACGTATTGTACGTGCTTTTACTCACCCCGTGTGGCGCACTTCCTTTGATTTAGTCATTTTTCTCTCTTTAGCCGACAACCAACAAGCCATGTGGCTCTGCCAGTGCCACTGCCACTGTCATGGAACAGCACGTTGCTAGTTGCTAGTCGCCCAGTTGCCACTGTGCGCACTTCCGACCATTTCTTTGTGGGTGTGTGTGTGTGTGTCTATAGAAGGTTGCCCCAATCGTCCTGGGCTGTTATTTTTTTAATGTTTGATTTTCATTTCTGTTTTGCTACCAATACCTCTTGGCCACTCCTGTTATTGTTGTTGTTGCTGTTATTGTTGTTGTTGGATACCGTTGTTGAAGTATTACTTTGCAGCTGCCACATTGCGGTAGCGCTCTTTTCACTGCTGTCCATAGCTTTTATTAATGCATTCCATTGTTACTCAGTTCCCAGTACGCTTTGATATCAATGCGTTTGAACAGGTGCGCGAACTGTCAATATCGATAACTGCTGATAACTGATAATGACACACATACGCTGGTTATCGAATCAATCAATATCGATACTGACTAAGCAGCGGATAACCGATTGTCGCCTAGGCCGCACATGCGACTTGTTCAACTGAATACCCAAGTTGCACACACACACACATACATTCATTCATATATATGTATATAACGTTTGCATGTTACTTGCCGCCGATTGTGGGAAGGAGGGGAGATGGGGGTGGGCACGGTGTGAGCAGTCAAGTCGTGCAGAAACAAGAGCACGGGTAGCATCAGCATCAGCGTCAGAGTCAGCATCAGCGACAGCGACAGCTTAGTATGGGGCTCTGACTGGGACTCGGTGTGGCTATAAACGATTTATGTGTATGCTTGTGAAGGCCAAGCGCCACATGCCACCACCACATCCCATTCCATCCACAGCCACAATCAACGGTGGCATTCAAGTCATCGTTCAGTTCAGTTCAGTAATTTTACAGACTGCGCCATCAGCTACCAACGCACAGAAGGAAGGCAAGAGGAAGACTGGCTGGCTGCCTCACTTCAACAATTTTACTTATGTCTATGTGCGTGTGTGTATGGTGGGCGGATGTGTGTATTTCAGTTTGTGATTGCATCTGTAAGAGTGCATGTAGAGATGCCCAACAGGCTGACAGTTTGGACAGTTTGTCCTGTAACAAGAGGACGCCATGTGGTTCTGGACTCTAGACCCAACTTGAAATGAGCAATGCCAATAAACAACCATTTTTTAAACCAAAAATAGACAAGAATAGCCGCTAATCAAGTTGTCACGAAAACGTAGCATACTTTTATGTGGTTACAATTTGTTTTACCTTTTCGAGCGATCTCAAAATATCACAGACTTTCTGCTTAGTCTTTACTTTTTGCTTTAATTTGCAGCTTGATCGTGGAACGTCATTGACCAATATAGAAATGCATTTGTTGTTGGCACAAGCGCATTTATCGAAATAAACAGATTTTGAAAGGCATATCTGCAATTTGTGCCTTTTGTCAAAAATCTATGCTATGCTGTGATAGTTGCTGTCCAAAAAGCAACGTCAACCATCCTTCCTTCCCTGTCTCCCGCACACTCCTCCATCCCCCGTCCCGCACCCTCTCACATAGATGTCGTATTTATCTAATAGTCCCTGCTGCTGTCAGAATGGTCTACGTCTGGTGTTGATGCCCCATTCCATTGGAATTGCTGTCGCCTGGCTTATTATTTGCCACGACTGCTGGCTGCGGCGCTAAAGTTTCGCCTCGTTGGTGTTATGATTTCAATGTGGGTAGCCGAACGGCACGACGACCCCGACCCCGACCCCAAACCCAAACCCAAGCCCACAATCGCAACCGTCATCGTCAGCATCTCCACTTACACTCACACACACACACACACATACATCGAAGTACCCACCCCGCATCACTTTCATACCCGCCCGCAGGCCACAACCATAGCTAACTCACTGGCTGCCTGACGGCGTTTGCGCAGGCAACCCAATAGACAATATTTTTGCACAGCTGTCGCCACAAAATTGAACATTATAGCTTCTGGGTTAAAGTTCGAATAATTATAACACTTCTTAATTAAAAAATAAAAGTAAAGTAAAATTTAAATTTTTTTTCAAGTATTTTTATTTTGGGATATTGTTAAGTGTACTGTTTTCCTTTATTTGTTATATATTTTATTTCTTGAATAACTTAAGCTAAGCTACAAATTTTAAATGCAGTCAATTCTCTTAACATAATATACAAAATTGTGTTTTTCATTACAGTGAAATAATTTAATATATATATAGATATAATGGCAAATGCCTTGTCAATTCGATTTATTCTGCTATTTGAATATCATTAATTACACTAACTATTTATATAGTTATGAATTGTAACACGAATATTTGTGTATATTTAAAAAAAAGTACTAGTCTCCATTGCTAATATTTAAATGTTTGCTGGGATATCATATTTGTGCCTAAACGAATTGATTTGTATGTCAGTGTGTGTGTATGTATAACTTTGTGTCTGTGTGTTTGTTTGTGTGTGTGGGGCGCGCGTACGTGCGAACTTTCTGTGCTCGCCAAAGCCAGACATGGTCACGCCGTCTGTCCGACTGTCGTTGGCGGCACGTCGACTGGCTGACATTTGCCGCATTTGCCAACGCCCAGCCGCCCACAACTGGCAACATGCCGCCGCCGCCGCCGCGTCAGCGTCGTTAAAGCTTTGCACTGCGACTACTGCTGCTGTTTGTGTGTGTGTGTGTGTCTGCGTGTGCTTGTGTGTGTGTATATGTGAGGCAACCATTACCACAACCACCATTAACGTGCCAGGCAGTCAGCCAGGCGTTGCTGTTGCTGTTGCCGCCGTTGCCAGTGTTGCTGTTGTTATTGCCGTTGTTGTTGCTGCTGTTCTTGTTTTTATTGTTGGTTGACTCCAATCTGCTTTGGTTGCTGCGCCACACGACGAGGGCTATAGCGATGGCGAGCCAGAGCCACAGCCAGAGCCCAAAGCACAGAGCCCAAGCCATTCAGTCGGCAAATTTTGTACGAGCTGTGCGCACACACGGCGGGCGTCATAAGCGACAGGAGGGGCAGGCAAGCAAGTAAAAACGAAAAGTCGAAGTACTTTTCACCGTTACGCTTACCGTTAGCTTCTGTTCAGTTGAGTTGAGTTGTGTGCAGTTCGTTTCGGTTTCAGTACTCGGTTTGTTCTCGGCCAGTGCGGACGTTTCGTTAGTTTGCTGGACGTTTTTGATTTTCTGTGGAATTTTGTGCTACCATCTGTAGGCCGTGTAAAAATACGTAATTTTTTGTGGTTGTTAGTTTCGAAAGAGCCAACGGCAAAACCGAAAAACCTTGTTTTTAGTTTAACCGTAATCGAATTGTAAAAGTTGACGCGTGTATGGAATTCATTAAGAGTTCTGTAAAAATGTCAAAATGACAGCAAAACGTGATAAGGATTACAACAAAAATAAATCAACAGCGGGTAATAATTAATTTTCAAGTTCGACTCCCAAATAAATAATTACACTAAACCATTAAGTTATTGAAGTAAACAAACCATTATTTAAATACATCGATCAGTCGATAGTTAGTCCCGTTCCTTCAAGGCCATCGAGCAGTCACACAGACACGACCAGCTGATTCGCAAACACGAATACTAACAAAGCTCCGGCGAAGATCTGTAAAAAAGAGAATTGCGAAATTTGCTCGATTTGATTTCTCTCTCGTCGTCTTTGCACATTTTCATACCTGCTATTTCCTTTTTTTATTCATGGAACGCAAATAATGATTTCTAGCATCGATCATTATTACAAACTGATTTCATATTTATCGTAGTTCAATGGATTTTACTTCATGGAATATTTTAAAAACAACGTAATAAGCACACATCATGTGATTAAAAATAAAACAGTTCCAAGTGGACAAACTGGAGAATTTTATAGTCGGGAGAGCTCGACACGGAAATATCCTGGACCCAGCTGTTAAATAAGCTTGCTGATATTACTTTCTCCTATATTTTGTTGGTTAACAAAACCTGTGTTTCTCATACGATATCTTAATGAAATGCTAACAGTTGATCCATAATATGTCAGGGTATTTTATTAAATGTCAATTGTAAGGCTATCTATTTGATTTATTATTGTGTCTTTATTGTATATTGACATACTCGAAACGGGAGCAGTTATGGATAAGACGAAATAAATAGCTTATATTCCAGATTTGATGTAACTAGCTCTTAAAGTTTCTGAGATCGGCTTGATTTTAGAAAAGGACATAGCTAAATAGACTCTGCTATTGATGCTGATCAAGAATATATATACTAAATGCGGTCGAAGATGTTTCCTTTTTCCCATGATGCACGAGTATATATTTTTCTTAAGCATATAAAATAGGAATATAAAAATAAAATAATGAAATACATATACATATATTAAAATCAGTGTAATTTAATTATATATAGGCATCGGATTCTCCGCCTCAAGCTCAACCAATGGCAGCGGCATCAAATCAATTGGTCTGGTGAGCTCCTCACAAAATGTAACCTCATCGCAGGAAATTAGCAAGCGTACGAATAAACCACTCATGGAGAAACGCCGGCGAGCACGCATCAATCAGAGCCTGGCCATACTGAAGGCGCTCATCTTGGAATCCACCAAGCATCAGAATGCCAAAAACGGCGATGGGCAGGCGAAGCATACCAAATTGGAGAAGGCCGACATATTGGAACTCACTGTGCGCCATTTTCAGCGACATCGCAACCTCGATGATCCAAGTGAGTAGCATTTGTTTCGCTATTTGCCCATTTCCCTGGCTAAACTGTAGTCTTTTATGTCTGACGCCACCAGCAGCTGTGAATAAATATCGTTCAGGCTACACGGATTGTGCCCGGGAAGTGGCTCGTTATTTGGCCACGCCGGAGCCGCCGCCCATGGGCAATATGCCCACGCTATCGGAGCCCGGGTCCAAGGCGCGCCTGCTCCGGCATCTGGATCAATGCATTGCCGAGATCGATGTGGAGATTTGCCCGCACACAACAACGTCGAATTTTGCCGAGAGTCCCAACAACAGCAGCACCTGTTTCGATATCAAGAAAGCGGCAACGTTACCCGAGGAGCATTCGTTGGACTACAGCAGCCAGGACTCGAATCCGCTGGACTACAGCAAAGGCGATCAGCGCGTACTGCTGCAGGCGACAACAGCGCACTCCGCCCAGGACGAGAACAACAATCGCGGGCAGCTGGCGGTGCCACAAACGCCACAGGTCCAAACCCCAACAGTACAGCTGCAACAGCAACAACCACAGCCACAACAACAACAGCAGCAGCAGCAGCAACAGCAACAGCAGCAACAACAATCACCACCAAATGGCGCTGTCATCGAACTGGGCTATGAGAACGATGTGGGCAACAAGGTCGTCTGCGTCAATGTGCTCGAGCAGTATAAGCAGCAGCTGAAGGCTGAAGGTGGCGCCCCGAATGGTGTGCTTGTACTCCCGCCGCACTATGTTCAACTGGCAGCTGCCTTGGGCCTGAGCGCTCAGCCGCTTGTGGATCCGATTGCAACGCGCACGGATTTCGAGCGTCTGATTGAGTTGCAGCGCCTGCAGCCGCATCTCGCCGGTAAGCTGAGCCCCAATTTCGCCGGGAGCCTGGAGGCGGCGCATGTGGCAGCCGCAGCGGCAGCTGCCTATGCCAATAGCATGGCCAGCAATTCAACGGTTGCAGCAGCAGCCATGCTCAGCGAGCGACCCGCCTCGGTGGCCTCCTCGTCGGCGGCAGCTTCGGTCAGTTCGGGTGTCTCTGATCTGAAGTCGGCACCGGCAACGCAACAGTCGTCGCCGCGCTCGGAGAGCGGCATTGGTTCCAATGAGAATGAAACTCTGGACGCTAGTCCACAGACGAGCAGTGCGGCACGACAGGCTCTGCGCCAGCGTCAGGAGGAGGAGTATCGGGCACAACAGCAGCAACTGCAACTACAACAACAACAGCAACAACACCAACAACAGATTGTCCTCGGTCTCCAGCAGGGCTCCGATGAGAGCATGTGGCGGCCCTGGTAGTTCTCCGATGCTTGGCCTTGTACAGTTCGGGATGATATAGCTTTTATGTACTAAGTATATTATTATATATATGTATATGTATATGTATGTAGACTGCGCAAATTTGTTGCTTTGTTATGGATGATATGATTTGTTCTTTTGGCTCCTAACTAAACCTGCATAAAACAGTGGTCGCTCGCGAATTGAAACGCTCATTTTAATCCAGCGGAAAACCTCAGCTCTATTTTTCTGCACAACAAAGTCAAATTTAATATTCGTACTATATAATTAAATTTGATAGGCTCTGTTTACCAATTTAATAGGGTTTTTATACATATTTTACTCAAAAGTTGACTCAAAACGGAAAATAATTAACATAAATTCTCAAAAATTATATTCAAAGTGCTTTTATTTTATGCAAGTCCAAGTTCCGAGTGTCCACTGTATTTAGGATAAAACCTATTGTTAAGCTCTTGCTCGTATAAATGTATAAAAATTCCAGCACGAGATGCGAATATTTAAATGCATTTTTCACGTGTGCCAATGCTAAAAGACTCTGAATAAAAAAAAAAAACAAAAACTATCCGTTCATAACTAATTGTATAATTCCAGACTATGTTTTGTCCGAATACCTTGAGTAAAATGTATCAAATACTGAAATTAAAACTGCAATAACGTTAACATTATTTAACAAATAACAAATATTTTTTCTTCTTTTTTTTGGCATCCATTTGATAATTCTTATATACAATTTTATTTTAGATAGACAACGCAATGTATATAGTTTAGAGTAGTGCAAATTAATAATATTATTATCTTTTTGAAAACGCGAATAAATATTGGTGTGTTATATAAATATGCATATATATAGGCTAAGACCGAAAAATAATATTGCCTTTAAAGAACATTTAACGCCTGCAAATCAAGACTACTTTGATTTCATTGTAGTCAGAGACTTGCGTGGCGCCGATTGCCGTTGACGCGCCAGGAATGTTTGCCCCGAACCCATTAATAGGGCCAATTTGGAGTCGACAGCATCGCGTTGAGCATTAACACCCAATCTGTAGAAGGCGGTGGCCATGAGCTGTTCCTCCATGCCGCTCATTTTAGTTTTCGACTCCTCCTCGATGACATCGACGCTCTTCTCCAATGCATTTGCCTCCAGCACTGCAATTATGGGGTGGAGGTTAATTAAAGTTGAATTTATGTTAAATTGTGTTAAATTTTATTTAAACAAACCACTGGCTATGCGCGGATCAATGTTTTTGATGACTTCTTTGGCTCGTTCCACGCATTTGCGGTACTTGACTTCATATGCCATAACTTCCTGCTCTCGCGTATTCAAAGACGACTCAAGCTGGGTTATCTTGCACTGCATCGTTGAGTTCTGTGTTGCAAATTCCTCAATTTGAAGTGCTAAGCAACGATTGATAAAAATATTATTATAATACTTTTAGTTGATATTATTTAGATTCCACATACTTTTTTGCTCATTGAGTTCCATTAGCTGTTTGATTTGTTTGCTGAATTCATTTCTGTTATATGAAAAATAAATATAATTAGTATGCAGCTGGTTTCAAATTACAATCTTAGCTTTAGTACTCACTCCTTTAATATGGGATCGTCGCTTTGCGAGGCATGCGATAAGGAGAGAATACGCTCATTGGCAGTCTTCATCTGTTCACGCAAATTCTCGCAGCGTTTGTTTGCATCGTCCAACAGTTGCTGCAAGATTAGAAATACACAAATTGAAATCGGTTTTTTTTTCATGAACATAAAACATTATTTACCGCCAGCGCTGTTTGGCCACCTTGTCCCTCACGTAGTGCCTTGTTCTCCGCTTCCAGACGCTGGATTTTGTCCATCATAGCCGGCGGCTGAAGTTCCCGCGACATTGTTGTGCCCGTCAAGCTGCCCGAGTTGGTTGTCAGTTGTCCGCATTTCAGCTCATCGAAGGCCTCCCGCAGATTGTCGCGCTCCTTGAGCAAATTATCTTTCTCCCGTTGTAACGCCAGATTTTTGCTATCCAAATTCTTGTTATCAAACTCAAGCTTGACATTTTTGCTGCTCTCATTATCCAGTTTCGTGTGCAGATCCTGTATTTCCTTCTTAAAGAGCTCTATTTGACCCTTTGTGTTAGCATACCGCTTGGCGTCCTCTTCAAACTGTGCATTTTGTTGCACATAGTCAGCACTACGCTCCTCGAGCATTTTGACATGTTTCTTCAGATCATTGTACTCCTCGAGTTTCTTTTTGTAGGTCTCCAGTTGAGCCTCGCATACTTTTAGTTTGTCTGTGGATTCGCGCAGCACATCTACTTCATCCTTAAGTGTGATCAGCACTGCAGTGCTTTTCTATTAAGATAGATATGATATTAAATAAAGTTTTGGGTATAGACTTGGGGTACATGCCATTAGTTCATCTATGCGCTGTTGCATATGCAACATCTCCGTCTCCTGCTGCTGCGCCTTAATCTTAAGGTCCTCACGTGCACCTTCTGACTGCAGCAGTTCCTCCTTAACCAATTCCAATTGACGCCTGAAATGGATATTAAGAATTACAATAAATTTAAATTTCGATTAATCAGCTTACCTCAGCTCATTGTAGCGCACGGAGCCCGCTTGAATAGGACCCAGCGAGACACCATCGTCTCCAATTGTGTTATGCTCAAGCCGTGCAAATTCCTGTTGTATCTTTTGCAATTCCTGTTGTAGATTGGTTTTCTCATCGATGAGCAATAGCATTTTCTTCTCGGTTTCGAAACATTTCTGGGCCATGGCATCGCGCTCCTCCGTCATCTGCGATTGCAGCGCCTTAGCATTGCCATCAAGCATGCCGCTCAAGGAGTTGCGTGACAGCGAACTGACCACGCCACCCTCTGTCGTTTGACGTGTTGACGTTTCCAGCTCTTGCAGCGCACGCATAATGTTCGCTTGCAGCTCCTCCTCAAGACACATAATCTCGCATATATATGACTGCTTCTTAGCACAGTTGACCGCACAGCCTAAAACCAGTTGCAGCAGGCGCTCCAGTTCGGTGAGGTCACATTTCTCGGCAATCGCCTGCACATCCGGCTTGACAAAATCGTGCTGTAGCGTATAGTTTAGGACATCGCTGTAGTATTCGTACACGCCCTCAACAACCTTCTTTAGATTACTCATCCGCAAACGCCAATTGCTGCCTGCAGCGCTCGATTTGATTTTCGACAGCCACGAATCGCTGAAAGATTCGGGTGCGAATTGATTTAATGCCTGAGCGAGTGCAACGCCATCTGCCAGCTCCTCGGCGTTTGCATGCGGTGCATTCAGATTGAGCGTTTTGAACCACTCCAACAGACTATAATACATTCCGTTCTGAGTGGACATCGTGAATGTTATAAAATTATGACAAAACCAAACAAAAAATTAGAAATCTTCACGGAAAAAACAACACAGCTGTTGCAGCGTAAACAAAACAGCTGCACTCACGATACCGATAAAACACACCAAGCAATTATCGATAAGTTGAAGAGCTGTTAACAGCGCCAGTGATTCATACAGGTTATTGTACGTTTACCGCTATCGAATTTGCTTTTGATTTTCTGTTTGTCTGCCTACAAATACGTTCTGGCAACTAACTAAATTTAAATATCACTCAATTGTCATTAAAGGCATTTATTTGATCATAGAATTAATTATTTGTAAGAGAATTGAAATCGATCGCTGCTATTGCGCCACTATCAATACTGTCCATGCATTGTTCCACCCATTTCAGTTTATTATCGTGTTCTTTGATTTTGTCAATCGGTGTCCAGCTGGAGTCAAATTCAAGCCTATAACTGCCCTTATACGTCTGTTCCACAGAATTGTTCCATTCCTACGAGCAAATGTGTATGAAGCATTTCTTATCAGATGTTTACATGTTTCTTTATTACCTCTGGTGAGAGCATGCTGAAATAGTTTTGACCCGTTGACTTTTGGTACAGATGATAGATTTTTCCAGGTTTCTTGTTGAAATTACACGCAACACTGTGCAGCATCCGATTCTCGTTAGACTCCTTGAGTATGTCTATAGCTTGTGCTTGCAGCATTTTTATCTGAAATACTTTGGTTGTGTACAATTCAATAGCGTTTGCCTACAAAATGCTTACCTGATCCAGAATAACAACCAATTTCTGGCTTGTGCTATTCCTCACCATCTTATCTGCAGATTGTATTTCCTGTGCTAGATGTATTATGTCAGTTTCATCGTGCATCGAAACACGCATTGGATCTACTTGAAATTGTGGGTTTCTCTCCACCAATTGAGCTGTATTTAAAATAAATTGGATTTTTACGAATTCTTAAACTATTCTTATCTACTTCGTCCATAAATATTTTCCCAATGTTGAATATAGTCTGTTAACTTTCATACCTTTTTTGATTGCGGTTTCATAATTTATTTGCTGCTCCATTGTTGCACTCCTTTTCATTACACAAGCATTGATTAAGAAAGTAAATTAAATAAACGTAGACCGAGCCGGGGACGTATTTGTTACAAATTGTTCACAATAACAAATAACATGTGTTATAATGCGATATCTATCGATTGACTCGATTACAAAATATCCCCCAGATGGGAATATTTTTCATAAATTTCCTTTACAATATTTATTAACATTCCGTTAAATACTGTTTTCTTAAATGTACATATTACCTAGTTAAGTAAATGCATTTCAACAAAATGTAAAATGATGGCAATTTAAAAAGTACATTTGGCAGACATTTACAAACAAAGAAGAATAATTAACTCTGAGTTCGATTCCCAGACTCCGACTTCGATGTGAAAGATGAACTTGGGTTGATATTTTGTTGAATTTGTTCATAATAATAATCATATATAGGAACTAAACCTCAACAGTTTTCGACTTCCCTTCCGAATAGGCCTGTAAAAAATATAAATTGTTATGTTAGTATTTTTGTAAAGTGTTCATTAAACTAAATTATTAATTTACTTACATGTTGCGCAATTTCCAGCAGATGTTCAAATGTTGTTTTCCCTGTCTGCATAACCATGCCATGGAACACATTACTCTCGGATGTTGTCAACAGTTCATAGGGTGCTCCAAATTCGACAACGTGTCCGGCATCTAATACCATGACCTTATCCGAATCCATAATCGTGTGCAGCCTATGGGCAATTGTAAGTACGGTGCATTCTTTGAACTTATTTCTAATGGTCGTCTGGATAAGTGCATCAGTTTGTGGATCCACATTGGCAGTGGCCTCATCCATGACCAGTATGCGATTCTCGCGCAGAATGGCACGGGCCAAGCACACTAATTGACGTTGGCCTACGCTGAAATTGGAGCCACCCTCGGAAATGTTGCTCTGTAGACCCATTGGTAGTTCGGAGACTTCGTCCTTGAGATGCACCTGAAATTTAAAGTTGAAAAGTTTAGTGAGAATTAGTAAATTACTGTATTACACTCTTACCTCCTCCAAGGCCTGCCAGAGCTTTGAGTCCGGATATTGTTCAAAGGGATCCAAATTATAGCGTATTGTGCCAGAGAACAGCACGGGTTCCTGAGGTATAATCGATATTTTACTGCGCAGATCATGCAAGCCAATCTCTTCTGTATCCCTCTTATCAATTAATATGGAGCCATCGTTGTAGGACAGCCGAAACAAGGCATTTATAAGCGAGGATTTGCCTGCACCCGTGCGGCCCACAATACCCACTTTTTCCCTTGGTTCAATTGTAAAGTTCAAGGATTTCAGTACATAAGGATCCTGAGGATCGGGTGTATAGCGTAAACTCAAGTCATCGGCGACAATTTGACCGTCTTCTGGCCAACTTGCTGGCGGTTTTTTATGCGGTGCTGATGCGAATTCTCCTTCCGATTTCAGACCGCTGTACTCGATCACACGCTCCACGGAGGTCATCGAGTTCTCCAGCTCAGCCGATTGACGCATGCCCCACTGCACCATACCCGTCATGGACATTGCCTGCGTAATGGCCAAGCCAATCTCACCCGGATTCTCAGGGGGATTCACAAAATTATTTAGGATTATGATCAAAACATAAATCACACAGAACAAGTCAAGATAATAACCAAAGGCTCGACTTGTGGACAGGAATGTATAGTATCCAATCGAATGATTATCCTGGTAATGATCATATTCCGTAGTCAACATTCTCTGTGCCCGCATCGCCCTAATCGTCGGCAGTCCATGCAGGGTGGCTCCAAAATGCGAATACATCGGTGAACGGGCAACCGCTTCGAGTCGCTTTACATCCCGCGATGTGCTCAAGTAGAAGTTTCGCACATAATAGAAACAGAGCAACATAACCAGTGTATTGATCAAATAATAGGGATTTGTAATGCACAGCACGCTTATGATACCGGTCAGTGTGAGGGATATCTGGATGCAGTCGAGCATCACAGCGGGCAGCGCCTCATCCACCTGACCCATGTCCATGGCGAACCGATTGAGGATGCGACCCGATGGATTCGTATTGAAGAAATGCATCGCTGCATGTGTGATTCCCCGGAACATTGAGTTGTGCAGCTGGGTGGATGAGTGCATCGCCACACTGAAGAAGAGAAGCGTGCGCAGCAGTGCAAAAATGATCAGAACCACATTGATGGCCGCAAAGTAGTAAATATCCAACGATGACGACGAATTGCTCTTCACCCTGCAAAACATAATTATCTATGAAAAATCTACATCAGAATTTAACAATATTAACATTAACATTGTTGAATCAACTTTAATTCTGTTAGGCTTGGTTAACAGTGAAACAGAACTGTAATTCAAGGCAATTAACATTTGATGTTTAGCTTACATTGATATTCAAAATAAACTCATATGCACTGCTTGCAAGCAGTTTGTTTACATAAAGCTAGCCACATTGCATTTACTTTTAAGTGTAAGATCTCCTATTATGCACTGCTTGCAAGCAAGCAACATTGTAGCACGTCTAATATAATTCTTATAAGAAACTCTTCCAGGACTTTCTCCAGCTACTCACCAGTAGGACAAAAAGTAATCGCCAGATGACGCCATCAGTTGAGTACCCAGGCACAAGAACATCAACAGCAGAAACACCAGCCAGCCACAGCCGGCCGCGAAGTATTTGTGATACATATCCAAACCGATTTTGGCCGCTGAGCGCATCTCCTGCATTTCCTTTGGCGGCTGCTCCTTCTTGGCCATCAGTGAGTCGTCGGCATTGGAGCCCGCGGACGAAATGCTGTTGCGACTATCCAGGCTGCTGTGCCGTGAATACGACTGAGTGGCTGTGGACGTTGCATCTCCAGCACCAGCCAAATCCTTGGCCTTGTCCTGAACTTCATCCTCTGCTTCTTCTGCATCGTCTGCTTGCTCTGTCGGCCGTTGTGCCAGCAATTGAGCAAAATCCTGGCCACTCTTCAGCATGTGCTCGTAGCTGCCGATTTCTGTGATTTTGCCCTTGTCCATGCACACAATCAGATCCGCCTGCTCGAGGAACTGCACCTGGTGCGTGACCAAGATGACGAGATGCTTGCCGAGAAATCCACGCATGCACTGCTCGAACAGATGGCGTCCCACATGGGCATCCACGGCGCTCAGCGGATCGTCGAGCAGGTAAACATCGGCCTTGCGGTAGACAGCCCGTGCCAGACTAATGCGCGCCTTTTGGCCACCCGACAGCGATGCACCCCGCTCCCCGACAATCGTCTTGTCGCCCTGCGCCAACAGCTCAAAGTCCCGCTCCAAGGCGCACATGCGGACCACGGTGCGATAGCGGTGTCTGTCCAGTGGCAGGCCAAAGAGTATATTCTCACGCACCGTGGCGCTGAAGAGCCACGGCTCCTGTGCCGCATAGGAGCAGCGACCGTTTAACTTCACCTCGCCCGCCTCGGCGCTCAGCTCGCCGAGCATCGCTTGTATCAGACTCGATTTGCCAGCGCCAACGGGTCCGATGACAGCCACTAGTTGCTTTCCGTGCAGTTGCACATTGATGTTATCCAGAACGGGTTCACTCTGCTCCGGACTCCAGCGTGCTCTCAGATTCTTGATCTCGACGTATATATCTGAGCTGGACAGCCGCTGATTGCCATTTGATAAAAGTTTATTTTTTTCCGTTGCTTTATCGTTTTCCTGATCCTCTTGGAGCATCGGCACCTGGGTCTCATCGCGCAACATAAACTGGGTTATACGGCGCAAGGAGACCAGCAGCTCGGCCACCTGCGACATGCCGCTGGGAAAGAATTTGCTCATCGAGCGTCGCAAAATATTATAAAACGCAGTGACGCAAAAAGCCTGCTCCGCAGTGAGATGGCCACCAGCCAGGACATAGGCCAGCAGGCTGGCAAAGATGGCAAGCCGTCCCAACGTAATCTCAAAGGAGAGCAGCACTCCTCGAATGTAGTTGACCTTGCGTATAACGCTCATCTCGCTGACACGTGCTCTGCCCACCAGTTGCTCAAAGGGCAGCTCCCAGGCATACATCTTGATCACCTGTATGCCAGCGATGATCTCATTCATCATCCGCACCCGTCGATCCGTCCGCAAAGCGGTTCGCAGGCGAAGCGACGACGTTAATCTACTCAGATAGGTTTGGAGTGGCAAGTAGAGCAGCAGGATGGCAATGCCATAGATCGAGGAGACTCCGATCTGCTGATAGAGGAAGTAAGAGGCAAACAGCAACTCCAGTGGACCCAGCCACAGGAAATGCAAGTGGATGAGCGCCCGATCGAAGCGACCCAAATCGTTGGACACCAGATTCACAACTTGGCCAGTGGTGGTGCCACCCAGCGCAGTGCGGCTCAAGCGTAGTGCCTTCCTGTAGATGGCACTGCTAACAGCGACTCGCATCTTCATCGCCAGATGCATCATGTGCATCATGAACGGATGAAACAGCAGCACACTCATCACGATGCAGAGCACCAAGCCGGCGCCATAGAGTTGGGCATTGAGATGGCTTCCGTTCCCATACAGCGTAAACTCTGAGATAAGGCCGGCCATCAGAAGTGGAGTAGTGGCTCTGAAGAAAAGAAAATTATATATATATATATATATATTTATATATATAGCTGTACAAATTCCTAAATAGTGGTCCCTCTCTAGCAATCTATTTAATATTTGCAGTCGTTACAAAATTTACAAATATCTAAAAAAAAAAAAAAAAATTGTCAAATAAAGTGGGAAAACTAAAAATTAACAATTGAATTAAAAGTTCAAAAATTCTTCATTTTACTAAGGGGAACTATAGATTTTAATTAAAATTGTCTTTTTAGCTCACTTTTTAAACTAGGCAATTTGCAATAGAATTTCAATATTATTTATTGCTTACGCCCCATTCGAAGCCAGCAAAAGTCTGTATTAGTGCTTAGCAACAGGGATATGTCAATTAGAAAAACTGCTTTTATTTATAATACTTATACAATCATTAGCTCGATCAACTTATCGAGCGACCACTGTAATGTAAATTTGATCCTAAACTGTAAAATACACTCACCTCAGACCCAATTCGAGAACTGCGATCACAATGCCGGATATCACCAGTTGCCAGCCAAACACTTTGAGTACAACTCTCAGCATGCTGGCGTCTTTAGTTCCATTGGCAGCTGTTCGCTGGGCTTCCGCCAGCCAGGTCTGGAATAGCTTGGCGCCCAGCTTATCTGCCTTATGCTCGTCGAGCACATCATAGAGATCGCTTGGTTCCAGTTTTTTTTTGCGGCCCTTGAACAGAATGGGAAGGGCGAAGCTACAAAGATAAACGTTTATTTTCAGAGATATTTTATATTTTTCTTCAAATTTTGAATAAAACTAACTGTTTTTATAAACAAAATGAAATTCATTTGCATTTAAAATCATCTTATCTTAATATGCTGCAATCGAATTTCAACAACAACATTAACCAAATATTTCCATTTACATTTTTTTTTAACCTTTTTTGTATTCATTTCATTTAATTAAGTAGATTTAAATCGTGTCAACTGACCACGCAAATAATTTATAATTACAGCTGATACGGAAATAATGAATTTTATCTTATCATTAATAATAGATAGGACAAGTGTACTTGAATGCTCTTTAAAAGATCAAATTTGTAAGTTGTGAAATGATAAAACTTTTAAGGTAGTCATTCATATATGCGTAATTTACGAACTTAATAGCGCTTATAAGTCTTCAATTTTAGTATTTACATATGGAAACTTACCAGAACATGATGGCGGATAGACAATTAGCATTTTCCCGCGGGTTTGGAGTCAATTTATCAACTGCCATCTTGCATCGAGTTCAATTGCAATGCGTGTATGGCAAATCGATTGTCAATGCACTTATTTACACAAATTAAATGAACAGAGTCAATTAAAATAACACTGCAACTCATTCAATTCGAGCTTAAGCTTTGTTCAAGGAGAACTGTTCACACGATACCCTGTAAATATAATGAAACGTTTCGAAACGTTTCGAAACGTTTAGCCGAACAGCTGACAAACGTTTATGTCAAAAACTCCAGATGAACAGATGCTGCTGCGTCAGCGTTTTATCACAAAAATTATGCAACGACGCTTGTTTGTCACAAAAATGTACACGAAATTAATAAACAACAAACAAAAAAGCTTTCCATTCAATCAAAAACAAACACTTGGCAGTAGTTCATGTCTATCCAGTTTGCAATGCAAAATATAACTAAAGCCAAGTTTCTGATAATCTTATTTGACAGCTGTTCGCACAGCTGATGCCGGCACAATTGCAAGTGTTGCCACACCGTCAATGTTCAGTGCAAACATACATACATATTTATTTACATTACATGAGAATTAGAGTGAACCATAAAATAACCAAAATAATTTTGTTTTTATAGTTATAAGCAAATTTTTGAAAATTTAAATCTATAATTTTAATTTATCAGCAATATTTTCGAAATAAATGAGAACATTTGTGTGTAAGCACCCAAGTTGTATATATATATATAATTTGAAGGCACTGCGTTATTTGCACTGTCACACTTAATACATACATAGAAATATCTAAACGTTAACAAAATATTCAATGCATAGGCACAAACATTATAGGTTTATATAAAATAAGGTTATTGGAATTGGATGAGATTATTTACAGTTGAAGGGCTAGTCCGCTTTTAAGCACCTACTGCGATGATAATAAAAAATCCCTGATTGTTTTAATGTTCACTGGCCTTAGGACGATAATCTGCGATTTTGCTGAGCAGATTCAAATGCCTGTAAATAAAAAGAATATATATAAACTTATTTGTAATTGAATTTTAACCAATTGAGAAATGCATTCATCTTACCTGCTTGGCAACCAACTGCAGATTTTCATAGGTTGATTTGCCCGTCTGCTTGACCATATCATGGAAAACTTTGCTTTCGGCACAGGTTAAGAGTTCATGCGGTGTTCCAAATTCAACCACTCTGCCGGCATCCATGACGAGCACCTTGTCGGAATCCATAATCGTGTGCAGCCTATGGGCAATTGTAAGTACGGTGCATTCTTTGAACTTATTTCTAATGGTCGTCTGGATAAGGGCATCAGTTTGTGGATCCACATTGGCAGTGGCCTCATCCATGACCAGGATGCGATTCTCGCGCAGAATGGCACGGGCCAGGCACACTAATTGACGTTGGCCCACACTGAAATTGGTGCCACCCTCCGTTATTTTACTCTGTAATCCACTGGGCAGGTCGGCAACGACATCCTTCAGCTTCACCTCATCCAAGGAAGACCACAACTTCTCATCGGTATACTCGTCGAAGGGGTCCAAATTGTAGCGCATTGTACCAGAGAAGAGCACCGGCTCCTGGGGTATAATCGATATTTTGCTGCGCAGATCATGCAAGCCCATTACTTGCGTGTCCCGCTTATCGATCAGTATGGAGCCATCCGTGTAGGAGAGGCGGAACAGGGCGTTTATGAGCGACGATTTGCCCGCACCCGTGCGACCCACAATGCCAACTTTCTCACGTGCTCTGATAACAAAGTTGAGAGACTTAAGCACATATTCCGATTTGGGATCCGGGAAATAGCGTAGACTGAGCTCTTCAAACGCAATCTTGCCATGTTCGGGCCAGGTCTTGGGCGGTTTCTTATCAGCTGGCGCTTCCAAAGCGCCCTCCGGTTCAATGTCCTCATACTCAACGACACGCTCCACGGCAGTCATGGTGTTCTCCAGCTCCGCAGACTGACGCATGCCCCACTGCACCATGCCAGTCATGCCCATAGCCTAAAAGAGTGTTTAAAAAAATGGATGAGAGAACTTAGAGCGTAAGCTGCATGCAACTTACTTGGGTAATTGCCAAACCCACTACGCCGCCATTGGCCGGCGGAAATATGAAGAAGCTGAGTGTGATAATGCCAATGTAGATGACACAGAAACAGTCCAGCCAATAGCCAAAGGCACGTGACGTGCTAATGAACATGTAGAATGCCGAGCTATGCAAATTCTGATGATTATCGAACTCGCTAATTAAGACACGCTGTGCTCCAAAAGCTCGAATCGTGGACAGACCCGTCAGCGAGGCGGCCATGTGTGAGTAAATCGGCGAACGAGCTGGGTTATAAATGCAATTAATTAAAATAATAATAGATGTTATAATTGCGATTGCAATTGTAACAAATTACAGTTTACTCACTAATAGCCTCCAAGCGTTTGACATTACGTGAGGTTTTCAGATAGAACGTACGCAACTGATAGAAAATAATGCCCAGCACAAACGTGGGAACGAGAAACAACGGATTGACAATGGCAATGACAATGACAATGCCACCTAAGGCTAAGAATATTTGTATCACATCCATCATGACAGCCGGTAGTATCTCATCCACTTGACCCATATCCTTGGAGAAGCGATTCAGAATCCGACCCGAGGGATTCGTATTGAAAAAATACATTGCAGCACGCGTGATGCCGTGAAACATGGAGTTATGCAGCCGAATCGATGCCCTCATGGCCAAATTGAAGAATAGAAATGAACGCGCCAACGTCACAGCAATTGTGGCAATTGTGATTATGGTAAATATATATGTGTCCAGCATTTCGGCATCCACTGACCAGCCCAATTCGTGCAGCCACATGGACATGCGTGATTCAAGGACATGCGAGACAATTGCTGTCGTATCGTTTGTGGCAGGTGAATTAGTTGAATTCAAGATGGGGGTGCTGTTTTCATTCATGCTCCTAACACTTCCTCCCTTCTTGTCAACCCTACAATAAACAATATTAGAATTTGATTATTTGGGAATATCTTAAATTGGTATTATAAGTCATTGAACCATTAATAAATAAAAACTAATGTTTTACGCTTACCAATATGCAAGAAAATAGTCGCCGAGGGAGGCCATTACTTGGGACAGCACACAGAAGCCCATCATGACGAAGAAGGCGAAGAAACCGCCGCCAGCCTTGAAGTATTTGTTGTACAGTCCCAGTCCGATGCGACCGTGTTCCTGGGACTCCTGCACATGCATTTGGGCGGCCGATGACTCATCCAGACAGGAATCGGCCAGCGATAGGAGAGACAGCTCACTGTTGCGTCGCTTGTCGCTGGCCGAGCCCGATCTGGAGCGTGAGCGCTCCTCGATGCCATGCTCATCGCGTGACGAATCCGCCAGCATTGCGGCAAAGTCTAGGCCTGATTCGCGTAGCGATTCGTATGTGCCCACGGCGCTCACCTGGCCCTTTTCCATAATGACAATCTGATCGGCATGCTGCAGGAATTGCAGCTGATGTGTGACCAGGATCACAATACGCTCCCGCAAATAGCCGCGCATGCACTTCTCGAACAGATGGCGGGCGACATGCGTGTCCACAGCGCTCAGTGGATCATCCAGCAGATAAATCGCCGTCTGGCGATAAACAGCACGCGCCAAACTGATGCGTGCCTTTTGGCCACCCGACAGGGAGGCGCCCCGCTCACCGACAATTGTCTTGTCGCCAAAGGGCAACAGTTCAAAGTCCCGTTCGAGCGCACAGTTCTTCACCACCTGGGCATAGCGACGCTTGTCCATGGCCTGGCCAAAGAGTATATTCTGTCGCACAGTGCCAGTAAATAGCCAGGGCTCCTGCGATGCGTATGAGAAGCTGCCATTGACATGAATCTCACCGGATTCCGCTGTCAGCTCACCCAATATGGCCTGAATGAGGCTGGACTTGCCGGCGCCAGTGCGTCCCACAATGCCCAGCATGGTGCCTGGCTGGACGCGCAGATTAACCCCATTGAGGGTGTAATCCGGTGAGCTGACGTCCCATTTAGCCTTGAGATCCTTGATCGATATTTGCGCTTCGGAGAGCACGGCATTTTCATTGATGTGCGGCAGCGATGAAGGCGTTAGTAGCCTCTCCTGCTCGTGTTCGAGCTTTGAGTGAACCGTGGTTTGATTACTGCCAGGCGAAGCGAGCGGCAGCTCCAGAGACTTATCACTGACATCCGTCTCTTCGTAGAGCATATAGTTGCGCACGCGTTTAATGGAAATCAGGGCTTCAGCCATTTGTGAGATGCCTTGGGGAAAGAAGACGGTCATCGTGGTGCGCAGTATATTATAATAGGCCGTAATTACAAAGGCCTTTTCGGGTGTTAGAAATGTGCCCAGCAGCACGTAGCCCACGAGACTTAGAAAAATGGAAACACGCGTTAGGAATATTATAAAGGATAACAGTATGCCCCTGATATAAGAAACGTGTCTTATTGCATTGATTTCCTTTTTGCGTGCAAATGCCACCATTTGCTCGAAGGGCAACTCCCAGGCATACATCTTGATCACTTGAATGCCAGCAATGATCTCATTCATCATCCGCACACGCTCATCCGTACGCAGAGCGGTGCGCATCCTCAGCCCTGAGGTCTTCTTGCCCAGCCAAGCCTGCATCGGTATGAAGAGCAGCATGAAGGCTACGCCAAACACAGCCGCAATGCCAATCTGCAAGAGATTCCGAATTGTATCAGTGTCAAGGCAAATAAATGTAGACAAATAGCAATTATAAAATATTAAAAACAGCTTAAAATTGTACTATCTAATTATATAGATATATTCTATATAATTAATTGGGTATATCAATTACCTCCAGGTACATCAGATACGTTATAAAAATCGTCTCCAGCGGCCCCACCCACAGATAGTGCACAAATATGGTGGCCAGGTCCAAGCGACCCACATCATTGGACATCAGATTCACAATATGACCAGCTGTGGTGTCGCCCAGCGCCGTCTTGCTCAATCGCAAAGCCTTGCGATAAATCATGCTGCATATTCCCACACGCATTTTCATGCCCACGTGCATGGTGCCCAGCATGTAGGGATGCATAATGATCACATTGAGAGCACTGCAGGCAATCACACCAGCCGCATAATAGTAGGCGGACTCAGGCGTCTCCGAGCCGTACGTAAAATACGATATCAGCTTGAGCAGACACAGGGGCTGCAACGTGCGCAGACACAGTTCCTGCAGGAACAGCACCAGACCCAACAGCCCGAACTGCAATCCAAATACACGAATCAGTGCACACAGCATACTCGGCTCCTTTTTCGAGTCCACCTGCTTCTTTTGTAGCTCTCGTTCCCAGGCAGCACATAAATCATTTCCAAGTGTTTCTAAAAACGTTTGGATCATTTAATCAAAAAGTATGTAAAATAATATAATAATTGTACATGTTTTTATGATAAAAAATGAATTAATTAATAAAAAAGAAAAGCAAAATTATCAAATATATACAAATTTTTTGTTAAGAAAAACAGAAAAAAGAAACATTAAAAAGATAAGCCAACTACTCATTAAAAGACGTAATTTATATATTTATTTTTGTAGTAAATAACATCTAACTTATCCCTTATTTATTCATAAATAATAACATCTTATTGCTTAGTGCTCTTTGCACTTTATATGTTTTAGCTTTATAGATGAGATAAAGCTGGGATTGCAAAACTCGCAATTATGATTAATAAATTATTTTAAGCCGCGCATTATCAACAAGAAAAATTACAAAATTTTTCTCAAACAAATAATTGACAAGTCATTGACCGAATTTGCATATATGTACATATTTAAAAGACAGATGGATTCATATCAGCAAATGCATTCGATTTATATTGAAATTGTTTTATTTCTGTTTTCACTTCTGTTTGGGGAGTGTTCTGGAAATCGGCGCAATATTTGTCTACAATTGATTCTCATTGCGCAAGTTATTATTAAATGGAATTAATTGAACCGATCGTACATTTGTACATAGTACTTATGTATATGTGTATTTATTTATTTAAGAGTACACATTATTATGTGTCATATCTATACAGTGGAAAGCTTTGCTGACTTTGTAATTCGATTTCTTCTTTTTTTTGTAGAATATCATGAAAATGATAAGGCTTACTTGGACAAGCCGAGTATGGGTAATTATTTATTTATTTATTTATGTAGTGTAAACGCACCTGACTTGTGTTCTTTCAATGCCTTGTATAGATCCTCGGTTCCCAGCATTTTCTTGCGTCCCTTGAGGAACGTGGGCATGGTGTACCTAAATACATACGTACATAATAGATAAACAATGCTGGACTTAACATTATTTATAACAAATATCAATAGCACATACCAGAAACATGCCGCTGATATGAAATTGGCATTCTCTCGCGGACTCTCCGGCAAGTCAGCAGTTTTGACCGACTGCATTGCGTATGTTGGGCTGAAGAAACTACGTAACGGTTAAGATAAGATAAACATAAAAAATTTAAAAAAGAATCTTTAAATTTGTGGCTAATTGCTAATTACTATTGCAATCGCTGTGATTGATTATCATTCATTATACGTAATTACACAATATCTTTTACTTTTGAAAATCAATTAATAAGTTAAAAATCCATTCAGCAAACACCTGTAAATTACTAATGTCAGCAAGTCTGTAATTGGTGTATTTATACACTTCCCATGAGTGGCTTCAATTTTGTCTGCAAAGTTTTCGTGATCAATTGTGATTTTCACGTCAATGCTGCGCTTTATTCCCACGATGTGTTAGCTATTTTGTGAACAAACAGTAAACACCTGTTGCAGGTGTGTGTGTGTCTGTGAGTGTGGTGCAACTTTACATTCGAGCACGTATCCGTCTCCCCTTATGCAGTTATATGTATTTGTTTTTTTTTAAATAAACTTTTGCCTCCTCGTGTTATTGCCGGCAAATAACCAATAAATAACGGTAGTTAAGAAAAACATATATATATATAATAATTATTTTTTGTTTGCTTTAGTCTTCTTCGGGTGCGCTAAAATGAGTAATATAAGAGAACTCCAGACACATATATGTATATTTTTGAATATATACCCGCATACATACACTGATAAACAATCAAATACAATACAGACACATATAAGCAGATGTTTGCGGGCTCATTTGAATAGAAACCCTAAGGCAATTCTTCACTGCCGAAAGTCACGCACACATACACATGCTTTTCTGTATACAAGGGCGGATGGAAACAGGGTGCGTATAATTCGCCAATCCCTTTTACGAAGAACTGGGTACGCCCTTGTCTGTATGTATGTTTGTTAGTTTGTACATATTTACTTAAAATAAACACGCGGGTGGCACTTGCAAAACTTGGTTGCCTTATGTATGTATTTAGTTTATTCTTCTTTGCTTGAACATTCGATTTATGTATGAACGTGTGCATGTGTGTGTTGTGTGTTTGTGTGTGCACCTATTTATGCTATATTCACATTAACAGTTAGAACAGCCGGAACAGCAGCAATGCAACAATGAAGTTCCTGTTCACACTCACGAACACTGATTCAACTATAGTTATGTACAATGACGGGAATTTCTTCAATTTTGTGTAAATTATCTAATCGAACTAGTCACCATTACACACAAATTTACGAATTTACATGTAGTAAATGTAAAGCACATATTGCAAACAACTGCAATTGTTTAATTCAAGAGAATCAAAATATAAGCCATTACATACGTTTGTTTATATTGACGCTCAATTAAACTACAAAATCATTCTCTAATTTGTTGTATTTTTTTTTTGTTTTTGTTTAGAACGAAAGGCAATTAACAATAACGAACGTTAGAACCGACGAGCATCAACAAAACCGAACCGTATGCATGCAAGGGCAACATGCTACTGAGAAACAGCTGGCGGCATTCGAACATTTTCAGCGAATTCGCCAACAGCAGCACATATTGCTTGCTCGCACACATGAGCAAATATATGAATTTGCCTGCTCATACGTTTCTGCTGTATATACAAAGAATGTGCGTGTATTTTGTGAAACGGATAATTCAACAAGTCTTACATAGATTGTTAATGGGAAATCATTCAAAAACAAGGTACTCGAAATGTTAAGAAGAATCATCTTAAAGCGACTGTTAAGCCTAAGCTGATTTAAAATATCGAATTTAATAAAATGCCTGTAAGGAATTAAATCAATAGAATATACTTAATTGGATCGCTGTGCAAATACAAACAATGTATGTTTAACAAGGTAAAACAAGTTGTTACGGGCAACGACTATCTGAAATTCTCCCTAACAAACATCCCCTCTTTTTATCATAGAGATAAAACCAAATTAATAAACTTATGTACAATTTTATTTGCCAACAGATAAACTGTTTGGTTTTTTTGTTGTTTCTTTTTCTTCTTCAAAGTTTTAGTTTTTATTTTTCTTTTGTGTTCTCCTCGTACATTCATCAAATGTCTGCACACTCACATATTGAGAAACTTAGGCAACAAGAGCAGAAGCGGTGCTGGACTCGTATTTCCAGTTGGGGGGCAGGACGCTCTTCGTCTTGTAGTAGCGAGCGAGGCGGTGGATTCTCGACTCGACCAGAATCAAACGGAACTTGCCGTCCTTATCCTTGCGACTGCGCTCCAAATGCTTGCGGATGGCAACAGCCTTCTTGATCATGTGGTACAGATCCTCGGGGATGTCGGGCTTGAGGCCAACCGATTTCATGATGCGCAGAATTTTGTTGCCATTAACAAAACGCACCTGAGCCACACCATGCGAGTCACGCAGGATGATGCCTACAATTAGATAGATTCAACATAAAAAAAATACATTATAACATAACCTCAAACAAACACTATATATATCATAATAACAATACCGATTTTTGAGGGTGTCAGGCCCTTCTTGCCAAGGTTCCTGATCTGCTCCTTCACATCCTCAGCATTGAGCTTCAACCATGAGGGGACTGAGCGCCTGTAGGGCAAAGCTGATTGGGAAATACCCTTGCTGCGAATGAAATCAATCGTATTTGTTAATATAGACAGTGAATGGCAACGAGAAGAGGAAGAGCTGCCGTATTCATTTGCAACATGTGCTTGCCATGGTGGCCAAATTTACGATCAAAACTAGTGCACCACATGTAGTTTTTATACTGCTATTGGTTGAGAATATACTGGCACTTTAATCAAGCACATTTTACAATAATACTCGCTAATTGATAATATTAAAATCAACTACCCAGGAGCGTGCATACGACCCATGATGTTACTAGCTTAGTTTTTTACACCGAAAAGAAAGTGGAGACTTGTCAAACAACAGTCTACAATTAAAGTCTACACAAAGCAGGGTTGCATTGGGTACTGTCACCTAACAACTGCTCACCACTGTTAAGTGCGACTCGTTACTCTTTACATCTGTAGATTTTGCTCATTCTGAAAAGTATTGTTCTAGAAGCGAATTCCTTGCAGTAATTCAAATAAAAATGCAGCAAGATAAATACAGTGAGTTGCTGAATAAGCTGGAAAACGACGAGCTAGAGGTGTGTCAATTGCCCATGGGCAAAGCAATTCCATTTATATAAAGCTTCCGGTATTTCCACAGAATATTTCACCAGGCGCTGAGCTTTACCAGCAGCTGATGGCGATTTATCTTTATCAAAACAAACTGTGCGTGAGATAATTTAAAATAATGTATTATTCTTATACGTTAATTTAATTTGTATTGTTTACAGTGCCAGTGCAAAGCTACTTTGGATGCGTATATCTAATAATCTGAAAGAGAACAACAAAGAACTGGCTCAACTAAATCTGCTGAATCTGGCGCTGCAACACAATAAATATTCCGAATTCTTCAAGTATATTAAATACGAATGGTCCGAGAGCAACAAGCTCATAATTGATGATCTTTTATGTAAGTGGAGTGAAATATGTTCAGACAATTGACTCATAGATTATTTCCAATGCAGTCAAGCAGCGCGAGGAGCTCTTGAACTTGACATCCAGCGCCTATGTCTCCATTTACGAGCACAATCTGCTGCAGATGACGCAAATGACTCCGGATGAACTGAAAAGTGCCTGCTTGGGTTGGACGCGCGAACAGGATGGTGAAGAGCATATATGGCAACCGAAAATTAAGGAACCGACTCCTAGCATTGCCAGCGATGATCAGTTGCTCAAGTTGACTGAATTTGTGTCATTTTTAGAAAATTAGTGAATACAAATTAAATTATTTTATTTGTCAACATCTTTTTGTCTGTCTGTTAGTTGGAGGAGCAGTTCTGTTGGCACGGGGAGTAGTTCTGTTAACAGGTATCGAGTAGTATCGTCTGTCTCGTTGTGTCATTTGGAAGAATAAAAAAAATTGCACGGCAGCGCATTTTCACTGGAAAATCAATCGGGAAAACATTTTTTACGGTAGAAATTTGTAAACGATTTGCGATACAAACTGTGCGAAAGCATTTAATCTAACTTTAAACAGTTCAACCAAGTTACGGACTATTTGGTATTTCGTGCGGTGAAAAAAAAAACCTATTTTCCGTACAACTGTGTGTGTGAGAAAAGAAAAATGGCAGCAAGCGACAAATCTGTCGATGATTCTCTTTATCCCATTGCGGTATTAATTGATGAATTGAAAAATGAGGATGTACAGGTTGGTTAATTTCTCTGCTTGCTTCAGATGCACACAATTATAAACGTGTGGAGTCTCAATATATACAATTATATTTCTACATACATACATATGTCTGTGTGTATGTATGCATGTATGTATATGCATGCATAGGTATGTATATCTATGCAAAAAAGTGCGTCACTATGTGAATGATAAAAGTACCCAAGTATGTGAGTTGTGTGTGTGTGCAGATCTGATATCTTTATTTAATTAATTTAATAAAATTAACCCAAAAAATTTTCCATTTAGTTGCGTTTGAACTCAATCAAGAAGCTGTCAACGATTGCACTCGCATTGGGCGAGGAACGCACTCGCTCCGAGCTGATACCGTTCCTAACTGAGACAATATACGATGAGGATGAGGTGCTCTTAGCATTAGCTGATCAATTGGGCAATTTCACAAGTAACTAAAATCCCTTAGGGGTAGTACAACAAAAAGGAAAAGCACATAATCAAAATAAATTTTATTTTCTTAGGTCTTGTGGGTGGTCCGGAATATGCCATGTATTTGCTGCCTCCGCTGGAGAGCCTGGCCACTGTGGAGGAGACCGTGGTGCGCGACAAGGCTGTGGAATCTTTGCGCACCGTTGCCGCCGAGCATAGTGCCCTGGATTTGGAAATTCATGTGGTGCCGACGCTACAGCGCCTCGTCTCCGGCGATTGGTTCACCTCGCGCACTTCCGCCTGCGGTCTCTTCTCCGTCTGTTATCCACGGGTCACACAGCCGGTCAAAGCGGAGCTGCGTGCCAATTTCCGTAAATTGTGCCAGGACGAGACGCCTATGGTGCGACGCGCCGCGGCCAATAAGTTGGGCGAGTTCGCCAAGGTCGTGGAGACGGAGTATCTCAAATCAGACTTGATACCCAACTTTGTGCAGTTGGCGCAGGACGATCAGGACTCTGTGCGACTGTTGGCCGTGGAGGCTTGTGTGAGCATTGCACAACTGCTGCCTCAGGATGATGTGGAACATGTAAAGAAATTATTCTTGCGCTGAAATTCGTCATATTTCACATATGTGTGTATTCTATTACCATTGCAGTTGGTGTTGCCCACGTTACGTCAATGTGCCAGCGATTCGTCTTGGCGTGTTCGATACATGGTTGCCGAGAAATTTGTTGACTTACAGAAAGCCGTGGGTCCGGAAATAACTCGTGTCGATCTGGTGCCCGCCTTCCAATATCTGCTTAAGGATGCCGAGGCGGAGGTGCGTGCTGCCGTTGCTACTAAAGTGAAGGACTTTTGCGCCAGCCTTGACAAGGCCAATCAGGTTCAGATTATCTTGAGCTCTATTTTGCCGTATGTACGCGACCTCGTCTCGGATCCCAATCCACATGTCAAGTCTGCGCTGGCCTCTGTCATCATGGGTCTCAGTCCCATGCTGGGCGCCTATCAAACTGTCGAACAGCTGCTGCCACTGTTCCTCATTCAGTTGAAGGATGAGTGCCCCGAAGTTCGTCTCAATATTATCTCCAACTTGGATTGCGTCAACGATGTCATTGGCATCCAACAGCTAAGTCAGGTGAGTGAAATTCAAATTACAATTGTAAAATATTAATTCTATTTTCCAAGTGCATCTTTTCTATGCATGTCTATGCATGAATTTCATATGTCTTATTTGTATATGCATTATTTATGAAGACCAAATTAAATGTTTTAACATAAAGTAAAAGAGAAGTTTCTAAAAAATCTATTTATAATTCCCGCAAATATCAAATCAAAATCTAAGAGCAATTGCTGTATAGCTTCAAATGAGCAGCTTTATATATCTAATATATTCTTTCTTTTTGTGACAGTCCCTACTGCCCGCCATTGTGGAACTGGCTGAGGATTCCAAGTGGCGCGTGCGCCTAGCCATCATTGAGTACATGCCCGCGTTGGCTGGTCAGCTGGGTCAGGATTTCTTTGACCAGAAGCTGCGCGGTCTGTGCATGGGCTGGCTCAATGATCACGTCTATGCCATACGCGAGGCGGCCACTTTGAATATGAAGAAACTTGTCGAACAGTTCGGCGCACCTTGGGCCGAGCAGGCCATAATTCCAATGATATTAGTCATGTCACGCAACAAAAACTATTTGCACAGTACGTACAATAGGCACACATAAAATTGCGTATTTATTTAAACTTATATATTATTGTTTATATAGGAATGACCTGTCTGTTCTGTCTTAATGTTTTGGCTGAGGTGTGTGGCACGGATATAACCACAAAACTGTTGCTACCCACTGTGCTGCTGCTTGCCACTGATCCAGTTGCCAACGTGCGTTTCAATGTGGCCAAAACATTACAGAAGATATCACCCTTCCTCGAGGCGAGCGTCATTGATGCGCAAGTGAAGCCCACGCTTGACAAACTGAATGCTGATGCCGATGTCGATGTGAAACATTTTGCTGCACAAGCGATTGCGGGCATAGCAGCCGGTAAGTAATGGTCAAGTCTACATTAAGCACATACGTCACACACATATGCAGAGATAAAGCACGGAACGCCAAAAGAACACAACTCAAACCTATAAAACCATACAAAGTTTGTCATAGAAATCTCTATATAAGCATCTTCATTTAGAAATGGAACTAAATGTGTTTAGAACCGCTGTGCCGCCCTGCATGGGTGCGAAGCTTGAGGCGGCCATGGACTCCAAGCTGATCGTTGAGCCGCCACCAATTTCAGCGGCAGCTGAGACTGGTGGCGTGCTGCTCGAACTAAATGCTAAAACGGAGAACAGCTCCAGTGCGGAGGGGGATGAGCAGCAGAAGAGTGTTTCGGAATGTTAGAAGGATGAGTAGACAATAAATGTGCAACAAAAAAAACCTCTTGTCTGGGGCTGAGCTCCTTATCCAATGCATTGGCTAATCAGCAACAGTTTACAAGTTGCAGTAATCGAAATATAAAAAAAAAAGAATCCTTTGTGTTCCCTAGTGTCTTTCCAATATTTGTACATTTAATTAAATTGTGTGTGGTTCTTAAGAGAGCTTTTAACTAAATTGTGAGTCTAATTACTAATTACTAATTGTCGTTTCATAATTTTCTCTGTCTCTTTGCCGGTCTGGTCCCGAACACGCCTCCACCTGTTGATTGTGTTGTACTTTCTGTCTTATTGTTAAACATTACAGCGTAATCAACTATTTAATTTTTTATTCTATTTTTAAAATGTATGTATTTCACACGCTGGCAACAACAAACAAATATAATTATTGTGTAGCAACACTTAAAAACGGAAACTTGTAGTTAAAATCCCTTGAGAAGAAACACACCACATGAGCAGAACTGGAGGAGTCCTGCAAGAGATCACAGCACCTCAACAAGTAAACCCGAACGGAACAGCCTACATATTTAACATTTTCAAAATGCATAAGTCGAGCGAGCGAAGGAAGATGAATAAAGAGTAAAGAGCCACAGAAACGCGACACAAGAGAATATATTACTTACATACTTATAAAATACATAATTTACCATATAAGCTTAAATTCATTATTAAAACAAATAAATGTGTAGACTTTGGCAAAATGTATTGGTTAAACGCATCTGAATGCAAAATAAAAATTATTGTAAAAGTATTCTCAAATGTTTATCTGTATTTATTTTTTAACTATTTGTCGAATAGCATTATCAAATTTATATATATGTATGTAATATTAACCATATACAATATGTACATTTGATTTGAACTGCTATTAATTTAAATATTTTTGGTATTGGAAAAAATTTAACTTATTTTAAAAACTTTTAACTGAATGGCATATTTTTTGCTTGTTTTTAAACTCTAATTATATGTTTGCAGTTTTGCCACTTTCGTGTATGTATGCCATTTGAGTGCGTGTGTGTGTGTGTGTGTGTGTGTATTTAGCAGAGAGCAAGCCAAGCGACTGTGTAATGAGCGGAAAATGGTGAGAGAGGGAGAAAAGAGAGCGTGATGAGCATGTGTGTGCTGTTTACTGGCGCAGATCAGTTTCGGTTGTCATTGCGTGGCGATACGTTGTAGTTTAACGTGCTGGCGCGCACAGGTTAATATAGTTTACAGAGTCAACAGACGAATTAGATCTATTGCGTGCAGGTTGTTGTGAGTGCTTGCCTAATATTTGTTATAAATTACATGGCAAATATTATCGAGTGTTGATTGATGGTTAGCTAAAGGCAGTAAACACAAATTTTGGTGTGTGTGTGTGAGCGTGCTTGTGCTCAAAACGAAAGAGAAAGCCAATAAATAATTTTCTGATTCGCCGCACATTTGTACACAATTACAGTTCGTATTTGTATGTAAATGTGTTCGTCTAGGTTTGCATGTGTGCGAGTGTTTGTGCGGCTATACTTTAATTCAGAAAGTGCAATTAAGGCTACACTTCAAATATTACTGCTATTTACCGACAAACACATTTGACAAAATATATGAACAGCTAAAATTAGTTTTTTTTTTATAGTTTTATGTTAGCCTCTACGATTGTCAAAGCACTCACAATACGTTCATTAACAACACGAATATGTTGTGGCGTCTATCGTACTTTGAGCTCAAGTGTCGCGTTTCATTAAACTTATTACCGCAATCCCCTTCCTCCCCTGCCCCTGACATCACTGATTAGCCTGGCGCTTTTGAGCACTGTGTCTGTGTCTTTTGCAGCGGGTCATAAATGTAAATTGAAGTGCCGTTGCGGACACATTTATGACATTACCGTTACAAAAAAAAAATATGATTACGAAGTGCTTGGTGCAGATTGCTTTGCTGCGATTTAGAAATCGACAACCCTACAAAAAACCATACTTATATACATACATGTTTATATATATAAATATATATGTACATACCTACCTATTATACAAATATATGTATATGTGTGTGTGTTTGTATATTAATCTTATCACAAATCCTATACGAAGCGTCAGAATTTAATTAGTATTAAATGATTGAACGTGATTTAGCTATATGGATTTTCACTTAGTTTTTACTAATCAGCACAGGTGACTGGAAGTGGTCTAAATTTTGAGTGGGACACCCAAGGAGATTCCGGAACTAACTGCTAATATTGCAAAAATTTGAATAAAAAAAAATATATTTAATAATATTGCAAAAATGTGAATATTTATCCAAATAATCCGTTTATGTTTTATTTATATATTTTTTTCTTACAGCACAAATATGCACAAGGCCATCAAAAACAAATCACGTAAGTAAAATAACATAATTTATCTATATATATATAAATATATATATATCGATTCATATATCGGTCATTTATTATGTATGTATATGTATATATTCCGCACATATATAATAATACACCATTTAAAATTTAAATGGGATTCATAACTACCGAAAACGGTAATCATTAAAATAGATAAATTGCCAATCCTAAATGATATGCAACCATTGAGCAATTGTATTATCTTTTTTTTTTTAATATACTTATACCTTTCCCACAATCATCATATATTTACGTAATTGCCAACTTTTTTGTATCTCATGTATTTTCAGGGTTATTATGTGGCCTTAAAAGAGCTAAGGCAGATTTAACAACAGCCAAATTCATATTGTATTATGGGTTAGTATTCATTAAAAACATTCAGTATCCATTTAATACAAACCAACCCTCTGTTCACAGACCCAGCGTAGCTGATAGCGATATTTATGATCTAACCGACTCGAAGAATCTTCTGGAAGATGAGCATTTGGACTTAAGCAAGAATACAGTTTTGTATTTGCACGGCTATCTAGAGGATCCCGATGTGGAGAGCATGCATGTCATCGCGGAGGCCTATTTGGACCGCAACGACACAAATCTTATTTGTCTGGACTGGGGTGAACTGGCGGATGGCAATTATATATTCGATGCGGTAGTCAATGCAAAACAGTTGGGACCATATCTTGCCAAAGTTTTGCTTGAAATGTTTGACCATGGCTTAGATATTGAGAAACTGCACATTGTTGGACACTCACTGGGCGGTCAGATGGCTGGGATTATTGGTCGAGAGATCCTTAAGCGGTCCAAGGGTACAATGAAAATAAAACGGTGATTTTTAACTAAGCAATATGTAAGTTGACGACTTTACTAATTTTGTATCATTCTTGCCCAGAATAACCGGCCTGGATCCAGCATTTCCACTTTTCTATTTCACCGCTGGATTAGCCAACCATATCAATAAAAATGATGCCGAATTCGTGGATATTATACACACAGATGCGTGGCTCTATGGAGCACCCAGCAGTTCTGGTACAGTGGACTTCTGGCCAAATGGTGGCAAAACACTACAGCCAGGTTGTCCGCAACGCAACTATAAAATGCTCAGCGATAATGATTTGTCGAGCCATCGGCGTAGCTGGTGGTTTTGGGCCGAGAGTGTATCTGATCGTTTTCCTATTAAATTCGATGCCGTGGCCGCCAAAAGCTGGGAAGAGTTCAAACAAAAAAAAATTGAAGAATCTGATCAGACTGTAGTGATGGGTCATAATTGTCCCACAACGTAAGTTGATAAGAACACGAAAAAACCGCTAAAATACATATATTATGAACTATATATATTATATATTACACTTTAGCGTACATGGCGATTTTTACTTACAAACAAATGGCGTAACACCCTTTGCACGTGGCAAAGAGGGTATTACCTATGTGGATCCAAAGGAACTTATGGGCAATAACAATACTTATGAAGTCACAGTACCCGAAAAGTAAATCAAAGAATTATAATGTATTTAGCGCACAATTAAGTGCTATTTTAATAAATTGTTGCTTGCTTTTGTTAACTGAACATGAGGTTTTTAATATTTTATATGTGTCGATTGTTAAGTCATGTTTTTCCAAATGTTTCTTAAATTTAGTTTACCGACAAACAGTACAAACGAAAGTTTAATTACTAGTTCACATCTGGCAAGTAAAAGACTCAACATATTTGCAAGAGTAATTATAATAATGATTTATTAACAACACTCAACCATTTTCGCTAATCCTCGTGAAGTACTCTGTTTTTAATTATGTTAAATATGAGTATCATCATATGTTGCGTTCAACATTAAATTTATTCTGCCTGCTTTAAAAACCGAAATAACTTAATTTTAAATTAAAATATACAATACTAAATTGTTGGACCGATCATGTGAAGGTGAAGGTGGAGAGAGACAGAGAGGTCAACGTGAGATGTAAAAAATAAAAACGTAATACTTTGATCGAAGTTCAATGATCGTCAAGCATTTCCAATCAGATCGAGAGAAACCGTGTATTTAAATAGAGTTAGAATCGATTGTTATTTAGTTACTAATTTTACGTCATGTTAAAGTGCTTGCAAATTTGTTGCTTGTGCTTTTAGCTATGATTTCACAAAGTGGTGTATAATCCATGCACATATTAAAGGGAATACAAAAATCCACACACGACAAAAATCGTTTTCTTTTATTTTTAAAAATCTGATACCGAAGGTATGGACGCACATTTTTCGACATCCTTAGAGATATAAATTTGAAACTTGGAACAAATACTGGTTTGGGCCCGCGCCAGACAAAGTGTAAAAATTGGAGGGTTACGTTCACTAAAAGGCTAAAAGGCAAATCAATAAGACCACATATGTTCCATAATTTTAAGGCTACAGTCACCAAATGTACAGTCACCGATGTCCTTCAAAGATCAGCATATGCCAACTTCGGTCCCCTCTCCCCTGAAAATTTGAAGTGACAATATCTTCTGCAGCTTTTGAGTTAGATCCGTCAAATTTTGTATGTATATTACTGGTATCCGTCTTTAAGAACCGATAACAAATTTGCATGGTCACGCCCAGAATTGCGCCCATGTGGGCCAAAGCCGATATATCAGAAAGTGTACATCGATAAGTCCACATATCTGCTACAATTTTAAAGATTGCGTCACCAAAGGTAACTTGCTGGCAACCTTGTTCAAAGATCTTCATATACATTTTCCGATCACGCCCACACACGCCCACACCCCTCATGAACTTCGGCCCTAGAAATCACCAAATATTGAAAGTATGTTAATAGTAACTCCCTAAGAGATTGACGCCCAGTCTACCTCCCAACAACGTTGCACATTTTAGTGTAAGTCGAGAAAACTATATACAATTTTGGACCAAACGAAAATACCTTATATCTCCCGCAATTTAAGAGCTATAGTTAGCAAACTTGGAAGGAAGATACTAGGAACCAAAATTCTCAATAGCCTATATCATGCGCAATTTTAAAGGCAAACTTTGAGGATAGATAACAAGGAATCTCCTTCAAAGATCGGATTTTCTTGGCTTATTGGCTCTTATGGTATCAGATTAGTTCGCAGTCGGTTACACCCAATTGCAACGTTCGCACTTATTTATTAATATTTTAATGACGTCAGTATATCTATTGAAACAGGTGAGAGAATAATATGTGTTTTTATATAAATATAATAAATAAATATATTTGAGTGAGCCTCTGTATATCTATTGAAACAGGTGTGACAAAAATATGTGTTTTTAATTTAATTCAAGCGAAAAATATTTGTATTTTTTCCAGAAATTCCAGAATAAGTAAGTTGATACATGAAAGCTGTTCATAAGTATTTCGAAAATTGTCAGAAGTTGCAGTTGAAAATAATATTACCAATATGACATGGAGCAGAATCATACTGATATTTTTTCCGAGTAAGATAAATGTGCTTAGACAATATGGTCCAGTTTTTACTATTGATTTTGCCGGAAAATTAACACCGTTAAGTAAAAGGATATTCTACGAAAACTTTCATTAGTCACATTGCTGAGAGAATATTAAAAAATTCGAAAATTAAAGAAAATGATTCCATAACCATGCCCGAATTTTTGAGATCGTTACTGTATAAACATTAAATTGAAATGGGATCATCATCATATATTTACGTAATTATACCATTGAAATATACTTTCTTTTCAGTGTTACTATGGAGCCTCCCTCTCTCAAATTCCACGTCAGATTTATCAACAACTCGATTTGTATTGTTAGTATTCACTACTTCATTCAGTACTCCTTTAATAAAAATACCTCTATCCCTACTTATGCAGCCAAGAAGACGTCTACAATCTTAGCGACTCCAAGAACTTGGTGGACAAATTAGACTCTACTAAAACTACTGTGTTGTATATGCATGGTTTGAATGAGAATATTAATTCCGAGAGCGTTCAAGTTATCGCAGAGGCCTATTCGGAGCGCAGTGATACAAACTTAATTATTCTGGATTGGTCTCAACTAGCGGAAGATAATTATTTATCCCTTGTGTTGGTGAATTTACAACAATTGGCACAATATTTGGCAACAGTTTTGCTTGAAATGTTTGACCAAGGCTTGGATATTGTGAAACTGCACATTGTTGGGCACTCACTGGGCGGACAGTTGGCTGGCAATACTGGTCGTGAGATCCTTAAGCAATCCAACGGTGTCAAGAAAATAAAAAGGTGACTTCGCAACATGAACTACAAAGTTCTTCACCTGATAATTCATTTCATACCATACTTGCTCAGAATTAGCGGCTTGGATCCAGCCTTCCCTCTTTTCTACTTTAACGCTGGCATAATCAAACACCTGTCAAAAGATGATGCCGAATCAGTAGATGCTATACACACAGATGGGTTTCGCTTTGGGGCACCGATCAGCACATGCACAGCGGATTTCTACCCTAATGGTGGCACTGCACCTCAGCCGGGTTGCCAGAATGAAATGCTCAACCCTATTGATTTGTGTAGCCATCAGCGTAGCTGGTGGTTTTGGGCCGAGAGTGTATCTGATCGTTTTCCTGAAAAATTTAATGCGGTGGCTGCCGAAAACTGGATATTATTCATGCTAAATGTTAAGAAACCTGATAAAGCTGTCATGGGTCATTATTGTCCCACAACGTAAGTTAGAAGGGAGACGAATATGTTTTTAAGAAAATTGATTTGTATTTACCTTAAATATTTTATTTTAGTGCACGTGGCAACTATTACTTGCAAACGAATGGCGAAACACCCTTTGCACGTGGAGAGAAGGGCCTTACATACATGTACATGTAAGGAACTTTTAGGTAATGCCAATACCTATATGTTATTATTATACAATCAAAATATATTATTATTATATCTTATGATACAAATATATACATACATCAACGGCAAATGTTTAGATTTGAAAATAAATCGATGATTTTTGAACATTAATTTGTTGTTTTTCTTTAGATTTCTTAAGGTCTACATAAATTGCGCCAACAGAATCGATATTAAAGTATCGATATCAATGAATTTATTTATCTGATCAGGCTGTAGTGATGGGTCACAATTGTCCCACAACGTAAGTTGTGGATGTGGATCCAAATGAACTTATGGGCAATAACAATACTTATGAAGTCACAGAACCCGAAAACTAAATCAAAGAATTATAATGTATTTAGCGCACAATTAAGTGCTATTTTAATAATTGTTGCTTGCTTTTGTTAACTGAACATCAGGTTTATAATATTTGATATGTTTCGATTGTAAAATTATTTTTTTTTCCAAAGGTTACTTAAATTTCGTTTAGCGCCAAACAGTACAAACGAAATGAATATGGAAAATGGTTAAGGTATGCAAAACAATATACGTAGATGCTTTCATCACATTGGTGTCAAATATTTAGCTTAGAATATATATTTACACAATTTTAATTACTAGCTTACAGCTGGCAAGTAAAAGTGGCAGCTTATTTGCAAGAGTAATTATAATAATGATTTGTTAACAACACTTAATCATTTTCGCTTATCTTCGTGAGGTACTCTGTTTTTAATTATGTTAAATATAAGTTTCATCATATTTTGATTTCAACATTAAATTTATTCAGCCTGCTTTAAAAACCGAAATACCTAAATTTTAAATTAAAATATACAATACTAAGTTGTTGGACCGATCATTTAGGTCGGCAAAGGTAGGTACATATTCTTAAGATTTTATGGCAATAAAGAAAACATTTTTGGTATCTAAGTAGAGTGGAGTATAGTTCTAATGCGCGAGATGTAAAACCAAAATATCTTAGTAGTTTGATCAAAGTTCAAAAATCATCAAGCATTTCCACTCAGATCGAGGGAACCGTGTATTTAAGTAGAGTTAGAAACGATTGTTATTTAGTTACTAATTTTACGTCGACACAATAAGACCTCGGCCCTAACCAACTGTGCCTTTTCATTTAAGTGTTAAAATGCTTGCAAATTTGTGGCTTGTGCTTATAGCTATGATAACACAAAGTGGTATATAATCCATGCACATATTAAACGGATCACAAAAATCCCCATACTACAAACACAGTTTTCTTATATTTTTTTATTAATATTTTAATGAACCTCAGAAAATCTGACTAATGAAACATATGTGAGAAATTAAAAATAAATTGTTACATGAAAGCTGTTCATAAATATTTAGACATTTGTTAGAAGTTGCAGTTGAAAAACAATAATATTATCGATATGCCATGGAGCAGAATCATACTGATATTTTTCCCGAGTAAGATAAATGTGCTTAGACAATATGGTCCAGTTTTTACTATTGATTTTGCAGGAAAATTAACACCGTTAAGTAAAAGGATACGAGTATTCTACGAAAACTTTCATTAGTCACATTGCTGAGAGAATATTAAAAAATTCGAAAATTAAAGAAAATAATTTCATAACCATGGCCGAATTTTTGAAATCGCCACTGTATAAACTAATACATAAATTAAATTGAAATGGGATCATCATCATATATTTACGTAATTATAAACCTTATATATATTTACTTTTCAGTGTTACTATGGAGCCTCCCTCTCTTAAATTTCACGTCAGACTTATCAACAGCTAAATTTGTATTGTTAGTATTCACTACTTCATTCAGTACTCCTTTAATACAAATAACTCTTTCCCTACTGATGCAGCCTAGAAGACGTCTACAATCTTAGCGACTCCAAGAACTTGGTGGACAAATTAGACTCTACTAAAACTACTGTGTTGTATTTGCATGGTTTTGGTGAGAATATGAATTCGGAGAGCATTCAAGTCATCGCAGAGGCCTATTCGGAGCGCAGTGATACAAACTTAATTATTCTGGATTGGGCACAACTGGCGGGTGGTGATTATGCATTGGATGCGGTTGTCAATGTAAATCGATTGGGATCACATTTGGCAACAGTTTTGCTTGAAATGTTTGACCAAGGCTTGGATATTGAGAAACTACACATTGTTGCTCACTCACTGGGCGGACAGTTGGCTGGCAATACTGGTCGAGAGATCCTTAAGCAATCCAACGGTGTCAAGAAAATTAAAAGGTGACTTCGCAACATGAACTACAAAGTTCTTCACCTGATAATTCATTTCATACCATACTTGCTCAGAATTAGCGCCTTGGATCCAGCCTTCCCTCTATTCTACTTGAACGCTGGCATAATCAAACACCTGTCAAAAGATGATGCCGAATTCGTAGATGTTATACACACAGATGCGTGGCACTATGGAGCACCGTTCAGCACTGGCACAGCGGATTTCTGGCCTAATGGTGGCACTGCACCTCAGCCGGGTTGCCAGAATGAAATGCTCAACCCTATTGATTTGTGTAGCCATCAGCGTAGCTGGTGGTTTTGGGCCGAGAGTGTATCCGATCGTTTTCCTGAAAAATTTAATGCGGTGGCTGCCGAAAACTGGATATTATTCATGCTAAATGTTAAGAAACCTGATAAAGCTGTCATGGGTCATTATTGTCCCACAACGTAAGTTAGAAGGGAGACGAATATGTTTTTAATTAAATTGATTTGTATTTACTTTAAATATTTTATTTTAGTGCACGTGGCAACTATTACTTGCAAACGAATGGCGAAACACCCTTTGCACGTGGAGAGAAGGGCCTTACATACATGTACATGTAAGGAACTTTTAGGTAATGCCAATACCTATATGTTATTATTATACAATCAAAATATATTATTATTATATCTTATGATACAAATATATACATACATCAACGGCAAATGTTTAGATTTGAAAATAAATCGATGATTTTTGAACATTAATTTGTTGTTTTTCTTTAGATTTCTTAAGGTCTACATAAATTGCGCCAACAGAATCGATATTAAAGTATCGATATCAATGAATTTATTTATCTGATCAGGCTGTAGTGATGGGTCACAATTGTCTCACAACGTAAGTTGTGGATGTGGATCCAAATGAACTTATGGGCAATAACAATACTTATGAAGTCACAGAACCCGAAAACTAAATCAAAGAATTATAATGTATTTTGCGCAAAATGATGTGATATTTTAATAAATTGTTGCGTGCTTTTGTTAACTAAACATCAGGGTTATAATATTTTATATGTTTCGATTGTTAAGCCTTTTTTTATCAAATGTTTCTTAAATTTCGTTTAGCGCCAAACAGTACAAACGAAATGAATATGGAAAATGGTTAAGGTATGCAAAACAATATACGTAGATGCTTTTATCACATTGCTGGCAAATGTTTAGCTTATGTGTACACTTAGAATATATATTTACACAATTTTAATTACTAGCTTACAGCTGGCATGTAAAAGTGGCAACTTCTTTGCAAGAGTAATTATATTAATGATTTATTAACAACACTTAATCATTTTCGCTTATCTTCGTGAGGTACTCTGTTTTTAATTATGTTAAATATGAGTTTCATCATATTTTGATTTCAACATTAAATTTATTCAGCCTGCTTTAAAAACCGAAATACCTAAATTTTAAATTAAAATATACAATACTAAGTTGTTGGATCGATCATGTAGATCGGTAAAGGTATTTACATTTTCTTAAGATTTCATGGCAATAAAGAAAACATCTTAGGTATTTTAGTAGAGTGGTGGGAGTAGAGTTCTAATGCGCGAAATGTAAAAACTAAAATCTCTTAGTAGTTTGATCAAAGTTCAAAGATCATCAAGCATTTCCACTAAGATCGAGGGAACCGTGTATTTAAGTAGAGTTAGAAACAATTGTTATTTAGTTACTAATTTTACGTCGACACAATAAGACCTCGGCCCTAACCAACTGTGCCTTTTCAATTAAGTGTTAAAATGCTTGCAAATTTGTGGCTTGTGCTTATAGCTATGATAACACAAAGTGGTATATAATCCATGCACATATTAAAAGGATCACAAAAATCCCCATACGACAAACACAGTTTTCTTATATTTTTTTATTAATATTTTGATGAACCTCAGAAAATCTGACTAATGAAACATATGTGAGAAATTAAAAACAAATTGATGCATGAAAGCTGTTCATAAATATTTAGACATTTGTTAGAAGTTAAGATTTGTCACGATGACAAAGAATGAGCAGAATCGTTCTGATATTATTTCCGAGTAAGATAAATGTGCTTAGACAATATGGTCCAGTTTTTACTATTGATTTTGCCGGAAAATTAACACCGTTAGGTGAAAGGATATTCTACGAAAAGTTAAATTAAGTTAAGAAAGATAAGTTACAGAAAAAATTAAAAATATAAAGAAAATGATTCTATAATAATGCCCGAATTTTTGAGATCGCCACTGTATAACCTAATACATAAATTAAATTGAAATGGGATCATCATCATATATTTACGTAATTATAAACTTTATATATATATTTTTTTTTTCAGTGTTACTATGGAGCCTCCCTCTCTCAAATTCCACTTCAGATTTATCAACAGCTAAATTTGTATTGTTAGTATTCACTACTTCATTCAGTACTCCTTTAATACAAATACCTCTATTCCTACTGATGCAGCCTAGAAGACGTCTACAATCTTAGCGACTCCAAGAACTTGGTGGACAAATTAGACTCTACTAAAACTACTGTGTTGTATTTGCATGGTTTTAATGAGAATATGAATTCGGAAAGCATTCAAGTCATCGCAGAGGCCTATTCGGAGCGCAATGATACAAACTTAATTATTCTGGATTGGGCACAACTGGCGGGTGGTGATTATGCATTGGATGCGGTGGTCAATGTAAATCGATTGGGATCACATTTGGCAACAGTTTTGCTTGAAATGTTTGACCAAGGCTTGGATATTGAGAAACTACACATTGTTGGGCACTCACTGGGCGGACAGTTGGCTGGCAATACTGGTCGAGAGATCCTTAAGCAATCCAACGGTGTCAAGAAAATTAAAAGGTGACTTCGCAACATGAACTACAAAGTTCTTCACCTGATAATTCATTTCATACCATACTTGCTCAGAATTAGCGCCTTGGATCCAGCCTTCCCTTTATTCTACTTGAACGCTGGCATAAACAAACACCTGTCAAAAGATGATGCCGAATTCGTAGATGTTATACACACAGATGCGGGGAAGTCTGGAGCACCGTTCAGCACTGGCACAGCGGATTTCTGGCCTAATGGGGGCAGAACATTGCAGCCGGGTTGTCCGAAAAAAATGCTCCCGGAGAGTATTGTGTGTAGCCATCAGCGTAGCTGGTGGTTTTGGGCCGAGAGTGTATCCGATCGTTTTCCTGAAAAATTTAATGCGTTGGCTGCCAAAAACTGGAGACTCTTCAAGCTGAATGTTACCGAATCTGGTGAAGCTGTCATGGGTCATTATTGTCCCACAACGTAAGTTAGAAGGGAGACGAATATGTTTTTAAGAAAATTGATTTGTATTCTCTTTAAATATTTTATTTTAGTGCACGTGGCAATTATTACTTGCAAACGAATGGCGAAACACCCTTTGCACGTGGAGAGAAGGGCCTTACATACATGTAAGGAACTTTTAGGTAATGCTAAAACCGATTGTTATTATTATATTATCAAATTATATTATTGATGCATCTTACGATACCAATATACATATATCAACGGCAGATGTTTAGATTTGAAAATAAATCGTTGATTTTTGAACATTAATTTGTTGTTCTGGTGCTTGTCGTGATGTTCTTTAGTTATTTTTTAAAGTCTACATATAACGCGCCAGAGTCTATATTAAAGTATCGATATCAATGAATTGACTTATCGATACCGAATACTCAACCTCGTTGCGAGAGTATCGCGCATCTCTCGTGGCTTCTTGCACACATAAGTAAAACATAAGAAACTTGCTGTTAAAAACAAAAATTTATCAAAATGAAAATAAAGCTCATTGACTCCGTTGTGCGAAGCTTTAAGGTGGCCAAGATATTTCGCGAGAACACAGATAAAATCAACGCCATCGACTTTGCACCAAATGGCGAGCATCTAATCTCCTGCAGCGAGGATGACCAAATTGTTATATACGATTGCGAGAAAGGTACCCAGTCCAGGACGGTGAACTCGAAGAAGTATGGTGTGGATCTCATTCACTTTACACATGCAAACAATACGGCAATACACAGTTCGACAAAGGTGGACGATACGATCAGATATCTTAGCTTGCACGACAACAAGTACTTGCGCTATTTTCCCGGGCACACAAAGAAGGTGATTTCGCTGTGCATTTCGCCGGTGGAGGATACTTTTCTGTCCGGTTCACTGGACAAGACGCTGCGCCTGTGGGACTTGCGTTCACCAAATTGTCAGGGCCTGATGCATTTGTCCGGTCGCCCCATTGCAGCCTACGATCCCGAGGGTCTGATCTTTGCCGCCGGCGTCAATTCGGAGAGCATTAAATTATACGATTTGCGCTCGTTTGATAAGGGACCCTTTGTCACTTTCAAGCTCAACCAGGAGAAGGAGTGCGACTGGACGGGATTGAAATTTTCGCGCGATGGCAAAACAATATTGATCAGTACGAACGGTTCGGTTATACGTCTTGTTGATGCCTTCCATGGGACTCCGTTGCAGACATTTACGGGCTATCCGAACAACAAGGGTATTGCTATCGAGGCGAGCTTCAGTCCGGACTCACAGTTCATCTTCTCCGGCAGCACCGATGGCCGTGTGCACATCTGGAACGCGGACACCGGTAACAAGGTCTCTGTGCTGAATGGCGATCATCCCGGTCCTGTGCAGTGTGTGCAGTTCAATCCCAAATACATGATGCTCGCCTCGGCATGCACGAACATGGCCTTCTGGCTGCCCACCTCCGAGGAGGGTCTTTAGAGTACATAGTCTTATATATTTTGGTATATTTAAGTAAACAATTAATACTAAATACTTTAAAAGTTTAATTAATTGCAACAGTATTATAATGTTAAAATCAACTAAGACGATCCCATCTGCTGCTTTGTCTTGTGTCGCTCGTAGGTGGTGCGTATGGTGCTCAGGAGTTGGGTCAGATTGTGGCCCATCTTGGCGCTGATCCCCAGCAATTTTGGCTCATCTAACTGCTGCTGCAATTGTTCGTAGTTGGATGCACTGGCTGGCACATCCATTTTATTGGCCACCACCAGCTGCGGTCGATTTGCCAGACTGCCACCAAACTGCTCCAGTTCGTGCTTTAGTTGTTGGTATTGCGTCCACGGCTCAGGTGCACTGGCATCGAGCACAAACAAGAGCAGCGTACAACGCTCGGCGTGCTTGAGGAACTGTATACCTAGTCCCTTGTTGCGATGTGCATCCGGCACAAGGCCAGGCAGATCGGCAATGGTCAACTGCACATGATCCTCGTACTGCACGGTGCCCAAATGCGGACGCAGCGTTGTGAATGCATATGGCGCCACTTTTGGCTTGGCGCGTGTCAACGCATTTAGCAAGGTGCTCTTGCCGGCATTGGGAAAGCCGATCATGCCGACCTCAGCCATGCTGCGCAGCTCCAAAATGTAGCTGCTGTCCTCGCCAGGTGGTCCGTATTCGCACACCTTGGGACTGGTCTCCTTGTCGGTGGTGAAGAAGCGATTCCCCTTCCCACCGGCTCCGCCACGTGCTGCCACAAACATCAGATCCGCAGTGGCCAAATCAGCCACAATCAGACCTTTCCCGCTTCGCACAACGGTTCCGATGGGCACTTTGATCACCGTGTGCTTAGCATTCTTACCATGGCATTCCTTGGCGCCCCCAATGCCACCTTCGCTGGCTCGAAGTACACTGCTAACATGATTGAAGTTACGCACATCGTTGGAGGCTTGGAGGATGACATGACCACCATTGCCACCATCACCGCCATCGGGTCCGGCGCGCTCATTGCACCACAGCTGCAGGAACGAGACGCAGCCGTCGCCGCCCTTGCCACCAACGGTCCTCACTCGCTTCGCATCCGAAAAGTATTGAGCCTAAAAGTGGATGCTCGGACTAATTGTTATGTAAACAGATTTGTCTTATTGGGCCTACCTCTTTGCGTGTGGACTTTCCCTTTTTGGGACGCAGTGCAGCCGCAATCTGGCAATAGTTCACTCGGTTTTTGCCAAAACATTTAAAGACCAATCGGCTTGGGATTGAAAACAGCGACATTTCGTCGAGTTCCTTTATATCAATCCAAGATATCGATATACTTGTATGTTGTCAGCTGATGCTATCGATAGCAATTCAATGCTGGGACCCCGAAGTTTTGTGCATTTCAGAAAAATGTCCATAAAAGCAGCACTCATTGATCTTAGCGGTACTTTGCATGTAGAGGATGATCCAACGCCAAACGCTCCTGTTGCATTACAAAGGTATAACAGGTTTAATATTTATATGTGCATGTACATAGATAAATTTACATATATATATACTTCTAGACTTCGGGACAGCGGGGTTTCCGTTAGGTTTGTAACAAACACCACGAAAGACTCGAAATCTACACTTTTTGAACGGCTTTCTAAAATTGGCTTCCAACTGGAGATCTCAGAGATTTACAGTTCACTGAGCGCAGCTGCCACATTTGTATTGAATGAGAAATTGAATCCCTTCTATTTGCTGACGAGTGATGCACGTAAGGATTTCCCTGAAGAAGACACGAGTCGTCCACTGGATTCGGTTGTTGTCGGTCTGGCGCCCAATGCGTTCGACTACGACCACATGAATAAGGCATTCAAGTAAGCTAATAAATTAAGTATTGCGACACACATAAATAAAATGTAATTTTTAATCAGTGTGCTGCTTCAGGAGAAGACACACAAACTTGTGGCCGTGCATCAGGGCAAGTACTATAAGCGAGCGGATGGCCTAGCTTTGGGTCCGGGGTGCTTCGTCAAAGGACTGGAGTATGCGACTGGGAGTACGGCAACGATTATTGGCAAGCCGAATCGCTTCTTTTTCCAAAGCGCCTTGCCTGCCAGCTTGAGACCGGAAGAATGCGTGATGATTGGTGATGTAAGCTGAAATTATGTTTACATATTAATTGATTGATATATTACTGTGGTCATGTGCATTTCTAGGATGCCAATGATGATATTGCCGGTGCCATGAAAGTGGGTCTGCAGGGCGTACTGGTCAAGACGGGTAAATTCTTGCCGGACGCATTGGCAGCCATGTCGACACCACCAACAGCTGTGGTGACCAACTTTTCCGAGGCAGTTGACTGGGTGCTATGTAAAAATAGAAGTTAAATTTTTAATTGTACGCTTTCCGAAAACAAAAAACCAGCAAATAGCAAATGCACCAGATTTTACCGTTTCTAACTAAATTACAATTTAGGTGTGAATAATTTGTAACATGGAAAATAAATGTAATTAAAATTTGCATATATGTATGTATAATATTCATGGATGCTTTGCAGTTAAAGTCGGGGCGTAGCAATAAGTTTTTGCTCGTATTTAAATCGAACCAATATAACGTAATAATTAGTTTACTTAAAACTTTAATGTGCGCCCTTTCCATTTTCGTATATTACAATACAAACAAAATTAATTCAATATCCTGATGACTAAATAAAATTATGCTTCGTCGACTTGCTATCTTATATTTATAAAAATCTAATGAAAGTGTTGCGAACACTAATTGTTGAGTATAAATTTGAACTGTAATTTAATTTAATAATCGACGCAGTGTTGCATTGTTATTTGCATCGAATTTTTGTGGTATCTTTTCGGTTGGTATATTTTAGTAATTGTGCAAGACTCGCAATTTGAGACCGTACATACTTTATTGACACAATGTTAGTTTATTACTTTAATTGTTTATTCACCTTTTAAGCTTTGGCGTGTATGACTTGACGTTTTTGTTTTTGTAAATTGCACATACTGCACAAATAATATTTCGCTCAATGAGTTGGATAAATGATACCAACACGGAAACGCATTTTTTTAGTTATATTATTAATTGCCCTACTGGGCCTCTTGCTGCGCTTTCTACTCTTCAATCGTCCACTACCGGATTTGAAGGTAAGCGATGAATTATGATTACTGGAGAAAACAGTTGCATATACATGTATGTTTAGGATTTGTAATCTATATATATATATATATTATATATATATAAGTACTTATCAATATATGCATGTGTGCATACACGTTGGTCATTTATATTTGTATTTAACATACAAATTTTCAGTATTTAAAAAATGACTAGCATCTTTTTTATTATTATTTCATTATCAAATTTTCTTTTAGTCTACTAAATAACTTTTAGCCTCGCTGACGTACTCTATTTTGTCTGGTTAGATTAACTTACCAATACATAGTTATTATCGTAATATTAATGACAATGTGTTTTGGTTTTTATTTTAAATGTCCATGGCAATCCAAGGACGAAGCGAACTACCGAAGAAGCACCGGAGAGCCAGTGTTGGTAATGGTGTTCTATGAGGCTCTTTGCCCGGACTCCAAATACTTTATTACCAAGCAATTGTTGCCCGCGTACAAAAATGCTGCTCCCATTATGGAGGTTCAGCTTGTGCCTTATGGCAAGGTAAGCAAATACCATAAATGAATGTTTGAACAAAAAAAACATGTGGTTTTCGATTTCAAGGCCCACACAAAGACAGACGCTGAGGGTAAACTGATCTTTGACTGCCAACACGGTGCCACAGAATGCCAAGCGAACATTTATCATGCATGCGTAGCAGAAATTATCGATGATCCATTAATCCGCTTAGAAGTTGTTAACTGTATGATTCGGGACAACCGATTACCCAAAGATGCTATGCACAAGGTTTCGTCTATTTAAATGATTATTTACATATTTCAAACGTTAACGATTACCTTATATTTCCTAGTGTGCCAAGCAACACAATTTTGAGAATATTGATCTGATTCAAAAGTGCTTTGATAGCAATCATGGATCGGAATTGATGAAACTGAACGGCGATGCAACATCCGCACTTCGACCCCAAGTCACATTCATTCCAACAATAACATTAGATGGATCGCAGGGAAGACAGGCGTCAATTTTAAAGGATCTACTTGGCGAGATATGCAAGGTGGCAGCAGGCATGGATCAGGCTGAGAAAATTTGCAAACATTAGTTCAAAATATTTTTACATAAATCAATTTTTATATATAGACTGCAATTTTTGCAAATTGACAATTGTTTATTAAATTGAATTCTTGAGTTTTACAATTAATTAATAAATATAAAAAGAACATACGTTAGTCAACATAATTAATTCGTAAAAGGTTTACACTTTTTTTTTAACTATCATAAACTAATATTAGATTGATTTACATATACTCCAATTTCCGTGCTTAGCGAATTATCATCAGCACTGGATTTGGCATGCAAATTTCCATCATCTTCGCTGGTAATGGAAACCGTAAATCTTTTTATAAGGCAGCTTTTAGCGTCACACAGACTCAATGAAAATTCAATCGCCAGTGCACTTTGATTTCCAGGGACAACATTCTCTAAATGTTTTATTTGCAAAATGCATTTGCCGTCCGTTAATTGACCACGCGTTTGCTTCATTTCTAGAGCAGGATTAATGCTTCGCATCATCCACTTTTGTGGGGCATCTGCTGTGAACTTCAAGTCCGACGCTAGCTTGATGATGAAATTTAAAGTGCTGCGCTTGTGCTGAAGCAGAGGAATACTCTTAACTAGCTGCAAACCAGTTGCTTTCGATGCACTCAGCGGAGCATCTGTTTCGCTAGTAGATGAGGGAATCTGCTTAAAGTCGAGCAAAAAACGTCGAGCCTTATTCGTTGTTAAATCAATGATATGAATTGAGTGATTGTTTGTATCAGCAACTAATAATTGATGTCCACTTGCATCTACACAAAGGCCAGATGGCTCTCTCAGTGTAAGGATGCTGTCATCTTGGTTCTTGATTACCAACGTTGAAATTATATTGGTATCTATATCAATTACTTTGATTTTGTGATTATATGTGTCAGCCACATAAAGCTTGCGATCGATATGATTGAATGCAACACCCAATGGATGCTGCAATTTTGCGTTATAGAGTTTACCATCCTCATCGCCAAAAGCAAACAAATTCTATAATAAGTAAACATTAAATTACAATAGCCATGATGCATTGGGTTGGAAACTTACCAATGGATTGCGATCTCCGCCAACAACTGGCATCACTTTCCCATCGACCATTGAGGCTTTGCGTATGCTGGAGCTCTCACTATCCGCCACAAAAAGATAATCGCTGGTCATGGCTAAGCCGGATGGTTGCGCAAAAGCGGCATTTTGCGGATAGGAGTTGTTGCGATTCTCCTCGAGCCCGTTACCAATCAGTGACACACAGCATCGTGGCTCAAACTTGCGGAACTTCCACCAAATAATGCCTTCGGGAAAATAGCCCCAAATCTGATGGGTGCCGGCCATGGCAATCAAGACGATTGTCTTCTCGGGCACATTCAATTCGTCGACGTGGAAGGACATGTCCATGTCTCGTGTGCGAAACACTGCAACATCCCAGGGCGATGATAGCGGCTGTAATTGTCCTAATTTTCCACCCACACGCTCGTTGCCCTGGTATCCTGTGCCTGCCAGTGTTTCAACAATTCCATTTTTTAGAGATATTTGTCGAAGTGCATGATTATCGGTGTCAGCCACGATGAGTGTGTGCTCATCCAGAAATGCAACTCCTTGCGGATTATTGAACCGTGCCGTCAATAAATCGCCATCCACTAATCCATTATCGAGTCCTCCAATCTTATGTTCCACGATTCCGGCAATTGTAACGACCAGCACGCGATTGTTGCCCGCATCAGCAATAGCATAACGATCCGAAAACCGGGATATTTTTGCTGGGAAACGGAGATTCGACGCCGGTTGCAGATCCGTCGACAGCTGCAGTGGCAAACTGCTGTTATCGATCTTCTGCTGCCGTCCAAAATAGGTTAAGGCTGCACCGACGAAGTCGTGCAGAAATTCGCTATGTCCCTCACCCATCAGCAGCAACATCGGCAGCCCGCTCGGACTCAGTACCAGGAGCGAGGGCCAGCAGCGTATGCTCAGTGCTTGCCATAAGGAGGTCTTCGAATCGTTGACAATGGGGTGCTTGATTCCATAACGCTGCGCTGCCGAGAGAATATTTGCGGCTGTGCGCTCATTCTCGAACTTGGGGCTATGCACGCCGACAACGACGAGGCCTTTTTCAACGGTGAATCTCTCTTCGAGAGCTCGCAGCTCAGGCAACACATGCATGCAGTTAATACAGCAGTATGTGAAGAAATCCAGAACAACCAGTTTGCCATGCAATCCGGCAAGTGTCAGCGGCCGACTCACATTGAACCAATCCAAATCTAAATGGAATTTTGAATATGTTTTAATCAGTATTGACATTAAGAACTTTGGCACATACCACAATCGAATTCAAATTGTAAGGATTTCACTTTCGCAATGGAATTGTCGTCTGCGTTCCATCGTCCAAAAAACTCTTCAAATACTTTTGCTCTATTGTTTTTGTTGCTGCGATAATTTTGCTGTAGTTCCTCGGTAAGGTAAGTAACAATATCGATTGCGGACAAGTCCACCGAACACTCCATTCTTATGCTTTGTTCAATTTTTATTACCGAGAGTGCTATATTAGTAACAAAAATTATGACTTATTTAAACCTATCGATATACATGTATGTAATTATTGTTGCTGACAACTATCGATGATCGAAGCATGAGAGATCGAAAGAAATAATACGAAAAGAAAAAAAAGACAAACAAAAACAATACAGTCAGAAACGTTTAAGTAAACCAATTAAAAATTTAAAGTTAATTTGTTGCAAGCGAAAGATGGATAGTTTAAGTTGGAGAATGAGTTTACTTGAATTAATAAAATAATTTCAGCAAGAGGATTAATTTGATATTGAAGATTTGCGTAATTGGATGTACAACATAAAGTGCTTAAAGTGACTTGCAGGGAGTCAGAGTCAAAGTGCATAATTCAGGTGACTCCTTCACACCTGTTTTCAGCAGAGAATTATGTAGCGGCCATCACCGACTGAACAGAACGTTGCTAGTATTATTTACTTTGCGGAGTATTTATTGTTTTGATGGCTACGGTCACACTGGTGGCAATTATAACTTACATGCATGTGTATATAGCGCATAGCAGAAGCTGGCATATTGTTTCTTCCAACTTAACTTAACTTGAGCCAACGGATTGTCGCTCGGTCGTTGTTTTCTCAAATATATAATAAATTCACATTCATAAATCCTACGGGAAAAAGTCACAGCAAATACGTATTATGGAAAAAAGGGAAAAGTGCTTGAAACAATGCTATAAACGGACTAAAGTGTCAAACTCAAAAATAATTAACGACAACTCGATTGTGCGAATGCCGCGTGTGAGAGATGGAAAATCAATTGCACGTCCAAAATTATGTGTTACCTTGGGAGGTCCAAAGACAACAACAAACAGCATTTGTTTTGTCTTTCTAATTGCAATTCTAACATTCACGAATTGTATACATTTGGGCCTCGGCTCTTATGCAAATGATATTGATAGCGATGGCGATGCCCCACTTACCACGATAAAATCATCGAATTTACTAATAAATAATAATCTGCTGGCAGAGGGCAACGTAAATAACTCCAAAACCAATATTGCTCCCAGATTGAGGCAATTGCGGTTGCCAGAAATACAAAGAAGGCAAGTTTAGAAGCATAATTTCAAAATAATCTACATAAATATATGTGTATCAAATAGTGTGTGCAATAGACGAAACTAATATGTACATACATATGAACATATATACGTAATTTAAATATGTATAAATATATATATGACTGACTGGGTTTGATCGACTCAGTTAGTGTGCTGTGCTGTGCATCAAATAACGGAATAAATTCGTTGAAGGCGTCAATTTTGTTAGATTGCTTCTCCATAAAAAAAAAAAACAATAAACGAGAACAGATAATTTATGCGATCTTAATAAAAACCACATTTTTTATTATTTATCCAATGATTGTCGCTTTCATATTGCCACTGTGTTCTATTCTGATTCTGGAATGTTTGGGAAATGTTTTAAGATCTGACTTTCATATTTATGATTGTTCAATAATAAATAAATATGCATTTGTATATATCCGTGTGTTTATAAATATATGTTTTTTGAAAATTTGTTCAACTTTCGATTTGTACACATTTTGAAAGTTTTCGAAGTGAAGGTCTCGAAAACGAACAGCCAAATATTGTATACTTAAAGATCCGGCGACTATTTTCTGCTGCTTACAGACTTGCTTTTAATTTATGTTGACAGCTAATTTAAATAGTCAACAAGAACAAATATATATGACTATAATATTTAATAAATTAAAGTGTTGCATTAAATCATTTGTGATGACGATTTCTTTTAAGTATTTCCTACCCTAAATTGAATATGCATAAATTCTCTCCCAACATCAGCTGATAATAATTGAGGAAAGATAATTTAGTTTCAAATAAGTTGAACGCTTGTAAAATGTTGGTCAAAAATAAAAAGCTACTTTGTTGAACGGAAAGGGTATTCAGACTTCTGCATCCCGATGCGTACTTTTTTATTGTGGTAAAGTACATACACAAATTAATACATATACACATTGAAAATGACGAAATATGCTTTGTATGTGTATGTGTATGTGTGCCTGTGTGTTTCTTTAGAAGTGTGCTTTTTATATATTTGTTTTGATTAACGAGGGATCGTTGGGAATAGAAAAATGTATATTTAATATATTCCCCATTTTGTTGGTAGTGTGTATAAAACTTTGTTGTAAAATTATTAAGTTGCCGTTTGAGTGTCTGGTCTCCTTAAAGATAGCTTATCTACACTGACTGGCTGTAATCTGCGTTTTACCCTGATTTTCAATGGTAAATGCCTACGTATAAAATGTATATATATTGAATATGTACACAGTATGAACCATATATTATGTATGTTCAAAGGCAAATAAAAAAATATTTTATTGCGGTTCCAAATCTTCCACTGCCTAAATTTTCCAAAAAACTGAACCGTTAAAAGGAAATCATTTATGAGCATGTTTCGCTATAAGTTTTTGACCGAAACATATCTGCTAATTTAACGTTTTGTATTGTTTCCCAATATTATTATTATATTTGTTGTTGTTTTGTGCCGGTTTGTGCTGTGCCGTCTGTAAATGTATTTTGTTATTGTTTCAGAAAATGTATGCTAATTAGAAATTCATCATTCGGGATGAGATTTGGCACTTATCTCAATGTCAATTGCTTGCGACATTCTTTCTACATCAATTCTAGTAAACTAAAGCTTTATCGTATGTAACCGACTACGCAATACTCTGTTCCCAGTTGCAAGCAGGTGACTTTGACTTTAAGCTGAACTATTTTTAACTTGATCCTTAAATAACATATCATTCCACTTCGCACATAATTAATGTACTCAATTTGCCTTTGGGGGACTGGGTACAGAGTAATGCGATACCGATAAATATATTTATTTTATTTCATATATAAACTCTGCAGGCGGCTGTGACTCAATTTCTTCATGTTATCATTTAATGTTTATCAACGCACAACAGTCACAAAAACATACACACACTTTATGTACACATAATAGGAACACACTCGGAGAGGAACCTACATAGATACTTAAATGTGAGCATGTATGGCTTATGTTTGTTTTTAGATTTGAGCCCACAATTACTTGACTTGTTGCTCTCATAAATCTCAGAATTCGTTGAAGAGCAAATTTGAAAAAAATAATATTGAGGTCACATATATTCATAGATACATACGTATTTATTGATGCAAGGGCTAGATTATATGTATGTGCATGAACTAAAAATGTTCATTGTTACTTGCACTTGCTGAAAGATATACATATATATTTATTAAAATTATTCATACATACATATAACACGCATTGAGTCTGTATCTTTGGTTTGTTTTGACTGCCAAATTCTATTAATAGTAAATTTTATGTATGCAAAAGCATCACCATTTCTTGCTTCATATTTATGTTCCCAAATTCGCTTGTGTGTGTGTGTGTGTGTATGATACATACATACATATATACACGTACATAAATACACATACATACATACACATACATACATACACATACATACAAGTGAGTCAAAACATTGCTTTCAATGTTTTCATTTTGTTGTGTTCGTTTTGCTTTGCCTTTGCTTGTGGCAAACGGATGGGCGACAGCTCCTTGGCCACAGTTTGGGAAGCACTGCAGCTAACCGCAAACATTTTCGCTAATGACTCATTGCTGCGTACCCAGTCTTAGCCATAGCATTTTAGCCAGTCACGTCGGGCGTCACGTTTAAGTTTGAGCTAACAAACTTAGTACACACACACACACAGTCGAAGGCTAACACAGACATACATACGTACGTTCATATGTACGCCACTCATAATACAGGTACAAGTTTAGGTACATGCAAGTGTTCTCACATATATTTGGCGAAGCCGCACCAAAATCAATACACACATCACATAAAACATACATACATTTATGTATACATGCTGTATATATACATACAAATATTTATTTGTATGTACACACTTATAGAATTATTTTGAATATTGCCAAACACAACAATTGCGCTGCTGGCAATGATTCTTATTTTCATTGTATCGCACGATCCAAATCAATCTGGATTGCGTCAGTTGAGAAATTATTTCGATTTTTTCATATTCTTATTGCTTTCTTCTGATATTTGCGTTTCCGATACTTTTACGTCATGTACATAATTAGTGGCAACTCAAAAAATAATATGCATGATCATTGTACATATATATGCAGGAATTTTATTAAGTCATCAGTTCAATAAAATAGTTTCAGTTTTGTTGACCCGCGTTTGCTTTAAGATATGCTTACAAATGTTGTTCGAGCATTGTTCGAGACGCAAAATAATTGAATTAGTTGGCTTGGCAAACGAATTGAGGCAGCATCAACAATTGAAAGCAATTTACATAATGTTTTTTGGGTCTCTCTGAAATTGATGCTTGAAACTGGAAGTGGCCAAATGTGGGAAAGTGGAAAATATCTATATATTTGTATTTCTCACACGATCTATGGTTACAGATAGATAGAATTGCATGAGCTTCTTTACAGATCACAGGATACATTGATCTGAATTAAATTAAGAAAACAAGCTTATTATTTATATGAGACTGATTTTGTTAGGTTACTCATAAGTATAAATACTATATACTTTACGTTACTATAAATAACAAACAATTAATCATTAGCGAGCACGTGCTTCACCATACAAAAGTACGGGTTAAAATAAATTGGGATTGATAAAAATCTTGCAAACACTTTTAAGTGGTATTTAACTGCAGCGCGCTGTTGAAACCCTGAGCACAAATACACACACACATACTAGTACATTGAGATTGTCTGAGATGTGTACTCGATCGAGTGAGATACATATGTATATATATATATATACACAATTGCTGATGATAAAGTTATAAATGATAAGACAATGTTGCTTGTGACGCAAGCTCAAATCTGACGGGGCCAATACAGTTCAGATAATCTATATTGGATGTGGTTGAATTTAGTAAGTTTTGGTTTCTATGGCAAATTTATCAATCAATAACCTAAAGATCTCAATCGATTTGTGAGTAAGAAATACGAATTTTGTTAAGATTGCATAACACTCGAGTGGGCATTATCCACGTCACAAATGCTGTTTAATCAGCCCTAATCAGCTTGGTAAAAAACAAGATAGATAGCAGTCAGAAAAATATATATTTATCTGCTTCAAAACTAACACATCGTTTGGCATATTTGCTTAAGTTTGGGTAATTTTTATGATGTTGATAAAATCCTGACTAAGCGCCAAGATACAAGATATTATACAAATTGTGATTACCTGTTGCCAACACAATAAGAAAACTGTGTATATTCTATGACTAAGAGAATTTCCCAAAAATGAATTCATTTTTAAATTAAATATGTTGTGGATGCTTATTACTTTCTTTTTTTCCTATTTGTTATATTTTTAAGACAAATGTTTGCCATAATTACTGAATTATCAAATTAATAATAATTGACTTTGATTTTAGAATTCGGTTAGCACGCAAAGCGAAAAGCAATATTCGCATTCTTGGAATGCGTTTTGAAAGTGAGGACCAGGAGTATGAACTTGGTGTACCAAGTTTGTTGAGCAATAAAGAGCACACGATTCGCATATTTGGTATTGGCTTGCAGGAGAGGACAGTTATTGCGTTTACAAATGAGGAAAATGAATATCAGGGAGCCTGTCTCAAGCCGGCCACAGAAATCTTTGAGCCAAAACAAGTCTGGCCCGATGGTACTATGGCCTTATATACGGTGAAATTCCCGTACTCCAAGAGTGTACTGTATGTTTGTGCGAAAATCGACGAGGGAATTGCTGTAAGTTGCACTATTGCTTGATCGATTTCGATAACAAATTACTACAATTAATACATTTATTGGTTAATAGCACAGCAGCGCAGCAGCAACGACACCCCTAGAACATCAGGGCAGCGCCGTATGGATGAGGATCGGAACGCACGAACCACTTTTGCCTCTTTGGGTGGCTATAATCATCATTGTGATATGCCTGTGTTTTTCGGCCCTATTTTCGGGCTTAAACTTGGGCCTAATGTCCTTGGATCGTACCGAATTGAAAGTAAGCAGCATGCATAAGCTAAATAAAATAGATATTTAAAAGATTGTTTATTTTAGATATTACAAAATACTGGCACGCCAAATGAAAAAAAGTATGCTGCGAAAATAGCACCTGTGAGAGACCAAGGTAATTATCTGTTGTGCAGTATCCTCTTGGGTAATGTGTTGGTTAACTCCACCTTTACCATTCTACTGGATGGTTTGACCTCTGGACTTTTTGCTGTCTTAATTTCCACCCTGGCCATCGTCCTCTTTGGTGAAATTACACCTCAGGTGGGTTCTACGTTTAATTTGATGAGTGTGGTTCTGTAAGAGTTACATACTCAATCAAAGTGATTTATGATTATGATGCATTCAATCCCACATAAATAAATATACGCTTTTGTGATTCTTAATCATAATATTTTGCTCATTTTTATCGTACTTCTGCAATCGCTTTTTTCCTTCTTTCTGTTTTTAAAATAAAAGACTTTGATTTCATTAATGCTGTTACACGACTCTCTCATCTTTAAATTTAAAAGCAAACTTTGACAATATTCAAATGCATTAATTTCGAAAAATATTATTTCGTTTACAGGCTGTGTGTTCAAGACATGGTTTAGCAATTGGAGCCAAAACCATTATGATAACCAAAGCGGTTATGGCGATAACAGCACCGCTGTCGTATCCAATTTCTCGTATCCTAGATTCACTCTTGGGTGAAGAGATTGGCAATGTGTTCAATCGTGAACGCCTCAAGGAACTTGTTCGTGTAAGTAACAACCACGACTAGAATAGAGGCTAGAATAAAATCTATAAATATCTTAACAACACAGGTCACCAATGATGTCAATGATCTGGATAAAAATGAAGTGAATATTATATCCGGCGCATTGGAGCTGCGTAGAAAAACTGTTGCCGATATTATGACACATATTAATGATGCTTATATGCTTTCGCTGGAAGCCCGGCTTGACTTTGAAACTGTGTCTGAGATCATGAACTCGGGTTATTCTCGAATTCCCGTTTACGACGGCGATAGAAAGAACATAGTTACTTTGCTGTATATCAAGGATTTGGCATTTGTTGACACTGATGATAACACGCCGTTGAAGACACTCTGTGAATTTTACCAGAATCCCGTTCATTTCGTTTTCGAGGACTTCACTCTAGATATTATGTTCAATCAGTTCAAGGATGGTACGATCGGACACATTGCATTCGTTCATCGCGTCAACAATGAAGGTGATGGGGATCCCTTCTATGAAACCGTTGGTCTTGTCACATTGGAAGATGTTATTGAGGAGCTTATTCAAGCTGAAATCGTTGATGAGACGGATGTTTTCATTGATAATCGCACAAAAATTCGTCGCAAGCGTAATAAGAAAGCCGACTTTTCGGCATTTGCTGAACGTCGTGAGGCTCAAACTGTGCGGATTTCTCCTCAATTAACTTTAGCAACATTCCAGTACTTAAGTACAGGTATAGGCTAAATATAAAAATATCTAATATATATGTGTATATTTAATGCGACATTATTATCTTTATTTCACTTACAGCTGTTGATGCCTTTAGGAAGGATGTTATTTCAGAACCGATCTTACGGCGATTACTTAATCAGGATGTTTTCCACAATATTAAATCAAAGGGGAAAAATAAGGATGACCCCTCATTGTACATATTCACGCAGGGGAAGGCTATCGACTATTTTGTACTTATATTAGAGGGTCGTGTCGAAGTGACGATTGGCAAGGAGGGTCTTCTCTTTGATAGTGGGCCGTTTACTTATTTTGGAACACAGGCATTGGTGCAGAATGTCGTTGTTGGTATGCACGCTAAATTGAAATATACCCATGGACATTTACTAATTAAAACTTACGTTATATGTAGATTCTCCAACTCAGATGGGATCGCTACAGTCTTTAAATATGGATTCGAAAATTCGTCAAACTTTCGTTCCTGATTACTCTGTTCGTGCATCTACGGATGTGATATATATTGCCATTAAACGTAGTCTGTACCTTACTGCAAAGAAAGCGACTCTTTTGGAAAAGAGTCGCAAATCGGGAACGTTTTCAAGTGAAACATTCGATGATGAAGTTGAGCGACTGCTGCATTCGATAACGGAAGATGATAAGTCTCGGTATCTGACAACCAGCCAGAGCGCAAGACGTTCATCCAAGCCGAACAGGAGTGGAGCATCGTCGCCCTTAAACAATGATCTATCGCATGATGATAGAAGCAACAGTGCTAGTGGGCAACTCAACACGGGTCATCGAATTGGTCCTGAACGTACGGAAGATGGATCATTGAGTAGCTTGGTTACTTCGGATGTGACAGGTGATCTTCAAAATGGAGAAAACGATGAAAGGAATGGAACAGCGGCATCCACGCCGCTTTTGCCAAAACCGGAAGAAAATAACGAGCCCCGGCAAAGTAAACCTCAATAACGACAGTCTTCGGAGAACTCTTTACATTAAGACCTAGCTGCCGCAAATTAAATTTTTCATAAGAATCACTCGCCGTTCTTTAAATGCAAAATCAGAATGCTTTCTTTTTTCCTTAAATATTGTTATTTATATTATTGCTTGTTTTTCGACATCAATTTGCAAATTGACTAGAATTGTGTTTTTCCTTATTTTGTAAAAGTGAATTAGAGATTTATGTTTAGATACAAACAAAAAAGTAAAAACGCTAAATTTTCAATGATAGTTTCTATATCAAAATAACAGTCCTGAGATTTCTGAAAACCTGAAATTATTACACACATATTACACATGTATTACCTCATGAAGTACGTACTTAAGAAGAGAAATTAATCACTATTGCTTTTCAAATCCACACCCTATTTCTACTTCCTATTAAATGACATGAATTAATGTGTGTATGACCGCAGCGTTAATTAATTAAGAATTTGTTGTTAAATTTGTTTATTGTTCTGCTTACATGCATAAATTGAATAGTTTAGTTCCCCCTTTCAAAGTCAAGTCAAAAGAAGATGTTATATTAGTAAGGATTCTCCTATATATACTTTATCAATGTGCACAAGTTTTGTTTTAACTGTATTGTTGTTTAATAGGATTGCGTTATTAAAATGCATTCTACAATCAAATTATCCCACACACTTCATGTAGCATAACTGTATTAATTGAGAAGTTCAAAACTTCTCATTCGTTATTTATTTAACTAAAGGTGTTAATTAGCAGTTTATAATGTATAATACAAATGAGAAGCGTATATTTATATATATGCATACATTACCTATGTTAACTTAGAATAAATGCATACCTACATTCATACATAAATATATAACTAAAAATACAACTACAACTACAAACAGAAAATACAATATGTACATACATGAAGAAACAGAGTTAATTGGTTTTTATATGTCCATCGCATTTGTGAGTGGCGCTAAGTTAAGTGGCTGTTCCGACCAGGCGTTGGCATTAGGTAAATTATTTTTTTGGAAAGATTCTTGCAAAGAACCTACATACATCTACTGAAATATGTGCTTGCAATAAATTATAAATTTTAAAGATTCATATATATACATATATTTACTATTAAAAGATAAATGAAAATCAATTTCAATAGAGATACTTTGTTACTTCCTTATATGTATTTACAATATATATTCGTATATAAAATGTACAAGATTTTTAAAACTATAATTATTTGGGTTCTTTATTATTCGGGTCAATGTTCACAGTTTTGGAGTTACTGGTCGACCCTGTTGAGAGTCTTAATTCTATCATCAAAAGGCACATTTCCACCTGATCTCATCTGTTCTTCGGTCGGTTATATCTGGCTTAAAATGTTATAGATGGTTTTAGTTCTAAATGCAAATGAAACAAAAAGCTGCATTAACAAATTTACAATTTATTAAAAGTTTACTTTTAACATACAAATTCAACTGCAATTCAATTCAAACAAATCGTTGAACTGTAATGTAAGCCCACTGTTAATTTATAGCAACGATTATAACATACCCTGGGCGCTAAAAAAATCGAATGAAATATACGCTATCGAAATCGCACAGCACCATTTGAGTTTAACAGAATAACGTAAACAGTTGCACAAACAAAAAGTTTCCTTTGCTGCATTTAGTTAATTTCATTGATTGCTTGTGGAAAAAATGCATCGTGGTGGAAAGTCATATTCGCGTGGCGGCAAATCCCACGCTCGTCCGCCCGGACTGAAAGGCAAGGAGATTGGCCTGTATTACAGGAATCTTGCACGCCAACGTAAAAACAATGCCACCACAGATGAGCCAAAAATTCGGTTGGGCTGTGATGTTAGCGTTCCGCCGGGAATTCTACGGCGAGTCACCGAATACCTGGAGCAGTTTAAGGCTGGTCGCGAATCGAAGGAGCAGCGCTTGGATGCGAAATTTAAAGAACAGTTTCGCCATTTGTTGAGTGTGAATTTTGAGACTTTTATTGACGAGACAAAGGAACAAAATAAGGATTTAAAATTGCGCAATCCCGGCTTGGATGAGCATCTGCAAAAGCAGCAGAAAGAGCGCATGGAATCTGGGGATGTTCGAGCACGTTACGAGGAGCGCATGAAACTGCCAACAATGGCGTATGCTGCGGATATTATCGAGGCTGTGGAACAAAACCAGGTGGTGTTAATCGTGGGCAGCACCGGGTGCGGAAAGACCACACAGGTGCCCCAACTCCTGCTGGACGATTGCATAGAAAAGGGCATTGGATCTAGCTGTCGGATTGTGTGCACCCAGCCGCGTCGCATCTCGGCCATTAGTGTGGCGGAGAGAGTTAGCTACGAGCGTGTGGAATCCCTCGGCCAGTCGGTTGGCTATCAGATCCGCTTGGAAAGCCGTAAGCCCCGAGAGCGCGCCTCCATCACGTACTGCACGACTGGTGTGCTGCTGCAGCAATTGCAATCGGATCCACTGATGCACAGCGCCAGTGTTCTGCTCCTCGATGAGATTCACGAGAGAAGCGTGGAAACAGATGTTCTGATGGCATTACTTAAATTAATTCTGCCCCATCGACCGGCGCTGAAGGTGATTCTGATGAGTGCCACTGTGCGGGAACAGGATTTCTGTGATTATTTCGACAATTGTCGAATGTTTCGCATCGAGGGTGTCATGTATCCCGTGAAGATGCTCTACCTGGAGGACGTGCTCACCCTGACTGGCTATCAGTTTGACAGCCGACAGAACAGACGCCGGCATGATCAGCCCGAGCATAGAGCCATGATCGAGCCATACTTAAGACGCCAGCGTGGCAGCTATGATAACAAAGTCTTAGATCAGCTCCGGCTGCCTGAATCCGAGGGTTGCGAGGACATCGACTTTGTGGCCGATCTCGTCTATTACATATGCAGTAGCCAGTCAAGTGGTGCCATATTGGTGTTTATGCCAGGCTACGACAAGATTTCAAAACTGCATAACACACTGACAAATCCTCGCTCGGCGCTGGGCCAACGCTGGCGGGATCAGTTGATAGTCTATCCACTGCATTCGCTGCTGCCATCCGTGGAGCAACAGTCGGTGTTTCGGCGAGCACCGCAGGGCAAGCGAAAGGTTATAATCTCTACGATTATTGCTGAGACTTCGGTGACCATTGACGATGTTGTCTATGTGATCAATACGGGACGAACCAAAGTCACCAGCTATGACATCGAGACGAACATTCAGGCGCTGGAGGAGTGCTGGGTCACGCTCGCCAATACACAGCAGCGCAAAGGACGCGCAGGACGTGTTCAGCCCGGCATTTGTTATAACCTATTTAGTCGGGCACGGGAGGCGCAGATGGCGGAGGTGCCAACGCCAGAGATCTTGCGCTGCAAACTGGAGTCCATTGTGCTCAGCCTCAAATTGCTGCACATCGACGATCCGTATGCATTTTTTCCAACAATGATCGATGCACCAGACCAGAAGGCCGTCAGCAATGCGGTTAATCTGCTCAAGAGGTGAGTTTGTAACTAATAAAATCAGTAATTAAATAATCACCTATTAATTATATTTATTTCACTCAGAATTGAGGCGCTTGACAATGTTGGTCAGCTAACGCCGCTGGGCTTGCATCTGGCCAAACTGCCCATTGATCCGCAAATGGGTAAAATGATACTTATATCAGCGCTATTCCGTTGCCTGGATCCCATTACGTCAGCAGCGGCTGCGCTCTCGTTCAAGAGTCCCTTCTATACGCCCATGGGTCAGGAGCGTCGGGTAGACGAGGTCAAGCGCAAGTTGTCGCGTCAGATGCGCAGTGATCATCTAATGGTGCACAACACCATTTGTGCCTATCGCGAGAGCTGCGAGGCGCATCGGTATCGCGACTTTTGCTACAGTAATTTCATCAGCCAAAGAACAATACAGCAGCTGGAGCGCATGAAACAACAATTTGCCGATCTCCTATGCAATTACAAGTAAGAAACAAAAATCCATCAGTAATTAGAAATTGAAACTATCCGTATTTGTAAAAGCCAGAAGGAGACATCTGCAATCCCATATGCTAAATTGATTCGTTAAATATGTCTTAAGCCAAGGCCCATAAAGTTAATACTCTGATAGTCGAATATTTATTCTGTTCACAGATTTCTAACTTCATCCGATTGCTTGCACGACTCTTCGAACATCAATTCTGAGAAGATTCCACTACTTCGCGCTATAATAGGTGGTGGCCTCTATCCAAACATGGCCCACTTATGGTGAGCTCTGCTCTATTTGTATATTCTATCAACCATATTTATATTTTATTCGTCTCGAATAGCAAATCTCGACAAATTAAGAATCGAGTGCGCGCCATTCACAACATGTCCACAGACGATGGTCGTCGTTGTAATTTTCATCCATCATCGGTGAACAGCGGCGAACGAGGATTCGATTCCAATTACTTTGTGTATTTTCAACGGCAGAAATCAACAGCGCTTTATCTTCTGGACGCCACCATGGTGTTCCCCATGGCTTTAATCATTTTTGGCGATGGCGTCGAGTCGGGTGCCGTTGACAAAACCCCATATATATCGGTGGCCCAAACTTATTAGTAAGCACACATTTGAAGTGGTTTAATGCAAGAATTTTATTGTGACTCTCGTTTCCAGTTTCAAGTGCGATCCGGAGACAGCGTCCGTAGTAATTGATTTACGGAAAAACTTGGCCCTGTTGCTGCTTGAAAAGGCCCTGAATCCAGCTCAGATAACAGAAAGCAGTGATGACAACAAGTTAATCCAGTAAATGACTTTCATCTGTGAACTTTTTTCTATCCTTATGTATACATATAATTATTAACAATGTTCCTATCCTTTTATTTAATTTTTGACAGAGCCATAGAAGTTCTTCTCTCGATTGATGAAAGGATGGGTGATGATGACGACGACGAAGTAATGGATTCCGACGAGATTGATGACATTTAAATTTTGGTTTTTTATATAAATAGGTTTATTGTGTAAATGATCAAATCACTGTGTGATGTTACCAAAATATTTATTTATAATAGTTGTATTAAAAATGTATATAAATTAATGTCGTTAGGACCAATGCGCAAGGCTTAGTCATCCTCAAGCAGAGCAAATACGTTCCTCGAGCGCGCTTTATCGCAATCATCCTCATCCGCATTGGTTTCGTCGTTGGAGCTGTCCTCGTCATTGTCATCGCTATCAGCGGCTATAATAAATAATAATAAATATAATATATAATATAATGCTTAACGAATGTATTTAGAGTTGAGCTTTTGTGTTCAACTTACTGTCCGAGCAAATGGAAGAAGTGTCCTCATAGGTCTCGCTGTCCGGCTCATCAATATCCAACTGCTGATATTTTTTCACCTCGACCAGATCGGGATGCTGTTGCCATCGTTCGCGTTGATCATCATAGCCGGGCGGATAGAACTGCAGCACCAATTGCTGTTGACCAGCCAGACACATACGCAATATATGATTGGCGGCACGATAGCGATCCGGACGCGCTGCTTTGGCGGTGAGAAATCCACGCTTATATGCCCAGGCATCCGAAATGGCCACAGCCGACCACTCGCTGTAATCCTCGGGCAGTGGCAAACGGAGTAACTGCGGCAGATCCAGGTGCTCGCCCAGCAGCTTAAGTGAGCGATAAGGCACTTGCAACTGGGAAATGGGAAAGCTGCCGAGCAGCACTTGCAGACTCTTTGGCGTGCTGGAGGGGAACACGAGACCAGGACAGTCGCAGACGCGCACATGCTGCGAGAGGAATATGGTCTGGAAATGCTTTGTGTGGCCGGGTGTACGACTAACGCTGACCACCTTACGTCCCTTGAGCGCATTAATCAGCGATGATTTACCCACATTGGGAAACCCAAGGCAGCCAATGCTCAACACCCCACTGTTGAATTTCTCGTGCTGATGCGGTGTGGTATCAATGGTATTTGTGATTTTCACTTCGCCTTCGCATTGCGGCTTCGTGGCATCCACGTCCACCTCCAACTCCTCGTTGCGCATATCGTCGCGAATCTTTTGCTCCCATGCCGAGAGATCTACGTCACCCTGGACATAGCGCTGGCATTCGCGATAGATATTGTATACACCCTCCAGGCTTTGACGATGCCGGCCACGCTGATTGCGGCTGCGCGCTGAATACGATGCAAAGATCACCAAACGCACCTCCGGATAGTGTTCGCTGAAATAGTGCCGCCAGGCAACGACAGCCTCGGGTGCAACAAGATCCACTTTATTCAGCACAACAATCGCATGCTTCTGCAGTGTATGCACAATATAGTCGTAGAGTGAGGGAGGAAACATCAGTGAGGCATAGCGCACATCCACAGTGATGAGCAATATGTCGGATAATTCCAGGACACGCCAAAGCTGACGCCACGTCTCCAAGTTAAGCTCGAAGAGGGAAAGTCCTTTGACATCGCTACGTTTCTGCAACAGCTTATCCACATACTCCTGCAAACCATGACGTCATATGTCCATTCATTCTCAAAATCTATCTAATTTAATAAAACAAAACTCTTACCTTAAAATACCGATTTTCATTGCGATCCAAAAGCTCTTTGCTCTGCTCATAGTTCCAAGGTGGTCGTACTGGAAAATCATAGCTGTTGAAATAGCTCGAATCGATCTCCCTTTGTGCCGCTGTCAGCACATCGAGGGGCTTGAATCCCTCCTCCTTCATCAGTTCGATCTCCTTCTTGTTCTCCTGCATGAACTGAAGATTGTAACGGTTTACGTTCTTATTGCGTCCTCCTCCGCCGCCGCGTGGAAAGGGCTGCTCCATAACCTTGCGATCCATTGTCGTCTCGGGGGCATCGCTATCCTCGTAGGATTCCTGATTGGAGCGCAAGTACTTGGACGGACCTGTAAGTATAGTTAAACAGACAATTTTTTTGTTTGCGATTTAATTATTTATTTACCTTTTGTGTTGCGCTTTTGTAGCAATTGGTCTTTCTTCTTTTTGCCGCTAAATGGCACTTTTCGTCGTTGCTGAGGCATCTTGAAATGTTATCCGTGATTAGTATTGCTATATTGCATAATTTGGCAATTATTACTTTACTTATTAATATTTTAATTACTTTAGTCTACTAACCTTGTTTGGCTTTATTCAAATTGCTCGATTGTTTTGACAGCCAAATGTCAAAATGAACAATTTGAGGGTGTTTTGTTATTTTTAGGGCATTTTATCGTCGTATTCAGTATGTTCTGGTATTATGAAAACCGTTTCAAACTGCGTTGATTACTCATCCACCTTATTGTCAGACAATAGTTATATTCGCTATTTACGTATTATAAATTACAAGCAATAACTTTCTTAATTTGGGCACAACATTCCTGTTGCTCACTGGTAACGACTGTAACTAGATACTCGTAAAGTATTCGTTCAAGTTGAAGACATATCGCTCTTCTCTATCGGCTATTTGAAAATATTCTGCATGGCTTTTCGTGTAGAATATTTGCGCCCAATGCACGAATCAGCTGACTGTGGACTGTGGTTGGTATTAAAATACCACATTTGAAACCTGTTAAATTAACATTATTAAAGATGAACTTTGTGTTTGAGCTAATATTTTTATTAGCCAAAGGTAATCATATATTTGTTGTTACTTAAACTTGTTCAAATGCCATTAAGAGGCATTAAAGTTTTGGAATTTGTGGGCTTGGCTCCCGGTCCATTATGTGGCAAAATACTGGCCGATTTTGGGGCAAGCGTTACCCGCATTGACAAGGTATGTAAATGACAAAATGATTCAAATTGTTGCCGGACTTTGCTCAAGATCATCAACAGGTGGTGGATTCGATCGATATGTTGCACCAAGGCAAACGCACTCTGGTCATCAATCTGAAGAAAGATGGCGGTCAGCGGCTTGTGCAGCAACTGGCCAATAAATCTGATGTGTTAATTGAGCCCTTTCGACCGGGAGTCATGGAGAAACTGAATTTGGGTCCGGAGGTATTGTGCACTAGCAATCCGCGTTTGATCTATGCGCGCCTTACGGGCTTTGGGCAACAAGGTCCATTGGCAGCGCGGGCCGGCCACGATCTCAATTATGCAGCTGTCTCGGGCGTGCTCTCAATGCTGGGCCGCGAACATGAGAAACCAACGGCGCCAATTAATATTCTAGCTGATTTTGCTGGGGGCAGCGTTATGTGTGCCTTGGGCATATGTGTGGCATTGCTGGAACGCTATAAGTCCGGTCGAGGCCAGGTCATCGATGCGTCTATGGTGGAGGGCGCTGCCTATGTGGCCAGCTGGCTATTCATGTCACGGAACCTTGGAATTTGGGAGCAAAAACGTGGACGTAACTTGATCGATGGTGGTGCTTATTTCTATGACACATATAGAACGAAAGATGGACTTTATATGTCAGTGGCTGCATTGGAGCCACAATTTTTTGAGATTCTGAAGGAACGCTTGCAATTGCCGCCGGATTTATCACAATTTGGAGATGAACATCAAATGCATGGCAAACAGCTATTAACGGATATATTTCTAACTAAAAACCAAGACGAATGGTCAGCTTTGTTTGAGGATGTGGACGCTTGTGTCTATCCGGTAGTGGACTGGTCAAAGGCCCAACAGCATCGTCACAACGCAGAACGAGAATCATTTGTGAGTGTCGCTGACGCCTGGGCACCATGTCCTGCGCCGCGCTTAAGTCGCACACCTGGCCAAATACGGCAGAATACTCAAAGTAACGAGAAGTCCTTGCTAGATGAACTGAACCTAAGACCTAAAGAACTGTGTCAACTTCAGGAGGAGGGAGTGTTGACGTTGCCGCCTCTTAAATCCAAGTTGTAGATTGTACATTGTAAATAAAAGACATTATTTTGGTTTCTTTCATTCAAAATACTTTTATTCTATCTCTTGCACACAAATACAATTACAATTTTTATATTCATCACGTACAAACTATCAGTCATACATTTTATAAACATTTAGGCCACACTTTATACATACTTGTTCTTAGCTTAAAGTAAGTGCAACATAAACTAAATAATTCTCATCATTGTTTTTAAAGGAATTCAATCAGATTTTGGGTTAGACATACAATTTCGTTAAAGGACAAACTTAAGAAACAAGTATAATTTGATTTCGGATTTTGCATTCATCAGACACACCACACACCTCTTAACACACACGCATACAGTAATTACACGCCTTGCAGAGATACCATAATACCACAATACACACATTATTAGTTTAGACTCATTTGTTTTTGGGCTAAAGCACCGCGCGTCAGCGTTACCAATTTATTATTTTTAAATATTTATATATATATTTATTTGTAAATATGCATTCATCCATGTATGTATAATATATGTTCATGTATGTCTGTGTAAATGTGTCTACACACAATGTGCCTGCATACATCGATATATTATTGCATCATGCATGTGTTTCGTTTTTGTTTTTGTTTTCGTTTTTTTTTCTTTCTTTTTTTATTTATTTATAAGTTACGTGTTGTGTAAATTTTACTATTTTTCCGTAAGTTAGTTAGTTAGTTTTCGTACGTCCAGCGTAAAGTAATTAATGATAGTCCTTATGTAGTTGTAAGTATTTATGTATTGTATAAGTCTCAGTTCTCAGTATAAAATCAGTACCATTTGTTACGTTTTCAATTTGTTTTCGTTCACTTTCCATGTCGTTTTTTGGGTTTTTGTATTCTTGTTAATGTTTACACTAACAATTGTTTTTTTTTTTTGTTTTTGTTTTCCTTTTGTTTTGTTTACATTCTTACAAAAAATATGTTTCGTTTCTTTACATTTTGCTCTGCTGCGCGTGGTGCTTTAAACAACTCTTCATACACACAAACACACACACACACGCATATATATGTAATCATACACACACGCACACACACACACACACACTCATAATACATAATATACGACACTCACACCTTGGTATCGGCCTAAACCGATTACGTATATACTTATAGACTAATTGGACTTGCAATGGCCAAGTTATAATTATTATTATAACTGAGCCAGATCGACCATTTCAATTTACATTTGTTTTATTCTTTTTTTATTTTGTATTAGTTTCTAAATTAATTTGAGAGTCTGGAATGATAGTAACACTCACACACAATATATCAGTCATAGTCTTGCACACTCAAACAACATACATACAAATACTACACATATGCAGCAGACTTCGTTAATAATATTCTTCTACATATTTGTAAATTTGTGCAGGATGAGCCTTTAAACAGGTTTCTTTCGGAAAATTTCTGTTCGTCACTTTCAGACACGCAGTCACGCTATTATTTTAAATACATCCATTGTCATCAGATATTCATCATTATCATCATCATCATCATCACACAAGCACATGTTTCATCTCTCATCACGTATCATTCACCAAAATACACCTATAAGATTGTGCAAAATAAAAAAAGATTTATAAAAACGAATTAATTATCAGTATAAATATGATATACGATCAGTATAGATTATGTGAAAAATGTTTCTTAACTACCTACTACACATAATAAGTATAAAATATTTGAATGTAACTTTTATGCAACTTACGTTCGCATAGCACAGCCATAAGAGTCCATGTTCCAATTGGCGTCTAGCTCTCTCTCTCTTTCACACACGACGCTATCCGGCACTGATGCAGCGACAGACATACATCAATATCAACATCATTCTAATTTATTTTGGCAATTCAAATTCTGTTTATAACCATATTGTAATGCAGCAATTGTAAAGAGCAAAAATAAACAGTTGCCAGTTCAAAGAAGTTACTAAAAATAACCAAATTTATTTTTATATGCAAAATTTTAAAAAATAAAATGAGCCAAACCGAAACCGAAACTGAACTTGGACGGCTGTGCGATATTTAGATTGAGTCTAATATCAATACCAATCGGAATACATATATTTAGATTTAGTTATCAACTTTGAAATGGCATTTGTTTTGACAAAATGGTAACTGAATTTCTTTTGCATTTAACCGAATGAATCGTACAAATTGTTACATAATTAAAGTAGTTTAACAAACGGTATATCAAATTACAAGTTGCTTTTTGTTCTATTAGACACATTTGCCACTTAATCTAAAGTCCCGGTCATATCCGAGATTTTTTTTTTTAAGACATCCTTTGCATTGAGTTTTGCAAATAATTGTCAAAAGATTTTAAACGGGATTATTTTGTTCGAATTTGATTATGCTTGAAATACATTTCTTTTGGCTTTTGGGCACCTTGAATGTGTATGTATATATATATGTGTGTATAAGTGTTGCCATTTTGGTGGGATTACCACCAGTTTCAGTGGTTTTATTAACTTGCTAACGAAATTTTTTTAAAACAATATTAGTCGGTTTTTTTTTTTAGATTTTTCGAATCGCCAATGTTTTTTTTATACTGACAAATTCAATAATTTTTGTTGCTTATTAATTATTGTAGCCAAAAAACCAAATGTTTTGAAACCCGATTTTCTATTCAATTTTTTGTTAATTTTCTAAGATACTCTTATTTAGTGGTTTTTCCCGAAGGCCTTTAGTGATTTTTCCCGAGCGCTGGCAACACTAATATGTGACAAAAACAAATAGAAGGAAACAATTATTGTATTTGTTAAGAAATCAACGACGTGTGTTTATGTCCTAAACTGTCCTAAAAGTTGTTTATGTAGTCTACTATAATAGTATGTAAAATGAAGTACTGTAGTGTTACCCTGGTCCGTTTTTGTTAGTTTAGTAGTAGTAGTAGTTGTTGTTGTTGTAGTGTAGTATTTGTTTGTTTGTTTGTTTAACTATGTATATATACGAGTACAATTCGATAAGACGCTGCAGGTAGTTGTTTGGTTGTTACTGTATTCGTTTGTTTGTTTTTGCATATTGTTTCTTGTCATTTAAAATAATTTGCAAATTTAGCGTCATTATCTGGATTTGGAATCAATGTGAGCTAATTAATATATAAATAAATCAATATTTGCTTTACAAAACGTTTTTTCCAATTTATATGTTTACTTAATATATATTTTTTGTTGTTTTTGTTTGTGTTTGCTGTTTTTGTCGTTTGTTGTTTCCTTATTATATTTGTAATGAGTGTTTCAGTTTCTCATCTGTATTTTCCCCAATTTTAATTGGCATCCGTTTAAAATCTTTTTTCATATTTTTTTTTTTCGTTTCGTTTTTGGTGTTTATGAATTTAAGTTTGGTATCTCGGTGCTTTTGTTTTTAAATTTGCTTACAATTAAGTCATTCATATCATACATATTTCAGTTACGTTTACTGATCACTAGAAAAAACTTACATTTAGTAATATCACACAACACACGCCACACACGCGCGCATTTGAAGTTTGATATGGGGCAGAGACTGTTGTCTCTCTCATAAAACTTCAATCACAAACCATTTAGTTTCAGTTCTGACATCCACATTCTTCAGATTCACACTATAGATAGACGTGGAGATTTGGTAATCAATTTCAAAGGATTCATTGGAAAGTTGTTTGGGCTGATGGCAGTCACACTCAACACACACTCTCATCAAGCAATCGGCATTTCAGACTTCGCACTATTTCTCTCAGGCATTCGATGCATTCACATAATCACTAAATTACATACACATATATTCGCACACACACACACACACACATACATAATACTCATACTTCACGCAAACACACACAAGCACACATGCAAGCACACATTTAATATAACTAAAGATTTCACTTACACAGCAGAACCTGCTTCGGTTCTTATTTTTCATCTTTGTTTTTGTTTGTTATGGAAGATGTTACATTGGGTAAACCTTAAGAAGTATGTTGCAGCCATAAGACGATTTTATCCAATATTGCTGTGTATTTAATGTAGTAGTTTTATGTGTATTGTTGGATTTATGTAATTTTTATAAATTGTTACCGACTTTTTACTTATATTAACAACTCAATAGAGACAGACATAACTGCGCTTTTTTTTTTTTAAAGGTTTTTTTTATGTTTTTTTTTGTTGCTTTTGTTTGTGAAATAATGATTAAAATCGGTTTCTAATTAGTCATAACAGGAATTGTTGTGATAGCAGGCTGCTTAAGCGATAAAGTTGTCATAGTGCTTATAGAGAAAATGTTTTGTAGTTGGTAATGGGGACTTTGATTACGCTTCTTAGGAATTATCAAATTTACTAATAAGCTCACACAAAAATAACAATATAAATATCATAATCGTAGCAGGATTTGGCTTACAATGAAATGTATAAACAAAATTGTCTTAAATTTTAGGCGTCGCACAGCAACAATAAATCGGACAAACAAACAGCAGATAGAATTTTCGAATTCGGACTGAACTGTAAGAAGATGTGTAAATGGCTTAATTAAAGTCAAATGTTGTGATTTTTGTTAAATCAGAACACTCTACTCACCAGTTTGGCTGCGAACATACATAACTAAAATGGGATCCCAATTTACTGGGCAATGACCTGGCTGTTCATCTTCTTGATCTCCTTGGCTGCCCATGTGCATAGCATTTTGGTGCGCTGACCTTTGGAGCGCTTACCCTCGGCGAGGAATTGTGTAATGATCACATCATCCAGCAATGGATAGAGACGTGGTCCGAACGAGGTGCACAAATCACCGATGAAGCCCGCTGCACTGGCCATCATCGAGTCGGAGACCTCACCCTCTTGCGCAATGCGCTTTATGAAGTTAATAATGTGCAACAGATGGGGCTCCATGTGGAATACATCCTGATTGGCAGTCTGATCGACTCCCTTGAGACCCTGAATGATCCCGGTGTAGGCCTCCAAAACACTCTCGCGCAGCTCATTGATGTATTCGCTCATGTCGAAACTAGAGTTATCCACCTATAATAAAAATTAAAGTTAATTATTGATGTTCAATTGGGAAATAGCAGTTGTGATTTTGCATACCTGCAAATTGGAGGCAGCACGCAACATGTCCAGAACGACATTTAAATATTTCAGAAACTCGCTGCCAATGCTTAGCGCCATATCGCCAAAGGCGGACAGTATTTGCGGCTTAACACTGCGATGAAGATTCGGTTCAGCAAGATCGTTCATTAGTACGGACATAATCTCATCGCAGTAGGGCACCATCAAATGTTTGAGGGCGCGGCAAATGTCGCCAGTGAGTCCAACGGAGGCACAGCAAACCTGGTACTCCTGATGATTCTTGAGACCCATTATTAGAAAATCTTTAAAGGCCGGCATGTATTTGACAAATTGAAAGCCAAGTAGCTCGACCAGCGTAGAGACGGCCAAGAACGCGTCCTCTTGAACGCCGCCCGACTTTCCGGCACTGGAGCTAAACATGGTCAGAAGAGCGGTCATGATGGCGTCCGAAATCTGCGGAGCATCCTCCTCGCGCACCTTACGCAGCACACTTTGGAGTGTGGCGCAGAGCAGCGACTGCAAGTCATTGAACTGATGGCGATCGCTGTGGTTGCTAATATGCGACTCCATCTGCATGACCTGATTCAGACGCTCCAAGATGACAATTGTTGTGCGCTGCACAACCAGATAGCAATCCAGCGGTGAATTCTTGATCATGTCCATCAACGCCTCATAGGCAGCGCTACGCAAATTGGCCTGAGCACCGTCCGACCGATCGGTGGTCTCCAACAGTTGTGTGATAATGAATTCAAAGTAGGGCGACAGGGCATAGGTCACCGGTGTTTCTCCCTCGCTGACAATGGCAGCCTCATAGGCGGCGTCCGACAAGCCGATGAAGGCCCAGCATACGTTTGCCGCCACACGCGGTTCCGACTTTAGACTTTTCACGAAGCACTCGAGCAATGTTTGCAAATATGTCTTGTTGATTGCGGCTTCCGGGATGATCTATAGTTTATTATTGAGTTTGAATATTTGTTTTTAATTTAACTTTAATCTGTACTTACATCGCATATACGTCCAAAGGTCCAAGCCGTGGTGTCGCGCACGATGACGCTAGAATCGTACATGAGTCGAATTAGGGTTGGCATTGCCTGCTCAACAAGAGGCTTGAGCGTGTTGGCTTCCAGGCCATTGAGCACAGAACCGAATGTCATGACGGCAGCATCGCGATAGCGCCAATTGGGTGACTCAATGTTATCCTTGATGAATGGCAAGACATGCGGCACGATTTCGTCCTCGCAGCAGGTGGCCAACAACATTAGGCACACGGAGGACGCTTTCGACGGACTCCAGCTGTCTTCGTCGTCGCACTCGTCCTGTTTGGTTAACTTCTCAACTAGCACCGGCGTCAAGAACTGGAGAGCACCACGTGCATAATGCTTGGAGGCACGTGGCGGCGGCCTGCCTAGATCGGTTGCCTCCTGACTCTCGATGGACAGATCGATTTCCTCATCGCTCACGTTCGACCAGAACTCAATGCCCTGCAGGGCAATGGCGTCATTGTCCGACTTCATGGCCTCCAGTGTAATGGGGAAGAGTGCCTGTGCCATGTATGGCTCCATGAATTGATAGTAGAGCGACATGATCTTCACCAAACACTGCAAGGCAGCAACACAAATCTGTGTGTCGGTGCACTGCGTCGCCTCGCACACCACCTCCATGATGAAGTTTCGCTCCATTTCCTTCTCAAAATTGGCCTTGGTGAACTCCAGTGAGTTGTGCAGCGATGTTGTAGCAGCCAATCTCACATGGTTGCTGGGCTCCTGCTTGCGCATTCCGTGTATGATAGCCGTTAGCACCTGATTGGACTGATTCTCGAGGACACCATAACGGATATCCTGACAAATGTAACCAATAGCCTCAAGCGCCGCCTCTCGGTGCATTTCGCTGGAGCCTTCGCTGACGACTTTGTTTACCAGCGTCTGGATGAGAATGCCCCAACGATTGATGGGCAGCTCAATTACCGCCACATAAGCAACACACTGGGCGGCACAAGAGGGTCGCGTGTTCTCTGTGCCCAAGGCAGAAAGTATCTGATGGAAGGTGGAAAAGGCAATTCAAAATAAATATATCAATTGTTACCCATATTTCAGGCGAAACGTAAAATATACGGCTATATTATGGGTAGCGCATTTAACATACATTATTTTTGATCAACTCTCTGGTCTCCTCGGGAAACTGGTGCCATCTCTCCTGATACTGTTGACTGATATTTTCATCCTTACTCGTTAGGTGATTTTTCAATTGAAGACCAGCTGCCATGCGCGCCACGGCACTGTTTGTTGTTTCCACGAGGATTTTTGAGAGAGCCTTGAGGAATTCTGGCAGATTGCTGGCGGCTGCCTGCTCCAGATAGTTTTTCGCCGAGAGCAGCTCATTTTTGTCTGCGGCAAGTAAGAAAATATATCAAATACAAATTGAGGTTATGTTCACAAAGTCCTAAATCTAAGTTGTTGAGGCTATTTTATGTATGTATGTACTTATGTGTGTGCGTATATACGCTTTTGCTCATTTGTTCATATAAATATATATGTATATCTACATATATATGTATGTATATAGGCGATTGTTGTGTGTGTAGCAACTAAACATACGCTTATGCTCGATTGCAACCCTGCGCAACACACACATATTCATGCGTCACAGTCGCCGCCGACGTTGCGACGCATCACCTATAACAAAATGGCTTTTAGCTGGCCCTGAGCAATTGAACTTTAAATGCTTTTTATAGGTGCCTCCTCGTCATCGAGATGCACATTTAGAGAATGGTTTTCATCACTTACCTGGTGAGACGGTCTTTTCCAATATAGCAATTAATTGCCTTGTTATGTCCGAAGTCATTTTTGCGCTCTTCTTACTTTCAATTTCGTGTAAAAATGTCGTAGCTGCTGTTAAAGGCGCGAATGTGTGGATATTTTTTCGTAATCACTCAGCTTTCTATGGTGTGTTTGTATGTATGCGTGAATATATAGACAATACCGAGCGAGCAGCAGCTGCCAAATGATTAAACCAAAAAATTATTTTTTTTTATATTTTTGTACAGCTAACACGATAATAGAATAGAAAAAACACAAGCTAGCTTATGGAACAAAGGCAAATGAGGCCTACAACTTCAAGAAAAATGAAATGAATTTGCTTTTTAGATTGAGAACGCGACGTACAATATCCGAATATTTGCGTCGTCCTAAAATTGATTTTTTTCGCTTTTTAACTTACTCACTGTGCGTGTCTCTGTTTCCCCTTTGTCTGCGCGTCTGCTGATGCTGTGTTGCTATTTCGATATTGGCTACGCGAACTGTCAGAAAACTCGGGACAAGGGACAAACTGTCGTTGAAATTGTTAATGTTAATGTCAATGTAATGTTATCTAGTCGTAATTAACTTTGAACAGGAATTTTTTGTGTCCAATAAAACGTGAATTGAGAAAGAATGAGAAGCAGGCCGGTTCTGAATAATACTCGACCCCACATGGAAAATTACTGCGCGTCGATCTTTGTGCACGATGGCAACACTGTTTAGTCGTAGCTGCCAGTTGCGTTTGAAGTTGATGGGCGTCACCTATAAATATTGAAATCAAAGTATCCGATATTAATATTAATAAATTGCATTTAATTTACTATATTTATTTCTACACATTTAACATTTAATAATTCAAATTTTCTGACAAAGACATAAATGACTATAACAGTAACCCTATGGCCACTTGGCCAAGTTGGCAGTCCTGTGAAGTGGCAACGCCGTTTTTGCAATTGCACAGTGCTGACGTTTGTCAGTCAGAAATAAGCCGAAAAAATAGGAAACAAAAGCTTGACAATTGAACTGCGACTGCTGTTTAAACAGACAACTTCGAGGATTCAGGGTCACATCTGGCTAACCAGTCTAGAACGAGTGTTAGATCGACGTGGTAGATAACTCACTGCTGCTCGATTGTGATTGCACTTGTGTCTGCTGCTTTTGTTGTCAAAATACTAAGAATAATGATACCATCACGGTGCCAATGCACCGTTTTGGGGCTGCTTCTGCTCGTCTTGATCGCCTGTGAAGCCTTCTATCTACCTGGTCTTGCACCGGTCAACTTTTGCAAGAAGTCCGATGGGACAACTACGTGCAAGGTAAGTGAGTGTGTTGGTCACATGTACACACACACCCACACACATATGAGTGTGTTTATTATTTATAGTTAATAGTTAATGGCTATTCCAACTCTTGTTCCCCAACGGAAGTAATGATAAGCACCCTGCTTGCCTACTGAGAGTGATATTGCTTCGTGGAATGCTGTCGTGTGGGTGGCTGTGTGCTGACGTAGATACTTTTGTTTTAAACATGCTTGCGTATCCAAAAGTACATGTGCCTAAGCGCAAAGATAGAACATAAACATATATACTTAATACGTGTGTGTATGTATGTGCTTGTTTGTTGATTAAGCGGGAGGTCGGCGATCGAGGTACGCTCTTCATTAATTAGAGAACATATCAAATTATTTCGCCTACTTTTTATCAGTTAGTCGGAAACAGCAATTCTGATATTTGTCTCGTGTTAAGCAGGAGTTTTTAATGTTTTTTTGTTATCAGTATTATTAGGTTGTTCATTTTATGATATTTTTAATCTGCATATCCACAAAACGTAAAAATTATAACAAAATATATTATATTTTATATTAATGCTGCAGTCTGATGTTGTTTTATACGTTAACCGCTTAAATACTGAGGAATCTGTCATACCCTATGAGTATCATCACTTTGATTTCTGTCTGGGAAAAGAGGAGAACTCGCCAGTTGAGAATCTTGGCCAAGTTGTATTTGGTGAGCGTATACGACCGGGCCCTTACAAAATACAGTTTATGGAGGATGTGGAATGCGCCGTGGTAAGTGCATTCAGTATGCAAATCTCACAGTTGGCAGTCGATTGATTTAGTATTTATTATTCGAAAGGCTTGTCGCAAAAATTATACCGGCGGTGTCGGGGATAGTGACCGACGAATGATGGTGCTTAAGAAGGGTATCAGTCTTAACTACCAGCATCATTGGATTGTGGACAATATGCCCGTAACTTGGTGTTATCAGCTGGAGACGGGTAAGCCGTATTGCAGCACTGGCTTCCCAATGGGCTGCCTGGTACGCGCCGACGGCGAAGGTTGCCCCATCAATACAATTTACAGTCGTCCACTGCACTATTATCCATTCAATCATGTGGATCTGGAGATCACTTATCACAGTGGCGCTCAAGAGGATTGGGGCATGGGCTTTGGAGGTAGCAGTGGTCGTATAATTTCTGTTAAAGTAACGCCAAAATCCTTGCTTCACGCCGATCCCGAAAAGCCCAATTGTTTGGGCCCTGAGCCGCTGGCCATACGCGAGAGTTCCCTCAAGGCAGGCGAAGTTCAGAATATAGTTTACACGTACGGTGTGAAATTCGTACAGAATAATAATGTAAAATGGTCGTCGCGTTGGGATTATATACTGGAATCAATGCCGCATACTAATATTCAATGGTTCTCAATTCTCAATTCGCTGGTCATCGTACTTTTCTTGAGTGGCATGGTGGCGATGATTATGCTGCGCACACTGCACAAGGATATCGCCAGATATAATCAGATGGACAGTGGGGAGGATGCACAAGAGGAATTCGGTTGGAAACTGGTACATGGTGATGTTTTTCGGCCGCCACGCAAAGGAATGCTTTTGTCCGTCTTTCTTGGCTCTGGTGTTCAGGTCTTGGTCATGTCAATGGTCACCTTGGCATTTGCCTGTCTTGGATTCTTGTCGCCTGCAAATCGTGGCGCCTTGATGACCTGCTCCATGGTGTTGTTCGTATCACTGGGAACGCCCGCTGGTTATGTTTCGGCAAGAATCTACAAGAGCTTTGGCGGTGTAAAATGGAAGAGCAACGTCATCCTTACCTCAATAGTATGCCCCGGGTGAGTTGATGCCAAATAAAATAACTACGAATGCTTACTAATTTTATATAATTTCTTTTGTCTAGAATCGTATTTTCGCTGTTCTTTGTGATGAATTTGGTGCTATGGGGTGAGAGTAGCTCTGGCGCTGTGCCATTCAGCACACTGATTGCCTTGCTGGCTCTGTGGTTTGGAGTTTCCGTGCCCTTAACCTTTGTTGGCGCCTACTTTGGTTTTCGCAAACGCGTACGTAATCTATTATATTCATTTTCATCTTTAATTTTGCTCAAATTCACACTCTTTGACTTTTAGGCTTTGGAGCATCCGGTGCGTACCAATCAAATACCGCGACAGATACCCGATCAGTCAGTCTATACGCAGCCGATTCCCGGAATTGTTATGGGCGGTGTTCTGCCGTTTGGCTGCATCTTCATACAGCTGTTCTTCATTCTCAGTTCGCTGTGGTCAAATCAGATGTACTACATGTTCGGATTTCTCTTTCTCGTGTTCCTTATACTTATCATCACATGCTCAGAGACAACGATCTTGCTTTGTTATTTCCATCTATGCGCGGAAGACTATCATTGGTGGTGGCGATCATTTCTTACATCGGGCTTCACAGCCGTTTATCTATTCATCTATTGTTGCCACTACTTTGTCACAAAACTATCCATTAAGGACAGCGCATCGACGTTCCTCTACTTTGGATATACCGCCATTATGGTATTCTTGTTCTTTTTGCTAACCGGCACAATTGGATTCTTTGCTTGCTTCTGGTTCATACGGAAAATCTATAGCGTTGTCAAGGTGGATTAGGCTCAGCATACATCACGTATTTATACAATGTGTGTGTGTGTGCGTGTGTGTGTGCTTGTGGGAGTCTGTCCGTGTGTATGCCCGTGTGTTTTTGTATGTGTAGCCACAATTTACACTTAAGCCTAATGTGTGTGATTTCTGCGCTGTGCGTGAACAGCCGGTTTTCTGTTTATTATAATGAACTTATTAATATGCATATACTACATAAAAATATGTATATAGTTATATATACATATGTGACTATGTGGTAGTACCGATGCGCGCAATAATGTTAAGGAAAAATCAGAAAGTACGAGAAAGGGTGAAAATCAATTGTGTGTAGTTTACATGTTTTAAAAACAAACTATCAAATCTTTGGCAAGAAATTTCATCTTTTCAAATTTAACGTCCACTTCTGGAGATATATACATACAAATACATTTCCAAAAAATAAAAATAAAAAAAAACCAAAAGAAATAATCATAAATAAATTACTGTTCCCAACAATAATTATTTTGTTTAAACATGAAATCCACTTCCTGCAAATTAAAATGTACTGATTTGTAATTTGAAGTACTTTACCTTTTGTGTATTCGTTAAATCAGAGCCATCCAAACGATTGTAATTGAGGCTTGGATTCTCAACATATAATTCATACGTGTAATATTTTAAAATATGTACTTTAGTTTAAACGAATTAAAACTAACTTGGAACTAAAAAATAAATGAAAAATCCAACCAAAAATGAAAAAAAAAGAGAGCGCCCTCTATAGTTTAAAAATTTTGATCAAGGGTTGCAACCCTCCAAACTGCATCCGATGGCAAAAACAGTTTTGAGGCTTCCGCTGAAAGTTTGCAAAATTGATTTCAAAAATAAATTGCCAACTAAATTGCAGCAACAATCAATCCCAGACTAAATGACACACCAAATTGTGGACAGTGAAGATGAATACGATGAGCTATCGGAGTTGCGACAACGAAGCCAGCCCGAGGCTCAGCAATCAGTCGATGTTAGTAATCCGATGGACCCTCATATGATTCCAACAAAAATTTATAGTTATAGTTGATATGCATTTTAGGAGGCCTTCGATTTGGACGATCTGCTGCCAGTCATTGGTGAGTTTGGCAAATATCAGAAGCTGCTCGTCTTTGGCATTTGTCTGCCTGCTTGCATACCATGCGGATTTTGTGCCTTCAACCAGCTCTTCATGGCCGACACTCCCGATGACTATTGGTGCCGAGTTCCTGACCTCTTCCACATGGATCTCGAACAGCGTAAATATTTGTCCATACCCAAGGAACTGGTAAGCCAACTCTTAAAGTTTTCAGTTTAAAAATCAACATACGAAATAAAGGAACTCAAGTTTTATTAGAGTTGCTGAGAATTTGGAGTTAGATACAATTATATAAAAACCGCAAACAACAAAAAATTCGACGATTTATATATGTATAGAAATCTTATATTTCTATGCCAGGTTAGACGGTGGTCAACTTGAACCGTTGTGGTACCTTGTGGGATCTAACTCGGATTTCTTCGGCACCCTAATATATAAGATAATTTTATTTATTATTATTTTTTTTAAGGAAAATGATGAGTTGGTCTACAGTAAATGTTACACTTACGGTGTCAATTGGACGCAGTTGCTCGAATCTGTTGATAATATTGTTGACAGTGCTGGGAATGATGTGACAACACTGGAGCCCAATAGCAGCTGGCCGCTGATCAAGTGCAGCCAAGGCTGGGAGTACAACACGACCAGTGTCTGGTCCTCTATTGTGATCGATGTGATTAAGTCCATAGCCAAAGCGATCCACAACTGATCCACATTAAGCCTCATTTAGAGCAGCTCTTTGAACAATCATCATTTGTACCCTTTCATGTCATACTCTGCTCCAGCACTTTGATAATCAATTCATCACTCAACTGTTGCATCCGTTAACAGTTCGATCTGGTATGCGATCAGGACATATATCCGACCATTGGACTCGCTGCCCTCAACACTGGTGGACCTGTGGGTGTTTATCTATTTGGACTGCTCAATGATAGAGCCGGGCGTAGACTCTCCTATTTCACGTGTCTGGCCACATTGCTGGCGGGCAGTTTGATTACCTCGCTGAGCACCGACTTCTGGACATGGGCGGGCAGTCGTGTGGTCGTCGGACTGACTATTCCAGCTGTATATCAAATACCCTTTATCATATGTGGGTATTAAGCTTTTAACCTTTTTATGTAGACTATGAAAACTGACAAACTTCCAAAATTGTAGAGCTATAAGCGCAAAGTCCCACAATTTTAGAATGAGAATTATTAAATTTGAGAAGTAGATTAATGTTAAATTTCCTTAATTATTAGTCAGGAAAATGTTACTAAACTGATATACGATTAATAATCTGTTGGCTCTTACTCGTTTCAGCTTTGGAACTCGTTGGAGAGAAGTATCGTTCCTTTGTGACCGTGATGACGTGCACCTTTTACACGTCGAGCATAATGCTGCTGTCGCTGGTGACCTATCTGGAGCGGGATTGGGTGCGCCTTTCCTACTACACATCAATTCCATTCTATTTCTACTTCCTGTACATATTCATAATGCCAGAGTCGCCACGTTGGCTACTGATGCGCGGTCGTCTGGAGGAGGCGCTGAAAATACTGGAGCGCATGGCGCGCGTGAATGGACGACAATTTCCGGAGGCAGTGCACAGTAAGTTGGAGGCGCAAATCAAAAGAGACAAACTGAAAAAGCAGAAGAAAAAAGTGGCCAATGTGGGCCTCATGGATCTGTGTCGCACGCCCAACATGCGGCTAAAGACGATATTGATTACGCTCAGCTGGTTTGCCAATGAGACCGTCTATCTGGGACTTAGTTATTATGGTCCCTCGCTGGGCACCAATCAATACGTTAGCTTCTTTCTGTCCGCCGTAGTGGAGCTGCCGAGTTATCTGTGCTGCTGGTATTTTATGGACACTTGGGGTCGTCGTTGGCCTCTCAGCTTATCAATGATATTGGGGTAATTACAGATAGATTTTTAACAATGTTTTTTTTTTTCAATTTGTTACCTGTTTTCTGTTGTCTAATCTATATAATTGCTCTAATCTTATCTAGCGGAGCTGCGTGCATTATAACCGTAATGTTGCCCGATGACGCAATCGATGAGACATTGATACTTTATCTCATATCGAAGGCGCTACTATCGGCTTCTTTCCTAATCATTTATCCCTTTGCCGGCGAGCTATATCCGACTCAAGTTCGAGGCATTGGGATTGGTGCCTCTAGCTACATTGGCGGATTGGGGCTGATAGTGATACCATTTGTCACCTATCTGGGCAAGGACAACTTAAAGCTACCATTGGTGATTATGGGATTTGTATCGATGTTGGGTGGCATGACTGGTTTGCGTTTGCCAGAGACTCTGCATCATCGCCTGCCGCAGACCATCGAGGAGGGCGAAGAGTTTGGCAAGAATTGGCAATTTAAAGATTGCTTTCGCTGCAAGCCGCAACCGTAAGTAAATGGGTTACCAACTAATCTGTTGGCTATCTTCATATATTCCGCTTTCTTGCAGCGATGCTCTGTCTCCGCCATCTTCCTATGAGAACTTGGATGTATTGGGTGGCTCCTCCAATACCGCTTCCGAAGTGGAACTAGAGCTTCGAGATAGTCGCCGTCAACGGCAACAGCCCCATTCTGATGAAAGCACACCGCTGGAGCTTGGTGCAAGTGGTAGTGGAGGTGTCGGACGACCGCATCGGAGTTCGATGAAGCGCTTGGTGCGCCAGATGAGTGTTATGGATACACAGAGGACTCATGATGGCACCATGCAGTTGACGCACTGGATTTGAGTGTGTGTGTGTGTATGTGTGTGAACTGTAAATGCGTGTATTATAATTTAAAGATGTTTGAATGCTCTAGTCGAGACAGCTCGACTAGGAAGTACCCTGAACCCAGCAATAGATAGTAGTCATGCTGATTGAAGTTTGTTCAATGTGAAAATACGTTTTGGAGATAATAGTTTGCTCTGTTTGAAAACACATTTTCTTATCCGATCTTAATCAAGTTTGTATTAGGGTGTATCATATATTAATTGAATGATATTGCTTGTCTTTGATTGCGTTCGGAAATCGAGGACGAATTGGAATTCTCCAGCTCTTATATAGATGGATAGACTTATGAATAATATATACAAACTTTATGGAATCGGGATTGTTTCCTTATTTTTGCACAACTTCATCATACATTTATTCTTATTTTTCGCTGGTTCAGGGTATAAAAACAATATATAAATACCAAACAAAAAACATAGCACGAAAAATCTCTACAAATACAATATTCACAAAACTTTAGTAGCAATTTCACTTTGAAATATTCTGTATAACAATTTATCCTACAACAAGTATAATAAAGTATAATAGCATTTAAATGTTATGGAACATATCTATAAAAATCTGTTTTTTTTTTCTGGATATCATATTTACATGAATTTCTTGTATTTAAATGCATTATTGACATAGATGCCAAAGAATGATCATATGTCATTTAATTCATTTTTTATTGAAATATTTTTCAGTGTCGATTTTAAATTAATAAATAAGTATATCCTTTTAATCAACAATAATGTTAAAGCCAAACTTATGGTAATAAAATTATTCACTTACTAAGTGAGTTTCGGATACGAGCACATAAACAATTAAACAACATTAATTTACCCTTTGAGCATCCACTACAAAATACAATGCTTTCAGCACATCCGCCATATATACGATATTAACAGTACTTATACCATACCAACATAGCATTTGTCATAATATACATATGTATATATATATACATATAACTGTACAAGCGATTTCTCATTAGACCCGCATTGTTTGTTTTTATTTATTTATGCATTTATGCAAGCAATTATGCAATTAATTGCTGCCAAACAAAAACAAACATTAACACCGATTGTTTATTACCTGATTCGATTTGAGGAATGAAAATTACCTGCAGCTGTTAGCCGTAATCTTCTAGAGACAGCGATAGGAAGCATTCAAATATAATAGATATATGAGATTATGATTGTGTATACTCGGATCGGAGTATTAAACTTTTAATATGTACGAGTATATGAATCACAATCATTTTTGAAACTTGTCAACAACAATGAAGCATTGCAAATTTTATGTATAAGCCGTAAGCATGTCTGGAAACTCTGGAATGGTGTCGCAGCATCCACACCAGGACTCCACTAGTTGCCCCATAATGTGCCTGCACGAGGATATCATATGTCAACTATTCAACTATATACCACAACTGAGCGACAAGGTTCACTTGGCGTGTGTGGCACCCAAATTCAGGGACGCCTTTGATAACTGGGCGCGCAGACAACGAAGCCACTCACTGAATGCACAGGATGTGGAGCAGATGCAGCTGCCCGATCTGATTGTTTTCTTCGAAGTGGCTGGACCATTTATAACCGTGCTGATGGTGAACACTGCTTCGTACCATAAGGAATCTCTGATTGTCGAGTTTATCGCCGAATATTGCAAGAACTTGGAAGAAATCCATTTTAGTAATGTGACCGATGAGTTCCGATTTGGTCAGTTGTTGTCGCGATTGACGCATCTGCGTCGAGTAAGCATCCATTGCAGCGATGTCGAGGATGTTTTAAATTTAGACATGGAGAGCAACCAGGAATTGGAGTTCTTTGAACTGATCAACGGCTGCTACACGGGTAAACAACATAACTTGCCATCTACCAATATAGTCAAGAATTTGATTTGAAATTTTATTTTAATAAATAAATTGCTTTAGGCAAACATCTGTGCGACTTTCCCAAACTACAGACAATTGTGCTGCGAGATTGTCTGCTGTGGAATTCCGGTGAGCTGGGGATAACTCTGAAAAAGTTGCGAGTTCTCGTTTTGGAAGGTTGCTGTTTTGATGTGATGAATCAATCGCTCTATGAGAAGATTGCCAAATGCTGTGTGGATCTGGAGGATTTAACCTTCTCAAATTGTGATGTTCACTTCGAGGTGATCGCCCAACTGGTGAACCTGAAACGATGCACTCTTAAGACCTATATATCCACCAGCAATGAGCTCAACTTGGACTTCCTTTCGGCGCTGGCCGAGAAGCGGGACAGCAAGCTCCAATATCTCAATTTAACGGGACAGTTTGAGATTGGCAATGAGCATGCAACATGCCTGGGACAATTGAACACTCTATTGCAATTGCACTTTAGCGACAATGATGTGCTGGAGGATAGTCACTTCCTGTTGTTCAATGATCTACCCCAGCTGAAGCTACTGGGATTGTCCTGGTGTGGCAGTGTCACGGACACGGGACTAGCCAATTTGATTTGCCGCTGCCCCCAACTAAATCGCATGGATATCAATCATTGTAATCAAATCACCAACAACTTGGTCTTCAATGCCATCAGCTGCTGTGGCAAGGGGACGGGTCGCTCAATGATCCTCAATGTGGCACACACCAAGATCACAAACACAATGCTCGAGGTGCGTAGTGCTTGATTAAATGTTTTTTTTTTTTATACTCTATACCTATTGGATTGAGGAAGATTTGGCAATGGCAGAAGTAGAAATCTTAAACAGTTAAAATGTGCAAAACAGAACAAAATATGTTGAAAGAATTAGGAAGTTGAAATATCAATTAGAGATTTGTGAAGAATTGCATAAAGATTGACTGGAAAGTATTTAGAATGTAGACTTGTCTAGTATATATCATGCTCAAAACAAACTAATCGATAAATATCGATTATTAGAGCTAATTTTAATTACTATGCAGAATTAGGAATTTAGACTTGGTTATATAAGTCTCTAATCAAAATAATCAATAAATACCGATTATAAGAGCACAGCACAGCATATCCATAAATAAATAATCTCTCTAAATATATAATCTCTCCCCTATATTTAAGAAGTTAGAAAAACATATATTTGTTGTGGGTACAGGGTGTTAACTAGCGATCACTGTCGAAAAGTGCCGCCTTAGTTGCTTTGAACTTAACTTCCCTGCACATCCGCAGCATCCCAGTTATCTAAATCAAAAGTGCTATCCGCAAAAACACGTCAAGTTGAACTTCACGAATCGATTGGACTGAGTTATTGGGTTCACCCACAAGGAAGTACTAACTATATTGGATTTATTGAACAATCGCAGCGCATCTAAAACACGCACACAATGCTCCATTATGGAACTGTAATAGTTTCGATAATTGCCAAGTTTTGTTGTTATGGATTTAATAAGTAAGAAAAAAATAATAATAAAAACAAATCAAATGGATTCGATTCAATTCGTTTCGATTCGATTCGAGTCTCAGTTGCTTGTTGCAATAAATTTCGCATTCAATTGTTGCTTGAACTTTGCCGATATTGTTGTCGATGTTGTTAATGATGATGATAATGATGATGATGATGATGATGATGACGGTGATGTCTGTGTTAGCAGCAGGAAGCCCAGTTAACACACTTTGTGCAGTGAAACAACAATTAGAGCTCACCTATGGTCAGCGACGGTTAGTCATCGAATGCACTCATTGTCCAGCCAGTTGTAGTCACTGCACTCACAATTGATTCACAATCACAATGCTTGCCAATATTGCTGTTGACCTCGACTCGGTCTCCTTAAATAGCGTTCGCTGTGACTTAGTTCTAGTACTACACATAACCCATTGACATCACACATTGGCCTGCCGGGTATGAAAATATTTACATACATACATACATACATATATGTAAATAAATCACCTTGACATGTTCAGGTGTCTGGTGTCTCTTTGCAGTCTTGCCAATTGACTAATTGTGTGTATGTTCTTTTGTACTTCTTCTGGGTTCGATGGTTTGACATTTTCTGTGGATGATCGCATTCCGGCGCTCGACAAGCAATCGATACTTGTAATAGATCTTTGATCATCTTAGCCACAATCCAAAATACACACACAAATTGTCAAAGCTGTTGTAAAATTTATAGGAGATTGTTTTTTAAACACACACATTTTTCTTTTTTTGGCTTTACTCTTGAGTGATCACTAAAAAAGTCGCTCAAAGCATTTATCATTAAAAGTGGATTTTTAATTTTCCATAAAAATAATAAATAAGTACAAGTTCTATATCCTTGGGCTTGAGAAATATATATATATATCTATAAATAATTCTAATGCATAATAGGTATATGCAGTTCCCATCTGGTTGCTGCCTATAATAAAAAATAATAAAAAAATAGTGTTGAAATCTAAATGAGACACAAGTAATTTAATGTAGTAATAAAACCGTTAATGGTTATATACAAAATAATAATGACATCAGAATAGTTATTTGTGTATATCAAAATTTAATGTTTGGTACGACATGTAAAAACATGCTTATGATTTTAGTAACTACACTCAGAAAAAAAATCGATCTGAATTTTGAAAACCGCACTGAAAACTAGAAATATGTTCCGGTCTTAGAATTTTAATATTTTTATTTTTTTAGAAATCAATTTCTTAACAAGTTTTTATTGTTTGATTATTATAATTAAAATTATAATCGTTTTACAATTAAATACTTTTTCAGGAAGAGATTCACATCGTGCGTTCAACAAGCTGTGGAGTTATTTATGTGTTTTTTTTTATTTATAAAAAATATCTATTCTAAAAATCAAGAAGTCTTTTTTTCTGAGTGTAATAATGCTGCATGTTCATTTACACAGCACTCCTCAATTCTGATTACAATGATTTTCAAACATAAAAACGACATGTCGTTTTGGTCTACGTTTGGGTTAGTTCTAGCTCCGACGAAGCCAAATAACATGGTTAGATTTCAGTTAAATTATAAATATTATTATTTATAATGTATTGCAATAAGTTGTTTTAATTAAGTGTATCAGTTAAGGTTTATAATTAAAATAGTTAATTAAGCTAGTTAACTTAAGCTCTTTATTAACATGCAGAAATACTAAGCGAACACAAAGCTCACATCAAAGATGGAACTTCACCTTCACCATCGCCGAACTCCAATTACAACTGCAACTGCAACATTCCCCATCATCATCATCATCATCATCATCAGCAGCATCATCTTTGTATCGGTTGCCAACTGGCATTTGTGAAGACGTGTGCAGGCTTGTCAAGGTGCCGTGCCAAGTCAAACTAAAGCTAAAGCTATAAGGCTATTCAGCGGATCTATGCAGTTATGTATATATATATTATATATATATATATATATGTGTGTGTGTATGTGTGTATCATGTAGCTGTCTTCAGTTTGACAAACCCGTTGGCTTAACAATCGCATGTTGTTGCTGCCTTTCAATTATTGGCCGAGCTGCATGTCTGGCTAGTGGTGTCTGCTGATCTTAGCTGCTGCTGGAGAATTACACGCAACTATCAGTTGATACAAATCTATACAATTCAGTATATAAAGACGTAATCGTGCCGAGCCATGCTAGCTTAGTCTAGTCTCTCTAGTTCTAAGTGCTTCACATAAATAATCTGTGGAGAGACTTCGAAGTTCGAACATAACACATATTGCTCTGAGCATGAGAAGACGGGACAGGTCGAGGTCAACACTGCTAGCCAACCAACCAGAGAGACCACAGACCATAGACAGCAGACCGCAGACCGCAGACCAAAGAATAGAGAACCTAAGCAGCTGTCCAAGCGCCACGGGTGCGAGTTATTGCCATAAGCAGTGTCTTCAGTTTGCCACTCGGCTTCTGATTGGATTTTGCTTGGAATCTGCTTGGATGTTGCCGGCTCCGTTTTTTTGTTCTGTTCACATTCGCAATTAAAACTTTGCAAACGGCATTCTATTTCTGTTTTGCTCCTTTTAAATGGCAGATCAATATATTTTAATGAAATCTTATCGTATTTTTAGACTTCACATTTACACAACTTTTTACATCGCTTTAAAATTCATATCTGAGCCAGCCATCCTCGCACGTTAAGTGACTTCCCACGGAGCTACTTGGCCTCCAAGGCGTCAACAGCTAAACTCTAATGTGAAAGCCGAGTGCCGAAAAAGTGGATTTGGCAACAAAATATTCCTCTGCTTTGGCAATTGGGTGAAATATAATTAAACATATAAATTTATAAAATTCGTAGAATGAAGAATATATTAGAGGAATGTAAGGAAATATTCGATGCAAAAGTTGTTGTATATATTCCTGATTAGGACGAAGAGCTAATTCGACAATTTATTTGAGGCTTAATTTTTTTTTTGCTTAAAAAGAAAATCAGTTAAGAAACTGAATGTGAAATAAATAATACTTTTGAAAACATTAAAGCAGGTTGGTTGGGGTGCATTGGAATTCCTACCTCAGATTTATGTTTATGCAGATTTATGTATCTTTTGTATACCCGAACACTTTTTCTATACGTTTTCCGAATTTATTTTTAACATGGCCACTACAAACACTTTACGTGCTAAAAAGTTTTATTTCTGTTCTTGTTGTTATTTGGGCTCCACGCTGGAAAAGTGTGCTATTGTAAATTAAATGGCAAATCACTTTTGGATATGCAAAACTGTAAACTATTTTTGGGCGGAAAAAAGCCGCCAGCACGTGACGTTATCCTTTGGCTAAATTTATACGTCACACACACACACACACGGATATGCACATGTGTGTGAACCTGATGCAGTCGAGTGCACAGAGTGCGACAGTGACATCATCAGCTCAGTCTAAAAAAAATAGAGGCCCACGCGTACTCCACGCGTGACGTCAAAGCGAGCGGGATGGCGCTATAAATGTTTGGCTGCCGCATATTGGAGCAGTTCAGCAGTTGACGAACTGTGACTGTGACGTCACATGGAAAGAGACAGCGAGAGATACAGCGAGAGATACAGCGAGATAGAGAGAGAGAGAGAGCGAGAGAGAGTGCGCAACGAGGTAAGCTGAGAGCAACAGCGACGTCATCGACGCACGTGCCAGCGGACAGAGCGAGAGAGAGAGAGAGAGCGCGAGCGAGAGAGCATAAAAGCAATAACAAAAGCAACGTTGACGTCACAACCCTCCATTGCCGGCCGGCATTTTATCTACGCGCTCTCTCTCTCTCTCTTTCTCTCTCTCTGTCTTAACAGATTTGTGCGCTTGGCAGTTTTCATTCATGTTGCGAGCGCATGTCTGTCCACGCGTCGCGTGCCACCCAACTTGATGACGTCTTTGTTTATTGATTTCGCACAATGATTCAATGACGTCACGGCATTTGCGACCAAACCGAACCGAATCAAAGCCAATTCAGCGGGAAATGCGTTGCGCTATATTTAATCGCACGCTAATTAACACTGGAAATTGATAATCACCAGTGGGCGAAGTATCTATTACGATACTCGTCTTTACCCATGCCACATGCCACAATTTGTATGTCTAAAATTATGTTGTTAACAAGGCGTTGAATCTTTCATGTTGAAGCTAAAAGCTCAAATCACATTAATTTAGTTCAATGTCAAAGTTAAATTACGTAAATAACTTTCTCAATTTTCGTTTTTTTCGTTTCAAATTGACAGATACGTAACGTAACGTAACAAAACGTAACGTAACGTTATTAATTACGTGTCTTTAATTATTGGTGGTGCGTTGAGGTCAAAGACTCATTGAGTTTGATGACGTTGCTCGAAGTTGTGCGTGTTTGTCTTTTTTATGGGTCAGAGTGATGATAGCGGAATAGGCAAAGGACAGACATGATCAAACACGCACGCGATACAAGCTGATTGCATTGGGGAGCTCCTATATTTGATTTATTGCCCGGAAAATCGTTGCATGACTAACAACTAAAAAAACAGGCAACGGGACATATGTTTAGCGGGGGCAAGCAATCAAAAAATTAGAAATCAAAATAATCTCATACAACAATTGACAGCTGAAAAATATTAAAGGTATTTTTTTATTTTCCTATTTGTTCGCTTTTCATAGATTGATAAAACTTTGACTATCTCATACAACTTAATGAAAACATTCATTTTGCATGTATTTTTACACTTGAATTGTACAACTTTAATTAACTTTATTTATTTGTATAAGGATTGCATAAAACCTCTGCCACCATAGTGCTGTTGTTATCATCACTTCATTCGTGCGCTAGGCGTATACGTGATATTATGACGTATACGTCATAAATTGTAATTTGTCAGCAGGGCAATGCTTAAAATAGCCTCAAAGCTTGCATAAAATACTTAATGTACAAATCACAGTGAATAATACGAAAATGCTGCATTGCAAAAGTGCAAAAAAGTCTTCCACAACAGAAACAAAAATGAAGACAGAAACTAAAGACAAGTATATATACAATAATGACAATAATTCGCCACAAAATGCACCTGCAGGCAACGCAGTCAACTTTACAAAATTAGCATAGGATGTTATGGGTGTCTTGGCTTATAGTTATGCTTGGTAATGGATAGGTGGGTCATCGATAAAATGGGCATGTCTACAACAGGTCCGGGAAAAGAGTAAACCCAAGCGAATCAAACCAAAAACCAAAATCCCAAAACCAAAGCAAAGCAAAGCAAAGCGAAACGGCGGCAAAGGGTTGGCCAAAAACCAAAAGCAATTTATGCAAATGATTCAAAAGGCGCCGTCACAAATGTGCCGTACAACAACACCAACAACAGCAGCAACAACAACAACAACAACAATAGTAGCAGCCACTAACATTCGCAATAGGTAAACGCAAAGTGCCGCTTGCTAATTGAAATTTGGCAAAGCAACCGAGGGAGAGACAGAAAAATCAAAGACTAAATAGCAATCAAAAAGAGCTAAAATTCCTTAAATTAAACTCACGAACTTTGAGCAACGATGCGAAAACGATACATGCATTAAGCCAGCAGCAAAACAATATAAAAACGAAGAAAAAAAATACAAATATATGTATATATCTAAGCAGATGTACAGCTGCGGTCAAAATATTTGTAGCTAATAGTTAAAAAATACTTCAAAAATTATGAAAAATATTTAAACATTACAATGTGAATTGAAAACTTTAAATTGATCGCAAATGAGCCGATCAAAATGATAATTGTGGAATTATATTGAAATTTTCTCAGTTTTCCAGCCGGTAAATAATATTAAAAAAAAATAAAATAAAAGAATTTTGATGAGATGAGAAACAAAGCATTTATTTTGCAGATTGCATTGAATGCATTTTTCTACATATTGTAGATTTTGAAGAGGTTTTCAGCTTTTCAGCAGTGCAATGAGCCGTATTTTGATATGAGCTATATTTTAATATCATCATCACTACTATTATTTTGACCGCAACTGTAGCAAAACGAAGTAAATTTGGCGCAGCACATTTAGAATATCATCAGAAAAGCGAAAGAAAAGGCAGTGGCAACAGCAGCGGCAGCAACAACAAAAGGAAGGAGTGCCCCAAAACTATTGGCTTGGCTTGGCTGCGGCTTCGGTTTCGACTTTGGTTTGGCTTTGGCATGTCATGCTTAATACAGCCAATAAAACCAACAACAACAACAACAACAACAACAGCAACAGCAACAATAACATCTTGGAAGCGACTCCAACGCTTGCCCACAGACAAGTTGAGAGCTCGATGCATGCACTTTTTGGGGCCACGAGCGGGTCAGCAAACAGCAACACCAACAACATCAGAAGCACCACTAAATAAATACAACAACAACAACAAAAACAACACGATCAGCGCATGCATGGCCCCCAGACCAGTTCCACTTGCGTCGCTCCCAAAATTCAACTTGTATTAATACGTACATACAGACACACACACACGTACACACACACACATGCACAATTAAGGTGAACTGCAGCTAGAGCCGAAGGCACAGCAAAAGCATTATGGGAACAAACAAAAAAATATCATAGCGAAATCGAAAGGAAGAGCCCTCTGCGCCCAAATCGGCTGACCGACGATCTCACGTTTGTCTTTAGCCCCGCCGACTCAGACTTCGGCTCAGAGTCAGAGTCATACATACATATACATATATATATACACACACGCTAACAACAGTTAGAAAACGTGGCTTGGAATCTGTCTAAAAATAGCCACAACGAGTGCAGCACAGCAAAGCACGACGACTAGCAAAACGAACGAAAACGAAAATGAAAATGAAAACGAAACGAAACGAAACGTTTGTGGCCTCACCTACTTCTCTACTATACTAATACTCCGCCTCAAACTGGAAATCAAACAGTGGCGTAGCCGAAGCTGAAGCCGAAGCTGAAGCCGACGCCGACGCCGACGCCAAAGCCGACTCTCACTCTCACTCTCCCACTCACTGTGTCTCTCACAGAGGATTGTGAGCCGAGCTTTGACTGTGTGTGTGTGTGTGTGTGTGTGTATGGGTGCCACTTGTTGCTTTCAGTTTCAGTTTGCCGTTACTTGCATTCGTGTTTGCTGCTCGTGCTTACGAGCTGCGAGCCCAGTTGGTGTCAATGGTAAAGTGCCTTAATATTGCTATTTAATATAATTACAACTGACATTGCTGATGCGATCATTAATTTGTATACCAGTTTCGATTTTTTTTTGTTGTATTACTAATAAAATGTTTTGGGCGTGGCTCTTTTAATTCTGATGTATTAGAAGTTAACATAATTTGAATTGATTTTCATATTTAATGAGTTAGTCATGCTTAACTTGAGTTACAACTATAAAAGACTAAAAGGGAATTATTTGAAATTGTTCATCACATTATCAAATTATCATTATTAATATATATAAATAAACACTTAAAGAACATTTAATTTTGGAACATTGATCAATCTTCTGAAAGGCCATTAAACATAGATTTGAAAGATAAACGATAAATAATAACGAATAATTAAATATCAATTAATTACATTCTTTTGTTCTTACAATCCTTTGTACAAATACCCATGTGTATCAATAATTTATACTACAATTATGCTGTAATCTACTTAGTGGCTCATTTTTAAATACTTCAATTGTTTTTTAATATAATAACTATTTATTTTTAGAGAGATACTTAAGCTAACAGTAAATTAAAATTGATTGATTGCTTCTGAGCCACAAAAATAGGTATGTTTTAGTATGCATTATATAATGGTCTTAAGGGCACTTCGCACTAAATATGCAAGTAATTATTGTCCAATTGAAAATCTCTCTTCCCCTCCACCCCCTTCCTAAGCATTATGCATTATGCATTCAGTCATTCTAAGTATATCAATTTTACCCACATACAGGGGCAGTAGCACATAAGAACACACACACACACACAAATAGCTATGTATATATATGGGCCTATATAGTTAGAAGGAGATCCCCGTGCCGGTATTCCTATGAAACCGCAAGCCGGCTCTGTTTCTGTTTGCTAAGGATGGTGTCGATGTGGGCGTGTGTGTGTGTGTGGGTGCAGCCAACAGAGATAGACTGACAGAGAGAGCGGAAGAGAGAGAGAGTGAGCGTGTATTTCAGGTGAAGCGATGAAAAAAAATCAATTGCCATGGCTGTTGTCACCTGCCTGTAGGCATTTAACGAACACTGCGTGTACGAGCGAGAGAGACAGAGAGAGCTTTTTTATGACGCAAATTATTTCCGTCTTCGCTTTCATGCGAAGCGTCGTCAACAAAGCTGCTGCTGCTGCCCATCGTATATATATATATATATATCTATATATATGTGTGCGTGTGCTTTGGCAGCGGTGCAGCGCAGGCGCTCTAACCACGACGTCATCGATTTTTGCTCGCACGAGCTGTTGTTGTTGCTCGTCCGCCTCCCCCTGCTCCTGCACTGGTTGATGATGATGATGGTTCGGGAATGACGTAATTGCGCTTACAGTATAGCTTTACCCTCAGCCGATAGCTGAGCGGACAAGGTAGGTCGTGTGTTGTGCTGCAGCCGAACCGCCAACACACACACACGCACACAAACAGCAGCTACAAATAGAGACCAGCTGGCAAAGCGCAAAAACCGATTGCGACGATTGCAGAGTCGATTTCGGGTTTGGTTTCGGTTTCGGTTGGGGCTCGGTTCGTTTCGTTGTGTGCTCCTCCGTTTGGATATAGTCGCGTGTAACCGTAAAGAGAAGTTCAGTCGCGTCACAGACGCCGCATTGTTAACAACCTATTCGCAAAACAGCTAGCAAGCAAAACAACAATATAATTAAAACACAAAACAAATCAAAACCAAACAACACTCAATAATTTAAGCGACAACAAAATAACATAGAAATATATAATTTGCTAACGGCACTTTTCAATATCAATCACATCAATTCGTATGTATTTATTCGCGTACAGTATTAAGCAATTCATAATTATAACAATACAAAAAATACATATTAATCAGGTGTGTGTGCGTGTGTGTGTGTGTGTGTTGAAAGAATTGTCTCCAATTTGCAACAAGTTGTCTCGTCTAGTCCAATGCGGAAACGGAAGCCAATGTTGTCAACGCGTCGTATGCGTAATCTCAGCTAAAAAACCGTTGCGCTCGTGTGGCACACGGTGCGTATGTGTAATGTGAACTAATTGCAAGTGCAAATTTGCAGCATAAATAAAATCAATTACAAATCCAATTGGTTGACTTGACTTGCCGTTGCAGCTGCAGCTGTTCTTAATAATTAATACGTATCCGTATCTTTGTTGATGTCTTCGGTGCATTTCTTGCAAAAAATAACATTGAGCGAAAAGTCCTTGTGCTACAGTTACTACGCGTATATATACATACACCCGCCTACACATACATCCCCACATCCGTACGTATATCCGTGTATATATAAACGTGAGTAAGTCATTACGTCGTCGATTGCTTACGTCGCCAGTGGGGAAACTGCGCAAACGCTAAATTCTAAAGCAAGTTCAAGTCTAAGGACATGCAAAAAAAGCAAGGACACTGCCGCGAGTGCTTATATGTGTGTATGTGTGTGTGTACATTTTAGTGCATACATAGATAATGAAGACAGCAATAATAACTGCAAGGTCTCATTACAACAACAAAAACAACAACAACAACAACGGCAACAACAAACAAAACCAAGAACTATAAGAAAAACTACAACAATTGCAGTGCTTGAATAAAAAAGGAAGTTGTTCACAATTTTGGACGTCGGGCTGGATCTCCATCGGCTTGGAGTGCGCCACACAGGTGTTTATATTGATCCTATGTGTTCCATATTTGGTGCTGTTGTCTCTGTGCTCATATTAATGTTGTGTTTCGTGTTTAATGTTATTGCTGTTATTGTGTCATCATCATCATTTGTTTATCACCTTCATTACGCACATTTCAAGCTGAACTTCATTAACTATAATGCGCGATCGTCTTGCCTCCCTGATTGTGGTGAAGCAAGAAGCGGCGCCAACGCTAAGCCACAGCTGCAACAACAACAACAACATCAGTAGTAACAACAACAACAACAACATCAGTAGTAACAACAACAATCATAGCAACAGTAGAAACATTGAAAATGATCTAATGCTGCCGCAGCAGCAACTGCATCAATTGCCGGCCATCAAGTGCGAATCCTTGTATGCATTTCCATCCTACGAAAGCAACATCTACTATGAGATCAATAACAATTCATGCTATAGACAGAATTTAAATGTTGTTGCCACAAATCACACAACACCAATAGCAACAAAACCAACGACAGCAGCAGCAGCAGCAGCAGCAGCAGCAGCAGCAACAACAACAACAACTGCAGCCGTAACATTTCCGGCTGTTATCTATCCGTGCCGCAATCTATTTCCCGACGGCTGTGATATTGGACATTTGAGCTGCTCTGTCAACGGCTCCTCCGGCCAACAGCAGTTGGCTGGAAGCAGCGGGTTCTATGTGAACACTAGTTGGCATAGCAACGGAATACACACGTGTATGTATATATATCTATATATATATATATGTATATGTATATGTATGACAACAACTACTTCTCTTCCTTCAACTCCAACTCAACTTCAACTCCCTGTACCTTCTTTTGGTGATGGTTTTCTAATTGCTAGTTGCACGTTGCGTATGCGCAATATTACGCATTGCCAAATCGTCTGTGTATAATTAAATGAAAATAAAAGCAAAATCTTAAATGCTTGCCAAGACGCATAAGCAAATGATTTAGACGCCTGCAGACAATGACGACATAAATTTTGCATCAGTAGCGAAATATTTAGCAAATAATAGAAATATAAGTTTAGCCATTGCCGACTCCATAGTAGATGGATTTGTATCTATGTATGTATGGTTGGTCATACCAAATGTTTACCAGCGTCAGCAAAGCATCGCCAAAAGGCAGCAGACGGCGAAGAAGAGCAGCCACTGTGGCAGACACATTGCAGCGGCGCAAATAGAGGCAGAGCCCGATTCAGGGGGCAAAAGCAGGGGCAGAACCAGAGACGGAGACAGAGGGTCTGACGCAAAATGATTTATAAACTGTATGTGTATAATAAACATGACTAGCACATACACAGTCACCCATATAGTGTGTGTGTTGTGTGTGTGTGTGTGTGTGTGTACTGTCCACCGCACTTTTATTAACCCAACCAATGCGGTGCATTTTTAAACTGTATGTGGCATGTATATACGTCGGTCTTATGAAAAGGAAGTAAATTTATTTATTTAATAGACAATGAAGTCACATAGAAGAAATCATTAACAGTCAGCAGTTCGTGAATTTTTGAAGATAGTTTAAATTATAAAACAAGACATAATCAAATACAACAGTTAAAATATTAGACTAAACTATAATAACATTTTGCGAATCGACCTAAATGAGGTGGAGATTGTGTTCCATGCAAGATACTTGGAACCTGTTCAAGATTGCAGTTTAATTTTAGGGCGAAAGACAACACAAACGTTGCTTGCTATTATTAATATTATTACACACAAATATAATATATAAGAGTAGATAAAATATAGCAAACTGGCGTTCTTTTTGCTATTGCACTACGTATTAATCGTAATGAAGAATATTGGCAAGAGGAACCAAAAGTGGCCGGTAAACAGATGACGAACCATGACGCCAGCGACGCCATTTAGCCAAATGCAAACCGTTACAGCCGTTCCACGGATTACACGGGACGTGTACAAGAACAACAGCATGCAGCGTGTGGCACGTCATAGTCGGCATAAGGTGCCCACAACGAATCGTTTGAACTTGAACACCGGCCACCGCAACCATCAAATAGATGTCGTTGCCGAGTGCAAAGATAGCATTCGAGAAAGTGATCAAGTGCGTCAGAAGTGCAAATATTATGGCATGAATATTGTTCATACCTACATACATACATATATATGTATACATATATATAGAGTATGTGCATTTATGATTTATATATATATATTGCGAACCACGTGTTGATGACGTTGCCACAGTTGCCTATGAGGCTGCATTTTCTACTATGTAAAATATAATCAAGAGTCATTATTGTTTCTTTTATTGGCAGCCGTCAGCTTATTTCGTTTCGGTTTTGTTTTTATTTCTCTTTTGGCGTGTGAATTTTTTGTTGTTTTTATAATTAACAATAGAAAACCAAAATTTCAATAATCTTTGCTGAACACTTTTGTTGTGTGGCTGTTGCTGTTGCCATGCACACGCCTCCTTTTATACCCTTGCCGTGCGTGTATTAAACGGTCCTTGCAGGGATCTTCCAAGTTTTGAAACTATATTAATTAAACTGTGTTCCGTTATCGGAATCGTTTCTCATCGGATCTGAAGACTATATCACTTGTTAAGCTAATTATTCGATTTGAATTAACTGCTAATTTATTTCATCTAAATATAAGCTTAATGAATGAGAAAAAAAAATAAAAATAATATATTTTTTTTGTGTGATTCGCTTTACAAGCGGTTTCATTAATATTCAAAATTCTTATATATATTTTGTCTTATTAATTATGATTATTTTTTGTATCATATTTTCATCTGCCTAAACTTTTTTCATATCACTTATTGAATTAAGCAATTAAACCTATTAATATTTTTTATGGGTCCTGCATTTATTAATTAATTAATTCTTAAAAAAACTTCTTCGATTTTTTGGCGTCAATTTGTATATTTTGATTTTTAAGTATTTAAATAATTTTTTTTTATTTATTTATCATTTACAGTTCCAAACACATTTTTTTCAAAGTTTTGCTAAATTTATTGGCGCAATTACTTTTGTAGCTTTTCTTCTTAAATATTAAACATATTATTATATTTTATTTTTATTTTCCACCTTTCTCATGTGCTTAACCTATTTTTATGTGTGTCATTCACAGTTTCTAACACAATTGAAATAATTTTTTATGTGTCCTGCATATTCATTATTATCTGGTTAAAAAAGGCCGTTTTTAATGTTGCTAAATTTATTACTATTGTAACTTTTGCACTTCATTCACAAACGTATACCACAAATATAGCCAAAATTAAAAAAAAAATAATAATACGAAAAACATATCTCATTTTTTGCGGCTTGGCTTATTATCATTATTATTGACGCTGGCCACGGCTTAATTATTTGTGTTGATTTATGCGAGTTTTATAAGCAAAACTTGCCTCCAACGAGATGGATGAGCATACTACTATTGTCTTGGATCGATCATCATCAGCTATGGGATATCAAGTATCTGAGTTCAAATCTACAGCAGCTCATCCAATGGGCAACAGCGTCCAGTTTCAGTTGTTTTTGGGATGCCACAACAATAGAGATTTTTGTTTGTATTTGTATTATTTTTTAAAAACAATACAATCATCGAAATCATCGAAATGCGAGTCAACCTTAATGACGTAATAATAATGATGGGTTGGATTGGCTGCTTTGATTTTATTATATTTGCATTTGTATTTGCAGTGATTGTATTCGTTTTCTTTGCCATTAATTGGCATATTTGCTATCTGCGACACTTCAATGTGGTTCACACGCTTCTCAAGATACTCGAACTACGTCTCCCTCTTATTACACTGAGTACAAACTATTTGCGTACTTACTTGTTTTAAATAAATACGGAAAACGGCCAAAACGTAATTCTTTCGTTTTTGTCTTTTCTATTTGTTGTCGCTGAGCATTGCTCAAATAATTTCTACTTTTAAACAATTGCCGTAAAATTTGCCACTGGGGAAATTGCTGATATTCACATACATACACGACTACAAACATACATATATATAATTGCCAAGCAGGTTTGAGTGGGGCCAATAATAGATTTTGGGAAGCCTGTTGTCGTTGTTCTTGTAATTCACAAATTTATCTGGTTATTTTCACTGGGCGCAATCGATTCCGCATAGTTCGTATGTTTTGATTTCGCTTTCAATTTAATTGCAGTATCTGAGTATTGTTGCTGTAATTTGCGAGTATCTTTGCCAATGATGTGGCGAGTGCATTGTCCTCGGATCACGCGGCGATGTCACACTTTTCGTTTGCAAATGCATCCATTGAATAGTCAACGTGATCCGAGGTGATCCGAGATGATCCGAGTTGATCCTCAGCTGCCCAGACTCAGAACCAGTCGAGGCTAAGAAGCATCAGCAACAGCAGCAACAGCAGCAACAGCAGCATCGGAATGCATTTTGAGGCGTCACCAGGGCACATCGGCAACTAGCTGGTTTTCTTAAAGCATTTTTTATATTTATTTAGTTTTTTCGTTAGTGATTTTCGTGTTGTTGTTATTGTTGTTGGCGTTATTTTGGTTAGTTTTTGTTTTTTTTGGTCTGTTGGTCAATTTTTATTGCTGCTTGGGGCGCATGGCATATGTAAGCCTTAATTTGAGACTGATTGGATTGCCTAGCCGTTGGCCACTTGTTGTTGCTTTTACCTCGTTTTGCTTATAATTTTGTTTATTTCTTCATTATGCACTGCACTCGATTGGCCAATGTCGACGCTCGTACTGGAAATGATGGTCAGCCATTAAGTGTTCTCACCAATTTTTTCAAGAAGAAAAAATAGTTTCAGTTTTTAACTCTAGAAATTACATTGAATAGTTTAGAATACAAATATTTTTTTCTCTCTTCTTTATTTAAAATCGATTCCTAGGGACAAGCATTTTAATAGTTTTTAAATGTGGTTTTGAGAATTTTCATTGCAATTTGGATATATGTGCATTCTTCTGAGATACATTTGTCTATATATATATATATATATTTGGAACCAAGCCTTGCTGTAATCGAAAATAAC